CTTCACGCGCTTTGCAGCTGGAGCCGCTTCGGACTCGGTGTCGTGCGACCCTCGGTCGCACCTCCACTGTATGCCGTAAAGCTCCGCTTCGTTGCCGGCGGCGAGGGAGGCGGTATCGCGGATGGCTCAGAGTGCTCCGGCTGCTGGGGTCGTTGGTAAACGCAGGCCTGGTCAAAGTCAAACAGCATGACGCGGCCCGCCTCCGCGTTCCACGCCATGTTGCCAGCGTGCACGTCGTCGTTGTAGAGGCCGGCCGCCTGCAGTTCCGCGACGGTGCGCTCCCTCTCGGCAGCCGCGTGCGTGTCGTCCGGCGACAGCAGCGGCCCCGCGTAGGAAAGCAGCAGCAGGTGCGGCACGCGCGCGAGGCTCTGCAGGGGCAGCGGGCGCGCCAGATCGGCAATGCCCAGGAACACGGGGATCAGGCGGCCCTGGTGGGCGGCCAGGGCGGTGTAGACGGCGGCCTCGTCCTCGAGGAGGTGGCGGTGCGGCGCCTGCACGCCCTTGGCGACAAACGTGTAGCCGTAGCCGGTCACGGCCAGTTTAAAGAGAGCGCCGTACCGGCCAAAGAAGCCCCAGCGGTCCAAGCACTGGCAGTCTTTGTCCATGTTCTGGGCCAGCTGCGCCACGATACGCTCGCGAACGCCGTCGGCCGTGAGCGGGTGGCCGTCCCCGTGCCCCGTTCCCGCCTGCGGTGGCCGTGCTGCGCGGTGTAACGCCGCGTTGGGGCAGAGATCGTCCAGGGGCGCGCCGGTGCACAGTCCGCGCAGGCAGGCTTGCGTGCAGTACGGTAGTGTGGGCGGTTCAACAACAAAGCGCGTCCGTGCTGTGTTCCCGTTGCCGCTGCCGTTGCCGCTGGCGCTGGCGCTACCACTGCCGCTGCCGGTATTGGTGCGGCTGGGGGTATGCGCGGAATGTGGCCGCTTCGTACTTGTACGAGACGGTTCGCTGCCACTGCCACCACTGCTACCTGTGCCACCGGCGCCACCACCCGTGTCGTCTCTGCGAGGGCCCGGGGGCGCAGGCAAGAGCGCAGCCGTCGCCATTGACGGCAGCGCCTGCTCGTAGGGATGGGGCCACCGCGCGAGATCCCGCTCGCGCGCGTCAATCCACGACATAGGGCGCACCGTCGACTTGAGCGCAAGCATGCACAGGCTGGTGAGGTAAGCGAGCGCTGTTTGGATTGGCTCGCGCATGCCCGCAGTGCTGTTCTCGATGTCGTCGGAGGCTAGAGCGGCTCCCGGGGCTGCACCTTGCCCGGGAGCAGGCGCCTGGACTGGAAAGACGGACCAAAAGTACAAGAGCGTCTGGGGATCGTCTTCCAAGACCCGGAGAAACACCAGGCCGTCACCGGACGCCACGTAGCCGAATTCGAGACCGGTTGTAATCATGTAGTGGTACGCTTGGCAGAGGGTGGACGCAATGTACACCTCTTCCGATGTTAGCCGTGTATGCTCCACATCAGCACCCGTCACAGGCGCGGCACGTCGTTGGGTCGCTGCCGCCGCCGCCGCCGCCGAGGTGGGGGCTGTCGCGTCCGTCGCATTGGGATCGACGTCTCTGCTTTTCACGGCCTGGATAAAAAAGTCCTCGCCCGGCGGCTTCGAGAGCACGGCGCTGAGCTTCTGGGCAGGCAGCTTGTGCGCGGCCTTGTACTCGCCAACAAGGATGTGCGTTGCGCTTCCGCTGTCGTCGAAGCCGACGCACCAACGGTCCGGCACCCCGATGGTTTTAACAGGCGATCGTCTCCGCTTGGGTGGCGGGGCCATGACGCCTGGCTGCCCGGGCGGCGGCGGCGGCGGCGTCTCCTCGGCCGCTTCCTGGACGAGGTCGACTCCATACGCGTTGTTTTGAAACGTGATTTTCAAAAAGCCCCGCTCGTTGTCGGTGCTTGCTTTGTCGTTCTGCTTCTGTTGAATGTACTGTGTCACCACACGCGCAGCCGGCTTCTCGATCGCAGCGCGGATAAACGGCCGCAGGTCCTGCTCGTCGGCTGGCCCCGGGCTCAGGTCGCGGCCGATGCCGATCACGTCCGTCAGCGCCGGGAACACCTTGTCCTCGCCAAACGCGGCGACCAGCGTCTGAAAGATCGAGGCATGGGCAGTCTCAAAGTCCCAAGGGCGCAGGCGCCGGGGATAGAACTTGCCCTTGACGCGCGTCGCCGTGTGGGTCGTAGAGGGCGACGATGCACTTGTGCCCGCGGCCTGGCTCCGCCGCTCGCTCTGCGGCACCAATGCCGGCTTGATGTGGAATGTCTGAAACAGAACCTTCTCCGTCCAGCGAACATAGTCGAGAAAAGACGAGGGTGACTGACGGGTCTCAAGTACTCCTGCACGGGTCTCAAGCATTCCTGCACGGGCCTCGGCACGCTCTGCCCTGGCTTGAACCTCGGCCTTTTCGCGCCTCTCCTGCTCTAGCTGGCGTAGCAGGTCCTGGACGGTCGGCGGCGGCATGACTGGGGATGATGGGTGACGATCTCCGGAGACAAGATGGCGGCGGGGCGAGCGTGTTGATGTGGAGAGGCCGCAGCTGGTTTGAGACGATGTGCTGTAAAGGTATCGATATGTCACAGCGGACACCAGCCGTTGCATGGCTAAAATTAGTACCAAAGTGTCGGAAGGTGGGGCTTAGGGATTCGGATTCGTGCAGCCAATGAAAGGTCAGGCGAGGTAAACAGAGACGAAAACAAGCTAGGCTCACCTAGGCAGGCATTGGTCAGGTGCCTCATCACGTGCAGAAAATAGGGGTAATTGTGGGACGAATTTCGGGAGATGAAAACCATGAAATTCGGGGGCACTATTGGTGAAAATATGGCGATGTTCTAAAACACAAGCAACAACACACACAATCAAGGAACTCTGAAGTACTTTGTCCAATCTAATGGCCATATACTGAATTCAACAACATGATGCTAGAATGTCTTGGATCGCTAGTTTCCTTCAGAATACCTGTGTAGACGGCTGATCCTCGCGAGATACGTTGAGTTTTACTGGGATACGGGCAAGCACGAAAAGGGAATAAGACCTACAACGTTAAAAAGAATATAACTTCACAACGGAAACGAAAAGTAACTGCCTACCAACAGGACGCCCGCTTAAAGTACAAAATCACAATATTTTAGGGGCCGTTCAACGTTATTTTATTTTTTCAGTCCAATTTTTTTTCATCATCCAATCTTTTGTTACGTGGCCGAAATGTCAACACACCCCTTCACCCGAGCATCACGCCGGCCTTCAACAATATCTTCATTGAGGTGTTTTGCTGCATCAGAATCCGAGCCCGAACCACGCCTTGGTGTGATGACGCTGGTTACTGGTGGGAGCTGTTGTTGGCTTGTGATTTACTTGATAAAGTTCTCTTCTTCCCAGTAGGGTTCGCCGTCTTTGTCGGATGCTGCATGGTCCTCGAAAATGGACCTCAGCTGCGTCTGGCTACCCATTCGTGCCTCGAGGCTATTGACGAGGTCCTTGATAAGGCCTGGCCGATCGAGCGCCTCATAATACTGCTTTACGCTTTTGCCCGGTGCGTCCAAACGTCCGTCATAGAGCCAAATACCAATCAGAGTGAGCCACTTGCGCCATCCCTCGGGCATTGTCAGCTTGGCCTTTGGCGAGATATGTGTCGATGTGTAGATCTATGTACCGAGAGCAACATATTCCATAAAAAGCTCAGCATCTGTCGTATATCGGGTGTCCCGTACGTTGGGCAACTGGGAGTTCGACATTTCGAATGGTATGTCTACTCATTGGACTTCATAATGGGCGGGATTTTTCCTTCTTTTTATTTTGTTTTATTTTTATAAAGGAAACTTTCCCTCTCACCACCATCCCGCTGGACATCGGCAATGCGAGTCGTGTTAGTGCCCTCTCAATTCGGAAAGGTGCGGACCGGCCGAGTGGCCCGCTTTTCACAGTCATGGCAGTCTGGCTGTCCCGGTTGGCATATCAAACGCGATACCAATGTCGTCCGACTATTTGGAAGCACTTGTTGTAGATACTTGCATTGGTACTCTACGACGACAAGTCGATGACGATCTCTGCGTTACGAAGCTCTGCCACCTTCTGGGTTGACGTGCCGTGATGTATGCTTGAAATAGGACGTCCTTAATAGCACAGCTCTGCTTAGTTTCTGTATTTGTCAGCATTTCCAAAGAGAAATCAGCTGCCTTGGGCTGTCTACACATAGCTCCGTACCACTCCAAACGTGACGTATTCATTGTGCAGCCGTTGCAAATGCTTCCCAGTGTCACAATAGCCTTGTCCCATTCCCGAGCGGTCACCATGGCGGAGAGCATGCTGCCCGGCGACTCCTTGGACGCCGAACATGGCGCTCTCGCGTGCTCCATCTGCCGCAAGCAATTCCGGCGAAGTAAGGCTACAGCTCTCCATACATGAATACCCATATGTCCGTTTCCCTGGCTAACCGCACTGCAGAGGATCTCAGAGACAGACATCGGCGCCGGTGCGTGAAGTCCTTTGGCAAGACCCGGCCGTCAAGGACAAAAGCCTGTGCAAGGTGTATTGCGTCCAAAGTCAAGTGCAACTACGGAAAGCCATCCTGTGCGTTATCTGGCACTCGCAGACTCACGGAAGTTCTAAATTGCTGACCGTGCTTTTGGCAAACACTCCACCAGGCAGCCGATGTGTCTCGCGCTCTTTGGTCTGCGGGTATCACAACAACAGCCGGGATGCTGTAGATGCTACAACAATAGATGGGCTACAGGGGCCGGAACCCTCGTCCACGATACCCCCTGAAGAAGTGACAGCCTTCGAATCCGCATCTGGTGTCGATCCCAACTCCAATATTGACCCGTTCTCCAACGGAAGCCTTGTCGCCGTGAGTGACTTGGCGCCACCGGAGACGACTCACGTCACAAACTTCGGCCACCAGTGGGATGTCATCGACAATGTTGACAGTTTTTCAGGCCAATTTTGGAATGAGCAGGTGGTGGCGCAGCCGCTAGACCCAAGCCTTGAGAGTGCCACGGACACCGATCTCGGCTGGGTGGTCGCGACTGGCATTGACTCCGGCCATGACCTGGTAGAACCTTTCACAGCCCTCCTCGCGAACTGTACCGACCATTACGCGAGAACCGAAGTCACTACGGCAGAGGATGACGATGGGAGCGGCAGCCTATTGACACCGCTGCACCACTTCAATATTCAGCCCAAATCGGCGCTCGGGACGACTGACCACCTTCCGCAGCTTATCGCTCGGTCGGTTGCCACTGCTACAGCGACCGATACTACTGAGCACAATGGTACAAACCGGCAGCTGCTTCCAGACATGTTCAGCATCGGAGAAATTGCGAGGCTGCTGGGGGCATATCCCATGCGCTTGCTCCTCCCGACGTTCCGGTCGCCATTCATTCACCCAACGCTCCTCCGACAGCGACCCGGCGGCATGCCCGAGCCCATGGCGGTGGTGCTGGCCTGCGTCAGCATGAAGCTGCACATGGAGGCCGCCGGCAAGGTGTTTGTGTGCGAGACCTTGGCGGCGGAGCAAGACAAGCTGATCAAAGCTTTGGTGGGCACACGTTTTTCTTCCTTGGTTTGCGGCGGCTTTCCTCGTATGTCCTTGCACTGACCTTCATCACACAGCCGTCAGTATTGGATTCGCACGAAGATGCCTGCATCGTGCTGCAGGCTCTGTGCATCTGCGAGATCGAGTCCCTTGTCGTGGCCAATCGATTTCCGTCGAAACTGAACAAGGCAGTGCTCCATCACGAGTATCTCGTCAGGGTATGTCCTCTCTCGGTGCGGGAGGAACTAGCGTTGTAGTCTTTATGGTGGTTAATCATATTAATTCTCAGGCTACGAAACGACTGCTGCGACGGATTGCAGACACGTCGCCGCAGGGGCTTATAGCTAACTCGTTTCTCGCCACGTCCCGACCCACCTCCGCCGGCGCAGACTGGAAAACGTGGACTGTCCAGGAATCCCTGCGGCGCACGCTGCTTCTCATCTACGTCCTCCACGAGCTTCTCCGCGGCATCGAGACGCTCGACAACGGCTACTTTGAGCCCCTGTTCACGGACGGCAACGTGTACGAAAACATCTGCTTGCCGGCGAGCGACGCCCTGTGGGGGGCCAACAGCGAACAGACGTGGCGCGATGCGCTGCGGAAAGCGGGCGAAGAAGAAGCGAGCAGCGACCAGGTCACATCGCCCCTGGTGCCCCTGAAGCTCGGCGAAGTGTCCCGGCTCCTGGCCAGCCACAGCAAGGACGAACAACTGTGGGCGCGGGCAGGCACAGAGTTCCGGTCTCTACCAGAACTCACGCGGCTTGTCCTCTCTCTCTCCGTGAGGGCCAGCCTACGGCGCGATTAAGAGTAGAACAGCACACGTTCTCACTTCCAGTCTTGACGGCGGCTGCGTCGAATTAGACCCACTGAGAGTATGCACTACGTACGTATGCGACTAATACATGGACAGCTCAACATATCACAATACTGTATTTCAGTTCTCGTCCACCCCCATCCACCGGTCAATTTCGTACGCGCGCGCCGCCGTCCGTTCGAGGTCCGGCCAGTCAGAGCTGCGGCGCACGTCCGGACCGACGCCGCGCTTTGCATCCGCATATGCGTACAGCAGCGTCTGCATCGAGCGCCCTGCCACGGGTACTTCCTTTTGCACAGCACTGTATTCCCACGGGACGGTCTCGGCTGCGTCGGCACCAGCGCGGTGCAGCCGGATGGTCACCTCGCACGGACCCTCGTCCTCGCCCACGCGGACTTTGCCGGACTCCTGAAAGTAGATGCCGCTCGGATCGACCACGCGGATTTTTCCAGCAGCACCTGTCAGCGTCCAGTCGAGCGCCGGCTGTCCGGGGAAGGGGTACCCGCTCTGGTATTGGAAGGTGAGCGTGGCAGGTTCCTTGCTGTGCGTACGCGGAGCGAGCAGGCCTTGGTGTGGTTAGTTGTGACGGCCTGAAAAAGGACCAGCTAGTGAACACAAGACGGTGTCTGCGTACCATGAAGGGACAGGAGGTCGGGTACGTCGGACGTGACAGTCTCCGTCACCTCGCCGGTCGCCGGATCGAAGATTGCAATCCCTGGCGTCTGCAGCTGGCTGTGCGCGTGTATCGTACCGGGAACGATGTCGCCGGCCGCTGACTCGACGGCGTCAAGCACTACACATTCGTGACTTAGTAACACGCAACCCAAGGTGCCTTGCTCATCATACTCGCCACGTACAATGTCCGACGCCGATGGTGATGGGATTGCCCCCGACGGCCCGCTGCGCAAAGTATTTCAGCCCGGCCGGCCACCGGCCCGGGCTCATGTCCGCGCCGTGCGCATTGACCTGCACGTTGAGCAGCTGGCCGATCGCCCCGGCCTCGAGGAGCGCCTTCACCTTGCGCACGGCTGGCGCGTAGCGGCGCTGCACGCCGACAAACACGGTGGACGACCCGCTGTGTTTTTTGGCCGCCGCGACAAGGCGCTGCGTCTCCGACGGATTCGCCGCAATCGGCCACTCGATCAGCACGTCCTTGCCGGCCTCGATGCTGGGCAGGGCCGTCGCATAGTGCGTGTCGACGCGCGTGGCGCAGAGCACAACGTCGACGTCCGGGTCGGCGGCGAGGTCGGCGGGACTGCCGTAGGCCTTGACGGTCGCCGGATCAAGGCCGTAGACGCGGATGGCCGCCTCCGCCGAGGCGACGCTGCTGTTGCACAGCGCGACGATCTGGAAGCGCTGGCGGCCTGCATTTGTCAGCAGGCTCGGCAGGTGTGCGAGAGACGCCCAGGACGTGGTGGCGTGCTGCGAGAGGCCGATGATGGCAATGCGGACGGGCGGTGGGGCCATTGTGTATTTGCTGTGAGTGAGGGAAAACAATATACTGGTCAGTGGGCGGATTGTCGACAAAAGAGAAGTAAACAGGTGGACAGAATGGCAAAAAGACAAGCACCGTCGACCGAGGGAATGTTATACTTGCGCGGTCCACGCCTTTTGTCTGCGTCAAGCCATACTAAATTCAACATGACAAATGACGAATCCAATCATCTCCGACAGTGTGATTTCGTAATCTCATTAACTGTCAATGACGGACAAAAGTCATTATGCGCGGAGTGCCTCGGACTCGGAGCGCCGTGGTCGTGTTAGTCTCGTTCGCTTTTTGGCGGCTTCGGACTTTGGAGGTCGCGCGCACTGAGGAGATGCCGCTTGCCGAATCACCACGTTCCTACATTTGTCTTTAGTTTTTGGGTCGTAATAGGAAATAAATGTTCGGAGTTTCATTGCCAAAAGAAGAATAAAACCTTCACATCCGTCTAGCTCAACATATGACGGTGTTCGGACAAGACTGGTCACCAACTACTACTTGGGAGTGTCCCCGATGCTCTGCAGTCCAGCCTTTTGAAACGACGCAACCAAGACGTTACTTCTCTGGACAGTCTCGTTCCCTGCCGCCTCGGCCGCCTCGGCAGCCACACGGTAGACGTGCAGCGCCTCGGAAAACAGCGGCCGGTGATCCTGCCACCCAGTCACCTTCCGCAGCTTGGTCAAGTCGGTCCACTGCGGGAAGTCGATGATGCCCGGCGGCCACAGGTCTTGGTCTGCCGCCAGCTCCGACGGGCCTATGTACTGCGGGCCCCCGCCCTAGATGCCGTACTCTTTGACGAGCGCCTGCGCAATCTCGCCGAGGGTCTCGTCGCGGTGTGCCGAGATGTTGAACACGTGGCCCTCGACCTCCGAGCGACGGGGTTGCGACGCAATGGCAACGTAGGCTTCCGCGCAGTCGTCCACGTGCAGCGCATGCACGATCGTGTTGGCCGGCCGGGGGAGAACAAGCGGCCGACCTGCCGTAGCGGCGACCTGTGCGGCGACGCTGAAGAAGCTGCGGTAGTAACTGGACGCGCGACCGTAGACGCTCGTGGGGCGCATGAGCACGGGTGCGAATGCGTCGGCTTTTGCAAAAATCTGGGCTGCGTACGTCGCACGGTTGGCAAGCACGGGCACGGGCGCAACTGGGGAGTCTTCGGTGTGGGGGGCCAGGCCCGGCACGCCGTGGTAGTGTGGGCCGATGCCGTAGTCCTTGCAGCCGGATGAGAAAATCACGAGTGGTTTGACACCGGCAGCGCTGCTCGCGGTCCCGAGCGTGCGGAGGAGGCGGACGGCGTTGGTGTAGTGCGGAATGTAGTCGAAAAGATTCTCCGTTGTCGAGACAATAGCATCAATCGTGGGGGGAAGTTGAGCCTGGATGGTTGCATGGGCATCTATGTCGTCGATGCTCCCAATGACCGGCAGAATCTCTTCTTGGGCAAGTGCCGCGGCAGACGCGGGTGACCGAACCAGTCCGTACGTGACCCAGCCAGCAGCCACGAACGCACGGGCGACGGCGTTTCCAATGTAGCCGTTGGCACCGGTAACGAGGACTGCCTTGGGGGCCATTGCAAGTATGTCGATCAATGTCAAAGGTATCGCCACCTGGGTGTATTGTGTCTATCTTGAAGAATTATGCTGTGTTTACACTACTACGTATAGTTGCAATACAGGATGTTTTGCTCGAAGCCCGCAAAGCGTGCGTCCTGTCACGGTAGACTAATGGTCATTACAAATGCTCGCCTATTTACCTGAATTATTAAGCACATATACATTGGAAAGAATCAAATGCGAAAAGGCCACGAACAACAGGTGGAAATAGTAAAAGTATTTGCCAGGATGCACTAAATCTGGTCCTCGTCCTCCCCTCCTTATGGCCGGGAGCCGAACTTCTTCTTTACTGTAGCGAACGACGTACTATATCGCGAATGAGATGTATGTAGTGATTCAACGCTGAATCTATGAAGGTTCCCCACACCACGAACGTCCTCACGAAGCGTACGCGGCTCGTGCCTTGGGCTAGAGGGATAAGACAGCTAATAAACCGGCCCAATGAGAACCCCGTCGAAGGACGTAGAGTCTCTATATCCTCTACCGGCTGGCATTGGGATCGAGTGCAATGCACATGTACACCGCCTGTATGGCCCCGTTTCGAGACTGCTGACTGCCCGTGCATGCTAATACACTGAAAGTGAAAATAATGGCCAACATGATGTCGACGCAAAGGTAAGTCGAGTTGTTGGGTTATCCAGCTGTTGGCATCGTTTTGCTGTTCATTTTAATATCAGGATTCGGAACACCGTGTAAAAAATATATATGACCAGGAACAGAACCCAAAAATATGAAGAAAAATAACATCTTAAATCAAAAAGAGATAATTAGGAATTGAAAATAATAAAAAGCAATTCAAACATAACAAAATAATTAAAATATCAAAACCAGTCTGGCCTTCAAAACAAATCGTACCCTAGTCAGAGAATACAACGTCTTACCAACACGTCGTAAAGCCCCAGCCATGGGATTTTGTGGACAAGCCAGGCTGAAGTGGGGCATTACACGTGACGTCACTGCTTGGTGTTATTTGTCCCCGACGCCGGTGTCTTCAATTCTAAACACAGAAGAGAGATTTTCTGCCCACGACGCAATCCGCAATCGCATTTCAAACCCTCTCTGTGGATCGGTCTGGACATATACACACAACAAACGAAGACAACATGGCCCCTGCACCGCAAACGGTGTTCATTACTGGGTGAGACTGGCTCTCGTACGTCCGTTGAATGAAACCCCGAATGAACAGAACACACTGACATGGACCACAGCTGCTCGCCTGGCGGTATTGGGAATGCGCTCGCCCGCGAGTTTCATGCGCGCGGCTGCAGAGTCATTGCGTCCGCGCGGCGCGCCGAGGCGCTGACGGACCTGCAGGCGCTGGGCCTCGAGACCGTGCTGCTGGACGTCGACGACGAGGCGAGCGTGGAGGCCGCCGTCAAGGCTGTGGCCGACCGCACCGGCGGCCGCCTCGACATTCTGGTGAACAACGCCGGCACGACGTACCAGATGCCGCTGGCGGACATTGAGCTGGCGCGGCTGCGCGCCCTCTTGGAGACGAACCTGGTGTCCGTCGTCGGCCTCACGAACCGCCTGCTGCCGCAGCTGATGGCCGCGCGCGGGCTGGTCGTCAACATCTCGTCGGCCTCGGAGAGCCTGCCGTTCCCCTTCAAGGGCGCCTACGCCATGACCAAGGCCGCGCTCGCGTCGTACAGCCGCACGCTGTCGGTCGAGCTGGCGCCCTTGGGCGTGCGCGTGCTCAACGTGACGACGGCATTTGTCCAGTCGCAGCTCGGCAAGCGTGCGGCGCCGCCCGCGTGGCCGGCCGACAGCCTGTACGACAGCATGCGGGGGCTGCCCCAGGGCGCGGGCAGCGGGCCGCGCATGCTGCCGGAGACGTATGCCGCGCGCGTGGTGGGCGAGTGTCTCAAAGGCCCCGGCTGGCTGGAGTGGGGTCCGTGGCGGTTCGGCGGTACGCGCGAGACGATGATGCTGGGCACGCTGAGCGGGCCGATGTGGCTGCTGGGCTTCCTGGGCAGCAACTGGGCGCGGTTCTTTATGCTTCGCAAGTGGAAGTTTTCCATTCTGAGCGATGCCCTGCGGCGAGACAAGAAGACGGTGTAGGTGTCGGGTGGTCTTGTGGTGGACTCTATTCATTGACTATCCAAACGACGCTTAATTCAAATGAAGCACATGTTCAATACGAGGCAATCATTGCATCACCCCACCCACCGACGACGTCGTTATTGGTCGTCGCTGTGATCTGCGGCTGGACCACCGGCTGCCTCCTTCTCGAGCTCGATGCCGCTCTTCTCTGAGATGTAGCGGAGGTCCTCCTCGTCAAACGTACGCACGACTTCGCTCTTCAACGCATCCAGGATCTCCGCCGACGTCGCAAACTCTCCATACCAGCACTTGCGGATCGCATCAGCAAAGAGCAGCATGCCGGTCACAGGGCTCGTGCCGATGGTATCAGGCGTCGTGTTCCCGGTGCTGCCCTTGAGCGGTTCGTCTTTCAGTGCCTCGCCATACAGGTCCGGAAACTCCTGCCGCGCGTACAGGTCTTCCACCTCCTCGTCCGGCACTCTGTCGTACGGCCGCACGCCGGTCACAATATGGTAGATGCTGGACCCGAGCGCAAAGCATTCCGTGTCGACACCGTAGTAGTCTCTGGGGTTTCGTGGTTTGTGATACCGCGTGCTCTCCATCGACATAGGCTCTGACCCACACACCGACGACCCAGCAAAGTCAAATATGCAAACATTGAGCTGCGCATCGAGCCCCATGTTCTCCGGCTTAATGTCACAATGAAGCACATTGAGAGCGTGTAGGGCAACAATGCCGTCGACGGCCTCGAGTGCCCAGCAAGCCCGTTGCTGGAGAGGGATGGAATCGTGGCGCCGGCTCATTCGGCGCTCCTTGTCGGCCCTTGTCTCCTCGTCGTCTCTGCGCTTTGTGTCTAAAAACTCACGCACCGTGTAGCCTCGCAGGTACTCGTGTAGCGTGTTGTTTGGCAAGTATTCCAAGTCGATGGTGACACGGTCTTTTCCGTCGTCAGACGAGCCAAGGAACTTTGCAAAACGACGATGATTCTTGGGCAGGTACTCGTAGATGGCAATCTCGTTCCGCAAACTCTCGCACTGCCGCTTGATGGCGAAATCGTCTCTCCAAAATGAAACGATTTTCTGGACCCGCGTTCCACCCGGGAGAGGGATGACAGTACCGGAATTGCCCGCGCCGAGCATTTTTTTCTACCGGACGTGTTTCACTGGTCAGTACCCTAAGATGCGTACAACCTGAATCGGATCGGACGAGAGGGAGACGCAAAGTGCGCAAGTGCCTACCAAAAGTTGGCCCGCTTCCGAGTCGCTTGTAATAACAATTTCGTTGGCGGCGTTTCTTATGACGGGCGTCTTGCCGCCGTTTGCGGCGCTGTTGGATTCGGATGACATTTGAGCTGTGTCAGGCATGGTATTGGCCTCTGATGCTTAGAACGGGGTGTGCAGATATTTGTTATTCGCTGTTCTGTCCTTGGCTGCACATTTTGGACTGCGCTCTTCGTCTCCTAGAAATGTCGCAAACGATTTCAAGGGGCTGGAGCAAATCACAAGCCCACCCGACGTGGCATGTCGTAGGCAACAGCCACACGTGATATATTGATGGGTCATGTGATGGTGTAGGGTGCGTTAAGTTGGGGGCCAAACAGTTTGCCATTATCACGACGGAGCTCGATGATTTGTAGTTAACTACGTGCATTATCTATCTAAAACGAAATCAAAAACAATAATCCAAAACCGGGCACGACCTTTGTTGAAAAGGACCACGGTCAGCGAATCCAACCTAATCCAACCTAATCCAACCTATCCCAAATCCAGCTCCGAATTGTTAGTGTCTACCCACTAAATCCCTCGTGCCAGGCTAAACCGGGCACTACGGGAATACCCTAAGAGCAGCTATCACAGGTTTTGCGCCCGTGCGACGAGCCAAGATAGACGTCTTCGATTTTGTAACACACATTGCCAGTTTATATGGCGCTGTCACATTTAATCAACTCGACGCTTGAAAGTCGATGACCGCATGTATAGATGACCAAGATATGATGTCGTTCGCACATTGTGTCGCTTCGTTTGCTTTGCCCTGGCGAGAACAATTGTTAGTAGGGCAATTGTGTGAAAGTTGATCACTCATGGGACTTGAATCGCCTTGGGAGAATGGCTCGCTGGGTCTTGGGAATGTCACTGAAAAGAATAACAGGCAAATTGTGAAGGCTCGTTTCTGGTTGAAGTTGGATGGATTCAGAGAGGATGATGTCTTGCGGGGACGAAGTCTTGTTTGTCCTCAGACGAAGGAAGCATCCAAAGCCTCATATTTATACATTTTGTATTGCGCGTTCTGATGCTTCTTGATCATTTTTCGACAACCTCTTTCCATCTAATTTGATCTGTGCCTTCTGTTATTTCTGAATATTTGGGTTGGCCGGTTTCCGTTTCAGGGCTTCGTGCAAAAAAGCGCCTCAAGAAGTACGCACGTATTCACGATTGCTATCCTCCTGATACACGACAACGAAGCACACCGGCCCCTGAGATGTCGACCCAAACTCTGCCATTTGTCCTCTATCTGTTACAATAAATACACAGCTGCATTTTATTCTAGGCACCAGAGCACCTTTGCATAAAAAACTCGGGCGTTTTGGTGATTTTTGGCCCCCAAGGGTGTGTCGAATGCCAACGCAGAGGTGGACAGGCTGTGAATGAACCACAACACTGTAAAATCAAGCAAAAATTCACGGTTGCTGTCTGCAGAGACGAGGAAGGCAGCAGTTGGGTGTGTGGGGGTGGTGAATCAGTGGCCAATAAGCTCGGCCATGTGGCCGGCGAAGAGGTTGCATGCTGTTCACATCGGGAATATGTGAGTAGCACCAGAAGTATACCGACTCACAAAGCAAACGAGCACCACTAATCTGGCTTGAAAACTTCGAGCAAGAGACAGTATCCGTGATGACAGAACGCTTATCAAAAAGAGAGAGAGAGAAAATGTGCAAGATAGAAAATCGGGGCTGGTCTGCACAACACGCTGCAGAAAAGAGTTGCCTGATCATGAAACTCTCTGACTCGAGCAATGTGACAAACGGAGACGCCGCCGTCTTGCATCGTCACATAATGGGCTCGCCGTCTCCCGTGGTAATCCAGCGTCGTGTCGTGTGCAGGGTAAGACAGAATCTTGTCGAGACGGCAAGGCTGGAGGCGGTGAGTGCATGCGGCAGAATCCATGCCCACAGGGCTGAGCTACGCGAACGAATGGACCTGGGCCATTTTATCTTCAGCCAATGGGAAAATTCAAGCGGTCCATGACTTGTTGGCGCCGACGTTGCCATGCTGCGGAGAGGCGCTGTGAAGCGAGTGTTCGACAGACGATACAGTATTGCGCATCCTCAATAAAGCAGTCGTTTCAACATAAAATATAAAGTGAAGTGAATTGTACCACAGCTGCTATTTGTGGTCTGAACAGTCCTTGACGCGCTGTTTGCATCCTATCCATATCCCGCAGCCAAGACGCCATCACTGTCATCTATCATACAATGGCACTACGGGCTGGGCTAAGCATGCCACTATGCAAAACGACAAAAGGGTACAGACTGGTAACCACTCTCACATCTGCATCGCATTCGCCGCTCTGATGGTCATGCCCTGCGGCCCCAGTTGACACTTCTCTCCACCACTTGCCGCCAGTACGCCGCCGTCCGTGCCACCGCGGCCAGGTCTGGCAGGTGCTGCAGCGCCGCCACCAAGAAAGCGTTTTCGCGCTGTGCTGCCGCAGACGGCGCCGCCAATCCCGTGCCTGTGCCCGTGCGCCCGCCAGCAAGGGGCACGACATGCCACTCGATGCTCTTGACCAGGTTCAGCGTGCCCTGGTCAAAGGGGAGGCCGGCGCGCTGCATCTCCGACAGCAGGGCAAAGACGGCGGGGGCGTCGCCCTGGCGCAGCCAGCGGATGCCGAGCAGGTGGTTGTAGAGGGGCGTGCTGGCGCCCAGCACGTACGACGCGAGGCCGAGCGCCTTGACGCGCGGCAGCACGGCGAGCGCGAGCGGCGACGTCGTGCCGCCGCGAAAGTGGCTGTCCAGCAGGCGCTGGCCGTGCAGCAGGAGCGCAGGATACAGGGGCCCGTTGGCCGTCAGTTTCGACGACACTTTGCGGCTCTTCTTTTCGGTGGCGGGTGCTGACGCGTTTGCCTGTGCTTTCGCCTTGCCCTTGCCAATGCCCAGCTCGTCGACGAGCGAAAAGACGTGCTCCTCCATGTACTGCCAGAGGGCAAAGTCGGTCTTTTTGGAGAGCATGGCAAGCTCCATCTTTTGTTGGCGTCTGCGGCGGGCGAGCACGGCCGGCGAAGGGGGTGGCAGGGTCGTCTCGTCGGGCGTCTCTGTTGGTGTCACTCTCTTTGTCTCCGTCACTGGCTCCGCGACAGTCTTCTCCTGGACGTGACCGGGCACGTGTCTGGCCGGCACTTCGTCCTTGATGCCAAAGGCCTTGCCAGCAGCCGACCGCAGACTCGGCGGGAACTGTGACAGCACGCGGTTGCGCTGCATATTGAGCTTGGCGTCAGCCGGTGGTGATGGCGGTGCTTGTGGTATTGCAGCCGAGGTGCCACCGACAGAGCCGAGCGAACGGAGCACACTCGTGTCGGTAGCCACACCTGCGTCTGCACCTTCCAGGGCATACATGGCCTCCTCCTCGCCCTGTCGGCGAAGGTTGCGCTGATTCTCCCGCGCCAGGACCTGGTCGTCGCTCGCTCCGCCCAGAATCGAGTTTACACGCGACCGCTGCTCATCGTCCCGCTGACGCAGGGCTTCCGGCGAGTTGGCATCGCCAGCGTCGATGCCAATATCGACACCGACATCTTCGCCGACGTAGTCGCCGTCGACGCCCGCCTCGACGTCGTCACCCATGCCCTCGTGACCGTACATTTCGAGGTCGAGCTCCTCCTGCTGCTGGCGGTGTGCGATTTCGCGAAAAATGCGCCGGAACGCCTGCCGCTCGAGAGGTGTAATGGTGCCCTCGGCGCCACCAACGCCGCCAAGGTTGATGTGGCCCGAGTCGTCGACGTAGTCCTCCTCGTCGCCATTCTGCTCTAGGCGCTCCGAGTCGGGCAGAAGGTCGCGTTCAATGTCGGGCGGGAGTTCGAAAGGGATGGGGTCGCGCCGGCGGGCTGCTCGGGGCGCCGGCGAAGAAGAGGGCGACGAGGAGGAGGGCGGCGGCTGTCGACGAGAGTGCGCCGGCGCAGTGGCGTGCAGGCTGCGGAGGAAATGGCGTACTACGGGCGCTCGTAGTGGTCTCTGGACCAGCCGTGTCGGGTAGAGGAAGGGGAGGAAGGAGGTCGACATGGCGTATGTCGACTGGCGAGGTGCAATTGGCTGAGGGGACGAATATCGTGAAAGTCCAAACAGAAATCTCAAACTTTTTTTTGAGCTCCATGCACAATGGCACGCTAAATCATACACACCACAGCGGGAAACAGTGGAGCGTTGGCAGGTCTGTTTCAATTAATATGGTCACCTGACATCGCGTCGGAATAGTCGACGGTGTGTTTAGCAGCTGTTCACCAGCGCGCTAGCATATGCACGCGTCGTCATTGCTGCAAAAACGGGACGTTCGTTCAAATTAAAATGTATTTGTATCACCCATGGTTTCATTTGCACTTGAGCTCCTGTTCAAAGAGCCAGCCGTGCCCTAAACTCATCCACAAACAAATCCTCGCAAACCTAGTCCAGCATCAAACTTTAGCCATGCCGACTCTGGTCGTCGCACATCGTTTGGGATGCGTCTTGGTCCTTGGCACCGCTGCCGTCTTGATACTCGTCCAACTTCCGTTTCAATGATGCCTGCCGCTCTGCATCGAGTCTCTTCGCCAACTCCCTTCGCCACGTCTTGACCATGAGGGTCCTGTTCTCGCGCTGCTTGTCCTCTCTGCTGCGGTATTCGGAAGTCGCCCGGTACAAGTCGAAATGCATGATTCGTTGTGCTTCGTCGTTCCATGCCATGTTCGGTCGGCGAACGTCCTCGTTTACCACACCCTCGGCACGCAGCTCCTTCTGTGTCCTAAGCCCCTCCCGCTCGAGGTCAATGTTGGGTGGCAGCAACCCTTCACTGCGTGCCCGTTGAACGTCAGGGCCGGCATAGGACAGCAGCATCATGTGGCGTACGAGCACGTACGAGTGCAGCGGGATGGCATGGCGGAGGTCAAGGACACCTAGGAACACGGGGACAATCAGGCCCTGCACGTCTTCGGCGACCCTGTACATTCGCTCTTCGTGTTGCAGCACATCTCTGTCACTCGCGCGCACACCTTTGGCCACAAATGTGTACCCATATCCGGTCACCGTGATCTTGAAGAGGACGCCGTGGCGGCCAAAGAGCCCGTGGCGGCCCAGACACTCGCAGTCTTGGTCCGAATTGGTGGCAAGTTGTGTGACGACACGGTCTCGCAGCTCATCAACCGTCAGCGGGTGACGGAAAGCACCGCGGCGGGTGGTCGCCTCCCGATGCAGCTGCACATTAGAACACTTGTCGTCCAGCGCTTCCTGGCGTTGCATGCTGCGCAGACACGCTTGCGTGCAGTAGGGCATTGTCCACGGTACAGAAACAGGCGGCTGTCTTGGCAGTTTGCACGTTCTGCCACTGTCATCGTCCTCGTAGTGCGAGGGCCAGCGCTTCAAATCCTTCTCGGCGGCGCTGATCCAGGACGCAGGTCGCGGTGTTGATTGAGAGGCCCAGATGCAGAAACTGGCAAAGTAGGCTGCGGCTGTCTCGTGGGGCGCACGCAGTCCCTTGTTGAGGTTCCTGCGGGCAGCAGTGTCGTAGACCGAAGGCACGGAAAAGTCGCACAGGTGGTAGTAGAGAGTGCGCCAGTCGTCTTTGGGCACGCGAAGAAACAGGACACTGGCGCCCGTCGCAACGTAGGCATACTCGATGCCCGTGGCAATCATATGATGAAAGTTTCTGCAGAGCATCTCCACCACTTGGAGGTTGGAAACCCATGTTGACTGGTTGTATATGTGGTCTACGTCCACGTCGGACGTTGCTTTTTCCCAGTGTTTGTACTTGGCCACTCTCTGAAAAAAATCGTCTAGTTTGCCAGCCTGCATGAGCTGCCCTAGTCTCTTCACAGGGCGTCCACCCTCATCGTTGTACTCGCCGACCAGGACGGGTATCTGGCTCTTGTCGCTCTGAGTGGCAATGCACCAGCGATGGGGACCACCGATGCGGTCGCGATCGTCATCATTTTTGGATGCCTGGCGGTCATTCCCAGGCCGCATAAGGTCGTCACGATCGCCCCTGTTTTGTGGCTCGAGCCCAAAGGGCTTGCCTTGTAAGGAAATTTTAGCCATACTTGAACCGAGGGTAGATCCGCCTAGTCGATCACTCTGAGCCCGCCGGTAGGCATCTAGAAGTGCTTGAGACGGTTTCTCCATAACCTGTTTAACAAAGTAGGGAAGGTCTACCCGGTGTACAAAATACTTGTCTGAGAAGCTCATCTGCATATGCAGCCGGGAACTCTCGATCGTGTACGGTGGTGGGAAAAGGGCCTCGTCCCCAAGTGTTTGGGACAGCATCTCAAAAGTCGCAGCGTGGTTCTCGGCGAAGTCGGGCCATCTCCGCAGAAACTGTGGGCCGTAGAAGTGGTCGTCAAAGGACGATATCTGTGGCTCCGGTACAGGTGCCAAGCCCCGTCTCGTTCGTCGCCATCGGGATGCGGCACTGTGTTGGTAGGAATACCCGTCGCTCATGTTTCGGTCTATGAGGGACAGCAGAGACCCAAGGCCGATGTAGAACAGGGACTGCAAACTGTCTTCGACCAACTCGAGATAGGTCAGAAGCGACGTTTTCTGGTAGTGGTCAACAACTTTCTCGGCCGGAATGGAAGCAGGGGCTGCGGCGGTTGCGGCGTTGCTGCTCTCCACACGCTGCTCTGCATTGTTTGCGTGTGCCTCTCCCGAATCTTGCTGTGTCTCGTCCCCCGACTCTTTTGTGATGGACGGAGAAACGTGAGGATCTTTGTTCATAGGAATAGGCTCGCCATTCTGCCTCTTTTTTTCCGCGTTTGCGCTGTTCTTTTCTTGCTCCCCGTCTGTCATTGCATTATTGGCTGCGTCCATTGCCAGAGTAATGAGAACGAGGACCGCACATATGGGGGGCGACTGTGTCTTTGTGGTCTAGAATTCGGTCAACATACCGTAGGCTTTAATTTTGAGGCGGGTTCGGTTTGGAGTCAAAAATTGACAATGTGGGTGGGAAGTGGTTGTTTGTTTTACGGTTGTTGACATTGAACATTGGAGGAGATGTGGTTGACGAAAAGGGCAGGTGGGTCTAGCCTGGCCGTGCCAATAGCAGAAGGAGCGACCATGGGCATGCACGCACGCACTTTACGCGTGATTTGGAAGGGGACTCTAGTGTGAGCACCGAAACCGCGTTTTCTCAATCTAAATCTGAGCTCCGTTCACACGTACCTGCGTTTGCTCAGCTCCGTCCGTTGGACCCCGAGAGCACCGCAACCGACCAAACCACCTCGAATACAACGCCCGATCTTTCCGATTGCTCCATTTTCTCCAATGACCCCCTCGGCGGAAACGTCTGGGCTGACAGCCTGGGAGCGGCGGCGCGCGGAAAACGCCAAGGTGAACAATGAGATCCTGAACAGCATCTCCAAGACATCCGCCAAGGTGTTTGGCCCCATCGCGTCGGCAAACAAAAATGCCTCGCCTGCATCCCAGACGAAAAAGCGACCTTCGCGCCGGTCAGAGCCAGTCAAGCGCGAGGCGCTCATGCCGACGCGCCGCAGCGCTCGCGTGGCTGGCATCGAGGCAGACCCCGAGACACTGAAGCGCAAGCTGGAGGGTGTCGATGGTGCTCTTGAGTACGGCATTGGCGAGTCCGCGCGCGACAAGCGGCTGCGGGTCAGCGGCGAATTGAGCCTGGGCGACATGCAGGTGGACGGACGGTGGCAGGGCACGCTGGCCGGGTTGAAAGAGCTGTCTGCGACGGGGGCCAGCACACGGCCAGGCGTGCGACCGGGCGTGCGCACATTTACCGACGAGGATGTCCGGGGTACGACGGACAAGGAGCTCAAAGCATTGCGGCAGGAGATGAATGGGCTGCAATTGTACGACAAGTTTGAGGTCAAGGGTGAGTCGACGGTCGAATTCCGCACTGTGACAATGTGACAAAAGAGCGAGCCGTCCTGACAAAGCAAGACTTGAAAATGACAAAGGACCGCATCTATGCCATGGCATTCCACCCGACCGAGGACAAGCCAATTGTGTTTGCCGGCGACAAGGAGGGTCGGCTGGGCATTTTTGACGCATCACAGGAGCCGGACACGCCCGTCAAGGAGGAAGACGCAGACGACGACGAGGAGGCGGAGGCAGAGGCGCCCGAGCCTGTGATTGTCGGGTTCAAGCCGCACGCTCGCACCATCTCGAGCATCCACGTGCTGGACAGCGACCCCAGCTCTGTCTACACGGCCTCGTACGATACCACCATCCGGAAGCTCGACATCCAGGCACAAAAGTCGGTCGAGGTGTACGCGCCGCCCGACGACCAGAGCGACGCAGACATGGCCATCTCCTGCATGGACTTTGCGTCGGACAACCCGAACCTGGTCTTCTTCTCGACGCTGCGCGGCACCCTGGGCCGCCACGACCTGCGTGCCAAGCCCGCGTCGGCCACCACGATCTGGCCGGGCCTGCACGACCACCACAAGATTGGCGGCTTCTCCCTGAGCCCACGCCAGCCACACCTTGTCGCGACGGCCAGCCTCGACCGCACCCTCAAGATCTGGGACCTGCGCAAGATCGTCACGCACAAAGACGAGGACGGCAGCAAGGTCGACCGGCCCGCCCTGCTCGGCGAGGACCCCGCACGGCTGTCGGTCTCGCACGCCGCCTGGGGCCCCGGCGGCCACATCGCCACGACGTCGTACGACGACACCATTCGGGTGTACGATTTTTCGGCCGCCCAGAGCACATGGACGCCCGGCCAGGCCCTGGGCGACGACGAGACCGAACCGGCACACAAGATCAGCCACAACAACCAGACGGGCCGGTGGGTGACCATCCTCAAGCCGCAGTGGCAGCGACACCCGCCCGGCGGCGTGCACAAGTTTGCGGTGGGCAACATGAACCGGTTTGTGGACGTGTACGCAGGCGCCACGGGCGAGCAGCTGGGCCAGCTGGACGGCGACGGGATCACGGCGGTGCCGGCCGTGGCGCATTTCCATCCGACGCAGAACTGGGTGGCCGGCGGCAACGCGAGCGGCAAGTTGACGCTGTGGATGTAGGGGATCAAAGTCGCACAGTAACGGTTTACGAGAGTTGGCTGGGTAAATGATGGGCGGCCGAGCAGATCTGGTTTGAGCTGGTCTTTTAATGTCTTACGTATGCTGTCAATATATCATTTTGTGTAGCATGGAAAGGGTGCATATTACGTAGTTTGCGTAAACTAGACACCACACACTGCCGTACGGTTGTTGCTCTCGACATCACCTACATCTTGACGTTTGTCTTTTCTAACGGAGCACACACTGTCAATGGCCACCAAGCCCAGTTTCTGTGGGTTCGCTGGCATGTGACGGCAGTCTTGTGCCATCCTCTGCACTAACGACAGCGGTCGCTTCGCCTCCTGCAAAGGCCCATGTGCGCCAAAGCCGATACGCCGTATTACGCATAATGGTGACCCCAAATTCACCCTCACCAACACGTTCTTTCCTAAAACGACGGTCTCGTAGCTCCCTCTTTGGGACTTTTTACGTAGCCAGGAACATCTCCATCTCCATCCATTCCTCCTGATCAGCTTCCACGCCCTCTTCGTCCAAACTACGACATATTTCTCCCTCGCCATCAGCAACCTCCACAACCTACAACGCCTCCTCCTCCCACCCCACCGCCCCCGTCTCCGAGGCTCATGCTCTCCTATCTACTTGAGAACAGACTAACAGCCAACGGACCAATCCTGCTAAGATACCTTTCATGGTCGTTCGCGCATTGCACCTTTTTTGTCCCACGCCTCTTATCCTTATCCTTTATCCTCTTCTCTTCTTATCAAACCTACTTTCTCCATCTCCTTGCACTATTCTTTCGTTCCTATTGTCGTCGTTTCTTTCGTCCTACGACAGGGTCCTACAGCATATTCTCGTCGCCTCGCTTCCAGCGTCCGCTCGCTATTCGTCCCATCCACACTCCGTCCACCAGTCCAGCACAGTCTACGACAGAATTTACGACATAATTCCTCCCTCGCACACAAATGTGACCACACACAACGGACGCTATACCACCGTCACCTATGTAAGACCGCTCTCTTCGCGCCTCCGCGCCCAGCCGTGTTTCCCCTTCACCTGTTTTGGCCCGCCTTCCAGTCGTCCCGACCACCATCAGCGACACCGAATCAAACGCTACAGTTTCCTCGTCCGCCCATCGGCCGGATCTGCTCTCTTTCGCGTCGCGATTTCCCGTCTATTCATCAGCGTCGTTTTAGTCTGTTCTCCGTGCCATCCATACTAACAAACAGCCAGCCAGAACAACCTACTGCAACCCTGACATTAATCGACAGCCTCGCCCTGCTTCTGCCTTGCAACACAGCCTTCGCCAACCGACACCCGTCCTGCAGATGCCCCGTTCCACCGGCGCTACCAAAGCCGTCCTCGAGCTCATCTGCGCGCCTTGGCAGAGACACAATACCGACAGGAGCCTCCATTCCGGCTAGGCAGCCAGTGGCCTGTTGCCTATTCCTGCGGCCGTTCATCGTCCTTTCGAAAGACAACAAAATCTAAATTTTTCAAAGTGCCTTTGACAGGTCGAACTTGACTTCTCACACATTCTCCATCAGGCGTGCAATTTGCCTGCCTGCGCAAGCGGTCAGTCCCCACCCAAAAGTACACCCTGCCCTGCCCGGCGGGTCCCGTCCACGTCTAGGCCCCAAAGCCCGCGAATGAACCGCTAGTCCTCGCCCACCCACGCCCCACTCCCGCGAAACAGCGCCAACAAACGTTCACAAGCCGCCCGTTCTGTCCTCTTTACTTCGTCCCATCCACGCCTGTGACTGACTGCCAAGGCCTCCTGCAGCAGGTCGCCTTGCTGCTGAACCCCCGACCGCGAGCCAGTTCTTTCTGGACGCAGGCCTCTGATTTGACGCCTGCAAACCGAACGAGCCTCCTCGACGTGTCTGCCTGCCTCTCACGTCTCCAACGAGAATCCATACCGCGTCCCATCCTCTCCAACATGCCTCCGCCCAGAGATCCAGCAGCACCGACGGCTGCGTCCTCCACGACGCCAACGCCAACGCCAACCCAAACCCCGCCGCTCTCCACGGCACCTTCTTCAGATGCCAGTAATCGTAATACTAATACCGACACGACCACCTCCTCGACAGCCACTCTCCAGGCCACGCCCGGCCCATCACGAACGGTCACGGACACCGCCTCGCCGACGACACCTTCGACAAACAGGAACGACCATCAGCGCAAGAGCCATAGCCACAGCCTCCGGCTTCCCAGCCGCGTGTCCGCGCAGTCTCCATCTACATCCGCTCTGGCGTCGGCGCTTGCGTCCTCGCCGACCCGGCTCTCCAACACGAGCCCCCGCCAGTCGGAAGACGACGCCGGCCGGCACAAGCCCAAGAAACTCGTCAAGCGGCGCCACGACGGTGGCAGCCAGCGCACGCCCAAAGCCATGGACTTTCCCGAGCGTTTAAAACAAAGCGAAGACGGCGGCGAGGAGGAGGTCATCCGGCCCGTCGTCTCTGGCAACGGCGCCTTTTACAACATGAACCAGAGCGTCTTCAACATGCTCGCCGCCGCCGGCTCAAACATTGACTTTAACAACCGATTTGGAGACCACTCGAGCGAGGAGGATGACGATGATGGCGGTGACGCAGAGGGCGGTGATGGCGACGCTGCGCAGCGTCGGCACTTTGGCAGCGACGGCGCCGCTATGACGGTCCTGCCCGCTGCCGGCTCCCATAAGAAGAGCGGCAAGAAGCCCGCCAAGGACGTATCCCAGTCGACCATCTTCACACGCAACACCAGCAGCAGCAGTACTGGCAAGGATGGCAAGGATGGCAAGGACGGCGAACGTCGCTCGCGTTTCTCCGACAGCAGACTTATGCGCTCGCTGCCGTCTCTGAAGCAAAAGCTTTCCTCGAGCAAACGCCGCTCGTCGTCCGGTCTGTCGTCCAAGTCGTCCAAGCATGCAAGCGCAGGCGGCACCGGCGGCAGCCGCATCCTCGAAGAAGACGAAGACGCCGATGCCGAGGCAGAGAGCTCCCACACGCCGTCCTCGACCCAGACACGGCTCCCCCGCGGCAGCGGCGCCACCTCGGACGTCGATGTCGCTGTCGGCTCCGCGCGCGGCTCCAACCACTCTCCGAGCATCCAGGTCACGCGGGCGGAGCGCAGCAATAGCGTCCGCAGCATCCCTGTCATGTCCCGTATGCTCGAGGCCAAGGAGCTGGCGTCCCTGCGGCCCAGTTTCGACATCGACCGGGACCGCAAGGCCGGCGACAAGGACAAGGGCGATGTTGTCGATGCCGAGGACGGCGGCCCGTCGGCACTGTCCCGCAAGTTGATGGAAATCTTCGAGTTCGACAAGCCGGAAGAAGTCATTGAAGAATACCCTTGCTGGCTGCTGCAGAGCGTCTTGCTGCAGGGCTACATGTACATCACGTCGCGCCACATTTGCTTCTACGCCTACCTGCCCAAGAAGGCCAACGAGGTCGCCAAGTCGGGCTACCTGGCCAAGTCGGGCAAGCGGAATCCCAAGTACAACCGGTACTGGTTCCGGCTCAAGGGCGACGTGTTCTCCTACTACCGCGACGCCAAGAACCTCTACTTCCCCCACGGCCAGATCGACCTGCGCTACGGCATCTCCGCCACCGTCTCCGACCAGGACAAGGACGGCGTGCACTTCCAGGTCGTCACGCACCACCGCACCTACTTCTTCCGCGCCGACAGCGCCGCGAGCGCCAAGGAGTGGGTCAAGAGTCTGCAGCGCGTCATCTTCCGGTCGCACAACGACGGCGACAGCGTCAAGATCTCCCTGCCCATCGAGAACGTGATTGACATTGAAGAGAACCAGGCCATGGTCGAGTTCACGGAGACGTGCAAGATCCGCGTCATCGATAACGACGAGACGTTTGCCATTGACGAGTACTTCTTTTCCTTTTTCGACTACGGCAAGGATGCCGTGCGTGTTCTCAAGATCCTCATCGACGCCAACAACGTCAACAGCAACAGCAACAACAACGCCGATTCCGACAACCAGAGCGGCCAAGGCACGCCCAGCCGCGCCTACGGTCGGCGCCTCGATCTACCGTCGGCCGGCCAGGGCATGGACGACCGCGTCTCGCAGGACTCGACCGGCAGCGTCGCCTTTGGCGCCGGCCAAGAGCGCATGTCCATGTCCAAGCCGCCTTCCAAGCTGCAGGACTCGGTACGCGCGACGCTCCTTTCGATTCCTCCCACGGCAGCCAGCAGTCCGCGTGCCAGCGGCGAAATCCCGCGCACCAGCTTTGATGCGCTGCGCTCGTCCTTTAGCCCGACCCGTCGCAGCCTCGACACGAGCCAGGTCCTGCGGGCCAACCCGCCGCGCCGGAGCTTCAGCGATCGGATCAAAGGCGCGTCCGGCGAAAAGGTACAGCGCAAGGTCAGCCTGCGCAGCACATCGGCCGCACAGCCGCAATCGTCTGACCCGCAGGACTCGACCGATTCGTTCATGCAGTCGTCCGTGGAAGATCCGAGCCAAATCAGCTTTTCGAACATGGCGGCCTCTTCCAGCGACGACCCCTCGGCCAGCCAGATCCTGCACGGCAGCGACGTGTTCCAAAGCCCGACGGTCGATGCAGGCTCGCCCCATTCCGCAGGTCCCCCTCCATCTACGTCTCGGCCCGCCGCCGCCGCCGCCGCCGCCGCCGCCAAGCCTCTACCACGCCATTCTGCCACGACCGGCGACATTCGCAAGTTCAAAGGTGCCGCTTCCGACGAAGTCGGAGACAACGAGGAGGGCCTGGCCCAGAACCTGGCCCGCCTTGGCACCTACCCTCTGCAGCGCGCTGGTGCCTATGCTGGCTGGCTGAACCGCCAGTCGCGCCGCATGAGCACCATGCTGGCGACCGAGTCCATGGGCTACGTCGAGAAGGTGTCGGGCATGTGGAAGGGCGGCCGCCAGCACTACGACGACGCATCTCTGACGCCGCACGCGGATGCTGGCATTCCCGACGGCGAGCCCGGCATGTCCGTGGCGGACGCGATCGTCTCCAACGAGCATTTCCGCGAGCACTTTGCCTTGCCCGACACCGAAAAACTGGAGGCGACGTACTTTGGCTCCATCATGCGCGTGCTGCCCCTGTATGGCAAGATTTACGTCAGCCAGCGCTACTTCTGCTTCCGCAGCCTGGTGCCCGGTACGCGCACCAAGCTGATCCTGCCGCTCAAGGACATTGAGAACGTGGTCAAGGAAAAGGGTTTCCGCTACACGTACGCCGGCCTGGTGGTCGTGATCCGCGGCCACGAAGAGCTCTTCTTTGAGTTCCACCAGGCCGAACTGCGCGACGACTGCGCCATCACCCTGCTGCATCTTCTCGACCGGTTCCGCTCGGCCAAGGAGTCGGGTGTCCTGAGCGACCAAGACAAGGCGGAAGCCGATGTGGCCCTCGCTGAGCGCGATGCGCTGAAAGAGGCCCGCGAGGAGGCCGCGGCGCGCATGGACGACCACGCCGAGACGCCGGCCGAGTCCACCGCCGCGGCCGTCGCCACGGCCAAGGCGGTGGCTGCCTCGAGCGAAGCCAAAGCCGAGCGGCTGAACCGCAAGATCCTGCGCCAGTCGGCGCTCATGTCGGAAGCGCCCACGATTCTCTTCGACGACCCGAAAGCGTCCTTTCTCAACTTCAAGCCCGCCAAGCCCCTGCGCATCACGTGCCTCACGATTGGCTCCCGCGGCGACGTGCAGCCGTACATTGCGCTGGGGCGCGGCCTGCTGGCCGAGGGCCACCACGTGCGCATCGCCACACACCCCGAGTTTGAGGGCTGGATCCGCAGCCACGGCCTGGACTACGGACGCGTGGCGGGCGACCCGGGCGAGCTGATGCGCATCTGCATTGAGAACGGCACCTTTACGATCCAGTTTTTGCGCGAGGCCAACAGCAAGATGCGCACGTGGCTCGACGAGCTGCTGTCCACGGCGTGGACGGCGTGCCAGGGCGCGGACCTGCTGATCGAGTCGCCCAGCGCCATGGCCGGCATCCACATTGCCGAGAAGCTGCAGATCCCGTACTTCCGGGCGTTTACGATGCCGTGGACGCGCACGCGGGCGTACCCCCACGCGTTCCTGATGCCCGAGCGCCGGATGGGCGGCGCGTACAACCAGTTCTCGTACGCCATGTTTGAAAACATCTTTTGGCGGGCGACGGCCGGGCAGGTCAACCGGTGGCGCAACAAGACGCTGGGGCTGCGCAACACGTCGCTGGAAAAGCTGCAGATCAACAAGGTGCCGTTCCTGTACAACTTTAGCCCGTGCGTCGTGCCGCCGCCGCTGGACTACAGCGACTGGATCCGCGTAACGGGCTACTGGTTCCTCGACGAGGGCACCAACATCAAGAAGGCCAACAACAACAGCAGCAGCGAGCCCGAGGGGAACGAGGTGGCCGAGGCCAAGGAGCCGGCCTGGACGCCGCCGCAGGACCTGCTCGACTTTATCGCCAAGGCGCGCAAGGACCGCAAGAAGATTGTGTATGTCGGGTTCGGCTCGATCGTGGTGGCGGACCCAGCCAAGATGACGCAGGAAGTGATTGACGCCGTGCACAAGGCGGACGTCCGCTGCATCCTGTCCAAGGGCTGGTCGGACCGGCTGGTGGCCAAGAAGGACGACAAGACGGAGGCGGCGGCAGAGGCAGAGGCGGAGGCGGCGACAGGACTTGTTCTGCACGCGGACCCGCCCGAGGACGTGCTGCCGGCGGAGATCTTCCCCATCAAGTCGGCGCCGCACGACTGGCTGTTTGCGCAGATCGACGCCGCGGCGCACCACGGCGGCTCCGGCACGACGGGCGCGTCGCTGCGCGCCGGCATCCCGACCATCATCCGGCCCTTTTTTGGCGACCAGTTCTTCTTTGGGATGCGCGTGGAGGACCTGGGCGTGGGCCTCTGCCTCAAGAAATGGGGCGCCATGTCGTTTGCGCGCGCGCTCTGGGAGGCGACCAACTCGGAGCGCATGATCCGCAAGGCGGCCGTGCTGGGCGAGCAGATCCGCGAGGAGAACGGCGTCGACACGGCCATCCAGAGCATCTACCGCGACATGGAGTACGCCAAGTCGCTGGTGCGCGAAAAGGCCGTCAAGAGCGGGATGCTGCGGAGCGGCGGCGGCACCGAACGCGCCGACCGCGGCCACGGCAAGAATGACAACAACACCGACAGCGACGAGGAGGCGTACAACGACGATGACGACGACGACGACGAGCCCGAGGAGAGCTGGACGTTTGTCGGGGACGATGACCCGATGCAGCAGTCGGTGATCCTGACGCCAGATGCCGGCCGCGCCAGCGGTGACGACGGCGTGGTGCAGCCGGCCAGCAGCGGTGCCGGTGGTAGCAGTGGCAGTGGCGGCTACAAGGCCTTGGGAAGCCGCATTCTTGGCATTGCGACGGCGCAGAAACAATAAAGTTGTTTTTGTTCTGGGTTTTCACATTTCTTTCTTGTTCTTCTTTCTATGGACTTGTTATATCTTTTCGCCTCTTGTCACGGACGTACGACCCTGGCCCATGATGTCTTTTGGTTTTTTGTTCCTTCCTAATATCCCTCTGTTTTATACGTTACTTTTGCCGCATCGTCTCTGCCATCTCTCGTCCTACATGTTTACTATGGCTTATCTACGACATTGTGTTCTGCATGGCATATATTTAGACGGAAAGCATATTAGATTGTGGGAGGGCCATGGCCCCTATTTTTTATTTTTGGTTTCATGTTGTCAACCTTTGGTGGTTTATTTAGAACTGGGACAGTGAACGAGCGACTTTTGTTTGCTTTTTTGAATGAAATGCCAACGGTTTCTCGTCGTTTTCGTTGTGGATCGCTGACGTCGTGTCACTCCGGAATCTTTGCACCCAGCTGCTGCCAAAAGGCACAACGCTCACCCCGGCCGCCCTCCCAGGCATCGGCGTCCTCGGCGGAGAACTGGTTCACAGGCGCCAGGGATGACGACGTCGTCTGGTTGAGGTTGACCAGTGCGTGGCCGCCATGGGGAGCAGCCCAAGAAGGCCACTGGGCCGCAGCGTTCGGGGCCGTCTTGTTTGCCGATGAGGCCCCGTTGGCCACCGCCAGCGGGATCGACGGGTTGCCGGTGGCGACGAAGGCGACGATGCTCTCTGCGAGACGCGGGAGACGCAGAAGTTAGCAATCGAACATCGACAATCTATCGACAACACAAAAAACAGAGTAGATGGAACATACCTCGAAACGCCTGCACAAATTCCGGGCCCAGGTTTGGTGTGGCCGGTCCCCAGTACGCGGCCAGGTCGGCGCCATGGGCCGCAAAGGGGACGGAGTACTGGTAGTGATACGACGAGCGGCTTGTGGTAGTGCTGTTGTTGCTCGAAAACGCCGTCGAGAGCCAGTAGCTCGGGCACACGACGGCGACTTCGGCATAGAGGTTCTTGCGATAGTCAGCAGCTGCAACTTTGGAGTGTCAAACGCTAACAGGGGGGGCACACCATGGACGTACATAGGCCCTCTGCTGCACGCTGGTGGCAGCACTGGTGCCGCCGTTGGCCGGTGCGTACTTTGCCAGTATCGCGTCAATGTCGTCCGGGCCGAGCTCTTGCAAGTAGGCCTGCAACCAAGTGCGCAGATCGGCCTCCGTGTGCAGGTTGGACGGCACCAGCAGCACGCCCTCGTCGGCATTGTTCCCGATAAAGGCGTTGACGCCGTGGAGGTCGGTTCGGCTCCCGTTGGCGCCAGCACCAGCGCCGCCACCGAGAAGAAGGGCACTCGGCGGTGCTGTCAGAAACTGGCCGTCCGTCACGGGCACAAAGGCCCAGTTGCCGATGGGCGTCGGCGGCGTCGACGACACCAAGTTGCTGGCCTTTTGCAGGGTGAGGCTGTCCTGGGCGACGAGGCAGGCGAAGGCGTCCGCCGACGCGTTGCAGCCGGCGGCGGAGACAAAGTCGGCATAGTGGCGCTCCGGGACGGCGCTGTCGAACCGCGGCTGGGTTGGGATCCACGACGAGGCGGTCCAGATCTGGCAGCGAGTGAGCGGTGCACGGGACGAAAGCGACATTGAACAATAGAAAACGAACATACATTCTGGAACAGTGGCTGGGCATCTGCGCCGCCGGATCCGCTGGCTGCCACGGTATGCAGCAACACCGAACCGGCACCGGCGGACTCGCCCGAAAGCGTGACCTTTGCCTTGTCGCCCCCAAACGCAGCAATGTGCCGCTGCACCCACTCCAAGGCGGCCCGCTGGTCCAGCAGGCCGGCGTTGAGCTGGCCACGGCGGTGGATTTCCTTGGACGCCAGAAATCCGAAAGCACCGAGGCGGTACTGGATCGAGACGGCCACGATGGGGTGGGCATGGGCGGTGGCCGTCAGCAGCCCCGACATGTCCTGGGTGCCGTCGCCTTGGCCATAGCCGCCACCGTGGATCCAAACGAGGACGGGGAGGAGACTGCCGTTTGTGTTGGCGGGTGCGTACACGTTCAGAAACAGGCAGTCCTCGTTGCCGGGGGTGAACGCGGGCGTCGTACGCGGGTATTGGGACAGCGACTGTGGGCAGGCAGGTCCGAAACGGTCAGCCAGGACGGGTGTCTGAGAAGCATTCTGGGACGAGCTGCTGCTGCTCTCAATCGACTGCGGCACCTGCCATCGGAGACGGCCGACGGGGGGGTATGCATAACGAATGCCCTTCCAGACGTTGAGGCCGGTGGTGGCATTGTGCACGCCTGAGTACGACGCATAGCCGAGATCGACAGTGATGGGCGTGGCCGTCACGGCATGAGCAACTGCGGCTATGGCGACAAACGAACCAAATCGGAGAAACATGGTTGCTTGCTGCTACGTGTATATCCGGTGATCTTGGCGCGTTGTGATGTTTGCGATATTCATCACGAACCGTTTAGCACGATGATTGACTACAGCCCAGGAAACAGCAGTCTTAAAGGACGATCCCAATGCCAATCCAGTTTCCAGGTTCTTACGGATATCCAGAGAACACTAGACTGACCGCCAGTCCGACTGTCCGACTGCCAGGCTAAATCCAGTCGACGGCTGATTCTGGTATTGCATGCAGCCCCGGGCGGTTGTTGGAAATTAATATATTCGTCATAACATCATAACTGACAATTTCAAGTTTTGCAGCCCGCATCGTAGCGTTCCCGGCCTTCCAATCTGTGTCATCCATAAACACGCACACACAGCCTCTGCTCACTTGGGCGCATCGGTCAATGGCACGTACCGCACGCCCATCAGCCGTTTCTTCGTCACCGTGCCGTCCGCCGCCTTGTCAATCTGCCACACCCACTGGTCGCCCGCGCCGCCGTCGGCCTCGTCGTCCATGGGGATAAAGATGCGGCCCGGCGCGCGCAGCTGTGCGAGGAGTTCCGGGTGCAGCGTGGCAGCCGCGGCGCCGACGTGGATGGCGTCGAAGCCGTGGTCGCCCACGAGCGACGCCGGCGCGCCCTTGCGGCCGTCGCCCACGACAAACTGCACGCGGCCCGTCGCCAGCAGCTGCCGGCCGTCCGCGCTCTTGGCCATGTTGTGCCGCGCCTGGTCGCAGAGCGCGCCAATGTGCTCGACGCCGACGACGGAGCCGGCGGGCCCGGCGAGCGCGGCCAGGACGTGCGTCAAGTAGCCGCTGCCGCTGCCAATGTCGAGGATGCGGGGGCTGTTGCTGCTGCTGCTGCTGCTGCTGCTGCTGCTGCTGCTGCCGGCCGCATACGGCAGCAGGTTCTCCGCCGCCAGCGCGTGCATGTGCGGCGCGGAGATGGTCACGCCGTGGCCAATGGACTGCGGCGCGTCCTTGTAGGGGCTGCGCGGCGCGTAGTGGGCGCGGTCGACGGCGAGAAAGGCCTGCTTGACGCGGTCGTCGGTGATGATGCCGTGGGCGCACAGGTTGTCGACGAGCTCGGCCAGCGAGTTGCCGGAGCTGCGCCAGGCCATGGTGGCGTATGAAGACGAGGACGATGCTGGCGGCAGCCGAGGGAAGAGGACCCGGGCGGTGCGTTTGAAAAGTCCTGCCAGGGTGGGTGAGGAGTGGGGATCAAGTAGTCACGCAGTAGCTGCAGCGGAGTGCGTTGTGGGACGACGTTGAATTGATTTGATGGTGCAGCGGGTTGTGGTGAGCGACGTTGAGTATAAGAGTCGAGATCATTTGAGGTGGTGGACGCATGACATGTAAGTGGGTGGCGACAGCGCTAGACCCGCTGGCGGCGGCTGTTGGTGAACCCTGCTAGCGAATCACCCCACAGCGGATCGTGTGCGTCACAGCGTCCATGGGCAGTGCAGCAGACCACTCTACGATTTAAAGTCATTTCATTACGTGCAGAAACGGACGACTGCTCTCATGGCACAGAACAATGTCTACGACGATCGAGCCAAAGAAATGTGGATGGATTTGACGCAAGGAAAGGAGTAAGGAATGTATGCTACTGAAAGCCCAAATATGCCGGCAAAAGACAAAACAAAACAAGCAATACACAAAGTAAAAAGAGCCTCCAACGGCCTAGACGACACGCTCGGGGTTCTCCCCCTCGGCAATGACCGCGACGCCCAGCCCGCGGTCCGGGCTCTGCAGCACCAGCTGCTCGTGCCGCCGCGCCCGCAAAAAGTCGCTCACGCTCTTGATCAGAATCAGCCACCCCACAATCATCAGCGCGTACGCGGCCCACTCGCTGCTGGCAATGTCCGACAGGCTCGCCCCGATGCCGCCGCTTCCGCCGCCGCCCGACACATCGCCGGTGCCCACCGTGCTGGGGTCGAAATTGTGCGCATTCGGGTCCGGCGGGGCCGCGTAGCCGTCGGACGACTTGGCGGCCGCCGCACCGGCAGCGTCCATGCCGCTGCCGGCGCCGCCGCTGGCGTCGCCGGATCCTTTGACGTAGAACCCGTACTGGATCAGGGTGATGCCGAGGCCGGCACGGGAGCCGTTCTTGGCCGCGTGCGTCGAGTGCAGCAGGTACGTCAACAGGAAACCGACAATCTGGAAGGACATGGAGATCATGCCGTTCCAGGCAAACGAGAACACGGACCCGACGGGCATGCCGTCCACATACACGTCGTCGGGGCCGCCCAGGTGCGGGGCCAGGATCGTCGTCTCCCAGTACGGCGGGGCGACGTCGGCCGCGGCCTGTTCGTAGGTCTACTCTGTTAGCATCATTCGTGGTATTGTATCCATCACGCCATCACAGCAGGGACTTGGGAAACCAACCGGAGGCAATTCGTCCTTTTCCTCGCCCGGCTCTGGCCGCGCCGTCAGGTTGGAAAACACGCCGTCTGACTGGATGCCGCCGCCGTAGACGCGGCCGCTCGTGGGCGTCGGCGTGGTGCCCGACGCCGGTGCCGGTCGTCGTGTCGGTGCCAGCGCCGGCGACGGCGTCGACGTCGATGGCGTGGGTGCCGCGTTGCTGTCCGACTCTTCTGTCTCCGTTGCTGCTGCTGCTGCGGCCCCAGACCGCGTCATCCACGCCGGCGCCCGCATCGGCCGCAGCGCGTCCCGGCTGCGCATCAGCCGCTGCCGGTCGTCGGCATCCGCGCCGTCGTCGTCGTCACTGTTGTCGTCATTGTCGTCGCCAAACGCATCGACCAGCGCCGGGTCGACGACCGAGTTGGTCGTGTGGACGGAGGCGGTGCCGCGCCGTCGGCCGCCGCTCGTAATCGTCGGTGCCTGCGACGACGTGCGGGACCGAAACGACGGCGGCGGCGAGTTGGGGATGGTCGGGTTGGGCGAGAAGAGGCTGTCGTTGTGGCCAGGGGTGCGGTCGTCGTCGTGGTCGTCGTAGTCGTAGTCGTCCTCCTGGGCATGCACCCGCTCGTACCGTGCCGACATGGCTGCAAGCAGGCGGTCAAGCCAGAGACTAAGGACGGTGGGGAGATGGATGTTCTAATATGGAGAGGGCGAGGACGATGCTGTAGAGATGCAAAAATGCTGTATTTTGACGTAGCTGCTGCCGCTGCTTGCTATTGTTGTTGTTGTTGCTTGGTCGTGCGGATTGAAATGTGTCTGGAAAGGATGGATGCGGGCTCAACGGCTTGGCGGTTTCAGAGGAGGCAAAGGGAGGCGAAGGGACCGTCGAGAAGGGTGGAGTGTGGATGAAGAATGGAGGCCGTCGTCGAGGAGAGGAAGAGACGGCAGACGAAGAGAGCCAAAAGGCGTCAAGAGTGTCGGCACAGACGCAGTGTCGTGCTGTGTTTGTCGAGAAAGAGGATGGCTCGATTGAACGTGGTCGAAGGGACGTCAGGAACGACGATCACCAGAGTAGAGTGGGTAGAGTGAGCAGCCCGAGTGGGTTTTGGGTTGAGCAGATTACGAGTTACAAAGGGAATGGGAGGACGCTTCGGCGACTTGTTGGAATCCTGGCCGTTGCGCGGCCTTTTTTAGAACAGGCCAGGGGGGGAACAGGCCACTCAGTACTCTGTAGGCGAGTCTATGGCGCAGTCAGGGGCCTCGGGAGCGTCTGCGGCGCATTGGGCGCTGCCTAGACCTGGCATGGCAGGCGCCGGAACGCAGGGGCGAAACTACGGCATTTTGGCTTGCTGACGTTATGCGATTGGCGGCAGCTCGGGCAATGCAAGGCGAGCGAGGCTATCTGCCACTGGGTCTGCTTCAGTGGAGTTCGACTGCTTTCCACGGCGCCACAGCCCCAGAGACCTAAGTTGGTGCCTTGTTTGTGGGGCATCACTGGCCTCGTCCGCGTCTCCACTCTTTTGCTCCAAAATCCGACGCTCTCCAACAAAAGCGGCCAATCAGACAGCGTCATTTGGGTGAAGTTGCAGCTCACATTAACTTTTTGAATTTGCGCTTCCGAGCCTCAACGATACCATCCAGCCGTGCAAGTACCGTCGACGGCAAGCAACCACAATGTCGGGTCTAAAGAGTGTACGTCCGCGATCCTGGAGACCACCGACCACCACTTGGTTCACTCGCTCACACGCAATAGGTCCTCACAAAACAATACAAGGCGGCTTTTGCCCGCTGGCCCAAAGACCAGTTGCGCCCGGATGTCCAGCTCCAGGACGTCCTGGGCGGCCAGCATCTGGCCGACCGTCTTGCCGGCCGCCGCTCCCTGGCCTCGCCCGTCACCGACATTGCCATTGAGCGCGCCACCGGCCGCCCGCCGCCGAACCCGCCCGCGTCGGACCTCGCCCAGCTGCGCCAGGTCAATGCGCTGCAGTCGCTGCTCGACGACCGCTACAAGAAGACGCACCGCTTGACGGGCCCGCTGATGACGCCGCGCAGCAACCCGACCTACTACACGGACTTGATCACGGAGCTGGAAGAGGCGCCGACGCGGAGTTTCTTCGGGCGCTTGCGGAAGCGGCTGGGCGGCATGTTCCGGCTGTCGTAGGCGAGTGGTTGTGACGACGAGTCGAGGCGAAGCCGGACATCGAAGCGAAACCAGCCACAGCGACAAGACACCGAACGACAAACGAAAAGAGTACGGAAAACGAAAGATGTGCCTAAACTGGGCAACTGCATTGCACGGCGTTATTGGACTATAAAAATGGCGAAACGATCTTGGGCTAGCATTGGAACGGATAGATGGAGACAGGATGTCGATGATACGGATAAAAGAAGCAATGATTGACAAAACAACGGGCAGAACATTAGCAAATGTACTGGTATTGTATATTCTATCCGTCCAGGCTCTTTTCGCATGATACCTCTCCCATACAAATCAAATAATTCGAACTTATTGGAATTATGAACTTTTCAATGGACAGGAAATAAAGCAAAGCAAAAAAAAAACATAGGAACATGAGAACAAGAAAATAAGTGAGCAAGAGAAGCCGCCCTATATGTACCGCGACTCTGGGTCCAGCCGGTCCATCAGGTCAATGCTCTTTTCGTACATGGTAAAGACAATGCCGCCGCTCATCACCAGCCGCGCCAGCCGCGGCAGCGCGCCGCTCCAGAACGTCAGCAGGCCCTCCTGCTTGAAGATGAGCGCCGCGCACCGCAGGCTGTTGCCGTAGACGCTGCGCGCCTCGATGCTCTGCATGCGCGTCTTGATCGTGTCCAGCGGCTGCGTCACGGCCACCGTCACCAGGCCCGCCAGCGCGCCCATGCTGAACGTGCCGACCGTGCCCAGCTTCTCGCCGGGCGCCGTGTAGCTCTCGGCGAGCTGCTTGAAGAACGTGTACGACGAGAAGCGCACGGCCGAGTTGGCCGCCTGCCGCGCCGTCGTCGGCACGAAGCCCTGGAAGAAGCCGCGGAGGCCGCGCTCGCGCGCAATGATGGGCACGGCGTGCAGGAACCCGCGCAGGCGCGGCTGCGCCCGCTTGCGGTCGTCAATGAGCGTCGTCTTGATGCTCTCCGTGGGCGTGACGGCGAGCAGCGACTCGGTGACGCCGGCGCCGAACCCGGCGAGCACCGTGCGCGGCCCCGTCATCTTGCCGTTCTCGTCGGCCAGCAGCCGCTTGTACTGGTCGAACGCGACGAAGCGGATGCCCGCCTTGGCCGAGTTGCCAATGATGAGCGTCGTGCAGCCGGCGTACCACTGCGGGCCGAACTTGGGCCACGGCAGCTTCTGGCCGTCGGCAAGCCGGCGGTTGAGCTGCGTGCGCGTCTTGGCGACTGGGGCGTGCTTGTTAGGAAACGAAGGTCATGTGCGAGGGGAGCATGGTCAGCAGGCGAAAAAGGACGTACACTCGGCAGGGTAGGTAATGGCTGGATGTGGGTGTCAGCAGGAGCAGGTCACACAACAATTCAACAATTCCACAATTCCACAACACGACAGCCATCGGACGCACCAATCTCCACTGCACCGGCCGTCGAACCGGCAATAATCGACCGCAGCGGGCTCGGCGTCTTCTTCTTCTTGCTGCCGCCGGCATCGGCCGCGGCTACAGGTGCAGCCGCCGACATGATGACGTATGGAGGGGTTGAGACGCTCAAGGGAGGATCGAGGGAGGATCAAGGGAAGACGGAGACGGTAACAAAACGTTGTCGTGGTGTCGTGGCGGGCTGTGTGTTGACGTCGCAAGGCTGGCGCACGAGACAATTTCTTGGATTTTTGTCTTTCTCGTTCCTACGCTATTTTTTTGCCAATGGGCTCGGAGTGACGCCATGCGGAGAGCAACCGGCCGCTGGCATGTGCTGGAATGGTGCCCACTTTTCGCACTGTTCTCGCCTGGCCTGGCCTGCCGAACCGCTGCCGAGGGCTTTACTGCACTGTAATTACCGTGGTAGCGTTTGTTACCGCATCCCGCGTCGAGACAGAACGACAGAGTCGCACAATCTCTGGCAACCTTGTGGCTGAGGATGATATCGCAGACAACAAATGTGTTGAAAAATTTAAGAAAAAATTGCGGCTATCCATTTAAATTCCTTGATATTTACAAAAGTTTTCAGCTACTGTTTGGCGGAGTTTTAATTATTTTGAACGCTTCAAAGTTTTTATTATTTATACTTGTTTTATTTAAAATTAGTTATGAAATATTCCAAAAACTACACTTTATTTTCCAATTGAGGATTCTTTATAACCAATTCTTAAAATACCTCCTCAATTGTAGTTATTCGATACAGAATATAGTACACCGCTGCGCTGCAACGGCACACCTGTGCCTCCTGGAAATGTGATTGTATTGAAACGCCTGCTGTAAATGCATGTTCTCACGAACCAAGGTGCATCCCACCGCCAACCAAAGCTCTCCCAGAAAACGCCAACCGGCTATCCTACTTTCTGATTCCTGTATCAAATCATGTCCATTTCATCCTCCTCCTCGTCGGCATACTGGTCGCGGCCATGGCCGCCATGGCCGCCACGACCCGTCATTTTGCTCGACAGGAACTCGTGCTTCAGCGCTTCTTCAGCGCTGATGCGGCTGCTCGGGTCCAGGTCCAGGCATCGGTTCAAAAACTTGACGGCTAGCTTCTCGTCCTCGCTCAGCGGCACCAGCGTCTTGCTGTTGTCGATGCGGCAGTTGCTCCACAGGATGATCCGCTCCAAGCTGAACCCTTCACGCCCGACGGTCGGAATCGTCGTCTCGAACATGCACCCGTGCAATTGGCCGGCAATTTTCATGCGCTTGCTGCCAAAGATGGTCGCAATCTCAATCATGGCCTCCACGTCGTCCGCGCTGTTGAAGAAGGGGAACCGCCGTGACAGGAGGGTCAACAAGATGACGCCGACGGACCATATATCGATCTTGGTGGTCTGCTCTGTGCACTTGAACAGCACTTCGGGTGCGCGGAAGCCACGCGTGCCCGCACGGTTCGCCCGCCGCGACGGACGCGTATCCGACTTGGGGTAGCCGTTGTGCGCCGCGTTCGGCACATAGGCCGCGCGGATGCGTGCTTTGCGCACGCTCTCCACCTCGTGGCATAGACAGGGTTTGGTGTCGCTGCCCTCGCGCTCGGCCAGGCCAAAGTCGACGAGCACGCCCCGGCCTGTCGAAGGATCATACAGGAAATTCGTTGGCTTGATGTCGCGGTGCAGAATGTTGGCGCGATGCACGGCGGCAAGCGCCTCGAACAGCGACCGCAGGTAGATGGCCATGTCCGTCACCTTCATGTGGCGATAGTACTCGCGGAAGTCCTGGTGCCGGAAGTAGGGCAGGACGGCGACAACCTGATCCGTGCTGCGGAAGGCGGTGATGAGCGGGCAGACGGACGGTGACGACCGCAGGTCGTGCAGCAGCTCGAGCTCGTTGAGGATGCGCAGCGGGCTGGATGTGACGTAAATCTTCTTGATGGCGACGTACTTGGCGCGACGCCGGGGTTTCCTGTCCTGCGAGAGATGACGCTCGTCGTGCTCGTCAAGATGCCGGTCAGACCGCCGTGCGCCGCCGACCGTCCTTGTGCGCTTGAGCGGCGGGGATGACCACTTCTCAGCGTCCTTGTCCAGGTCCCAGGAGTTGTCGTAGCGCTCGTACTGCAGGTCCTCTGCCTTGTACACCGTCGAGAATGTGCCTGTACAGTCGAGTTAGAATTTGTAGCCAGAAACAACGCTTCGCAGGACAGGAAGAGAGCCGCACCCTCGCCGATTCGCTTGATGAGCCGGAACTGGTTGCGGAAGCTTGGAAACGTGGCCTGCAGCTTCTCCATGTCATACTGCACCGCCTCGTCGATGACATCGTCGTCCGAGGTGTCTCCACCTTCGTCAATGTCGTCCTCGCCATTATTGTCGTCAGGGCCTTCTTCTGCCTCGCTTTTTGCCGTCTCGGCATCTTCTTCGTCGTCGTCCTCGACCCCTTCGCCTAATATGACCTCCTCGTCCTCGTGTGCCTCGTCGTCGTCGTCATTCTCACCACCATAGCCTTGATCGTCCTGGTCTTCATCATGCTCGTCCGGCTGGTCGTCGTCGTCGTCGTCGTCCCCATCCTCTTGAGTCGACTGAAGGTGCGCCACGACGTCGTTGATCATGGGCGTATCTTCCCGGAAAGCCATGTCCTCGTGGATCTTGAATGGCTCGTCATCCCGCTTCCTCCGCAAGCCCGTCGCCATATTGGATACTGGAGAAGGATGCGCAAAATGGGACGAAAGCAAAGAACAGACGAAAGAAGTCGTGCGGCCAGTCGAGGACGGGTTGCTCGCAAACAAACCCGGTACCGTTGGTGACAAAAGGACTAACACGCAGTAAACGACAGACGATTGAGCACCCACCACCCAATTGGCATGTTCTGCATGTTGTGTAGTGGTGGTGTCCCAAACATTTGTTGACAATCCCCAAAGAAGCTGCTAGAGCCGTGGCCGAGAAGGCTGACAAGAGGCTAAAGCCGCTGTGACGCGGTTTTTGCGTGCGTCGCTTTAGTGGGGTGACAGACCAGAACGCGTCAGGGCGCAGGGGGCGGGCTTATTTTAGCGGCAGTCCCAAAACGGCAATTGCGCAAAGTAAACATAAACAAGCCGTTGCCAGGCCCCGCCTTCCCTTTGCGCACTTTCTGCACCCAAACACTCCAAACACACCAAACACCAGACGGCAAGAGGGGACACAATAGCCCCAGGTCCAGGTCGCACTTTCCCCTTCCGCTCGGCTGCTCCATGCATGCAGGAAGGAGCCCAAAACATTGGCCAAACATCGCCAACCGAACGACAGGAATTCCAGTGGCTTCACTTTTTGCGACCACGGCCTCCTTACCGGCGCATCGACCGGCCCTGTCCCCTGCCGCCCTTTCGCTTTTCTCTCTTCTTTTTTCGTTTTCTTTCTTCTTTTCGTTTCTTTCCTCTCTTTCTCTCCAACTGCACAGGTCTGCGCTGCTGCGCCCTCCCTCCCCCTCCCAGTCGCCCATCATGGACGCCGTCGCCTTCGACATCAACAATGCCCTCAAGTTCTACATGAGCGACCCGGCCTCGATCCCCACGCCCGAAGCCGACGCCGCCCTGTTCGACTGCGAGAACGACCCCGAGGCCCTCACCAACGCCGTCATCTCGCCCGTGCTCAACCCCATCGTCGACGCCGTCGCCGAAAGCCCCGATGCCATTACGCGCAGCAGCTATTTTGACTCGTTGCAGTTTCTCTTAAAGTGCGCCTTTTCCACATCATCTTCTTCTGCTCATGCCCCCCTCCCGTTTTCTCTGTCTTCTTCTTCTCGTCTGGACACGCCGTCCAGCACGCCTTTGGGCACACCATCACAAAGCAAACGCCTCTCGGGCGCTAGCCAACCTCGTCTGTCGGGAACCCATTCTGAACTTTCACCCTCTTCTTCTTCCAGGTACACTTCGTTTCTCCCGACGCATGCGCTCAGCAAGGTCTTTGACCTGATCACGTCGGGCCTGTCCGCCGAGGCCGATGCCGTCAACCACGACCTCGAGGCCGACGAGCAGGACCTGATTGCGCACCACAAGCACCTGCTCGAGATCTACGGCTTCCTGCTGCAATGGACCGTCTCTGCGGTCGAGACCCGCGCGGCCGAGAAGTCGTCGTCCGCCCCCGCCGCCCGCGGCAGCAGCAAGGCGCGCGGCAAGAAGGCCGCCTCCGAGAACGACAAGGACAGCAGCTGGGACTCGTCCGCACAGCTGCAGACCGCCCTCGACACGATGTGCAAGGTCCTGCGCCTCAAGCTGGCCAAGATCTTCTTGACGACCTCGGAGCGCGACACGTTTATGGGCCTGCTGACGCGCCCCGTCTACCTGATCCTCGAGAGCGAGCAGCGTGTCAAGTCCATGCCCATCCGCATGCACGCCTTCAAGGTGCTCTGCATGGCCGTCAAGCACCACGGCCACGCCTACGCGGCACAGATTTCGATTGTGCAGAATCTGACGTACTTTGAGCACCTGTCGGAGCCCATGGCCGAGTTTCTGCACATCCTGTCCGAGCAGTACGACTACGAGCAGCTGGCCAACGAGATCCTGGTCGAGCTCAGCAACAAGGAGTTTAGCAGCAACGACACGCGCGGACCCAAGCAGGTCTCGACGTTTGTCATCAAGCTGTCCGAGCTCGCGCCGCGCCTCGTCATCAAGCAGGTCGCCTCCCTCATCAAGCAGATGGACAGCGAATCCTACACGCTGCGCTGCGCGCTCATCGAGATCTGCGGCAACATGATTGCGTACCTCAGCCGCCAGGAGGAGCGCGGCGACGACCACAAGTCGCAGCTCAACGCCTTCTTCAGCGTGCTCGAGGAGCGCTTCCTCGACATCAACCCCTACTGCCGCTCGCGCACCATCCAGGTGTACGTCAAGCTGTGCGACCTGGACATGAAGTTCCCCAAGCGCCGCCTCAAGGCCGCCGAGCTCGCCAACCAGAGCCTCGAGGACAAGAGCAGCAATGTGCGCCGCAATGCCATCAAGCTGCTGGGCTGCCTGATCAAGACGCATCCCTTCACGGCCATGCACGGCGCCCAGCTCTCGCGCAAGGAGTACCAGGAGCGCCTCGACATGGTCGAGCAAGAGATACAGTCGCTGCGGCCGCCCGAGGGCGCGCCAGACCTCGGCGAGAAGAGTGCCGAGGATGCCGGCAACACGACGGGGCTGCTGGACGAGGCAACCCAGATCGAAGGGTCTCCCCAGAAGGAGAAGGGCATGGCCGAGATGACCGACGAGGAGAAGATTGCTGCTGTCCGCAAGGCGCAGGAAGAGGCGGCCACGTCCGAAGCCATCAGCAAGCTGACCCTCACCAAGAAGTACTACTCGGAGGCGCTCAAGTTCATCAACATTCTGCACGAGGCTACCACCACCATCTGCCAGCTGCTGGGCTCGCGCAACAAGAGCGAGGTCATTGAGGCGATGGACTACTTTGAGATTGGCGACGCCTACAACATTGAGCAGAACAAGATTGGCATACGCCGCATGCTGCGTCTTATCTGGACCAAGGGCAACAGCGACGAGGGCAAGGGCGTGCAGACGCACCTCATCGAGTGCTACCGCCGGCTGTTCTTTGAGGCGCCCGACGTGTTTGGCCCCAACGACGCAGCCAACTACATTGCGCGCAACATGATCTCGCTGACCTTTGGCGCCACGCCGGCGGAGCTCACGTCGCTCGAGCAGCTGCTGGCGACCATGATGAAGGGCGGCATGATCCCCGAGGTGGTGGTCGCCAAGCTGTGGCAGGTGTACGGCGTGCAGAAGCGCGAGATCTCGCGGACACAGCGCCGCGGTGCCATCATTGTGCTCGGCATGCTGGCCACGGCCAACCCGGAGATTGTCGTGGGCGAGATGGAGACGATGCTGCGCACTGGCCTCGGCGCGCACGGCCGCTCCGACCTGCAGCTGGCCAAGTACACGTGTGTGGCGCTGCAGCGGATCAACCCCGTCGGCCGCGCGGCAAAGGACTCGGGCGTGACGTTCTCGCGCCTCGCCAACGACCATGCCGTGCTCCTGAAGCTGGCTGCCATCATCGATGTGCCGTCGGAGAGCAAGGAGTGGTTCGGCGTGGCCGAGCAGGCCATCAATGCCATCTACGCCCTGTCCAAGCACCCGGACGTTCTCTGCAGCGACATCATCCGTCGCAAGACGCGCCTAGCCTTCGCGGCGCCGTCGCCGGCCTCCTCTCGGCCGACGTCACGCGGCGATGCCACGACGGTGCTCCCGACAGGCGATGCAGAGAGCAACGCTACGGTCGTCCTTCCCGAGACGCAAGCAGCGTCGCCGGCCAAGGCACAGTCACAGCGCGGCACCACAAATGCCCTGTCTCAGCTCCTGTTTGTCGTGGGCCAGGTCGCAATCAAGCAGATTGTGCACCTCGAACTGTGCGAGCAGGACTTTAAGCGGCGCAAGCAAGAGAAGGAGAAGCTGGAGGCCGCGGCCAAGATTGCTGAGGAGGAAGAGGCTGCCACGACCGGCAAGCGCGCTGCGGGACGGGGCAAGAAGGGTGGCAAGGCCCGCGAGGCTGCTGCTGCCTCGGCAGCGCCCGGTGCCGCCAAGGAGGACGAGGGCGACGAGCTGGACCTCATTGGCGGTACCACGGAGGACGACTTCACCGAGGCGATGCAGCACATTCGCGAGCGCGAGCTGCTGTACGGCCCCACAGCGCTGCTGGGCATGTTTGGCCCGCTGGTGTCGGAGATCTGCGCCAACAACATCGTGTACAAGGACAGGGGGCTGCAGGCCGCGGCGACGCTGTGCATGGCCAAGCTGATGTGCGTCAGCGCCGAGTACTGCGAGACGAATCTGCCGCTGCTCATTACGATCATGGAGCGGTCGACGGACGCGACGGTGCGGTCCAACGCGGTGATTGCGCTGGGGGACATGGCCGTCTGCTTCAACCACCTGATTGACGAGAACACGGACTTTTTGTACCGGCGCCTGGCGGACACGGACGACTCGGTCAAGCGCACGTGTCTGATGACGCTGACGTTTTTGATTTTGGCCGGCCAGGTCAAGGTCAAGGGCCAGCTGGGCGAGATGGCCAAGTGCCTCGAGGACGACGACAAGCGCATTGCTGATTTGGCGCGCATGTTCTTCACGGAGCTGTCGACCAAGGACAACGCCGTCTACAACCACTTTGTCGACATGTTCAGTCTGCTGTCGGCCGAGACGGCGCTCGACGAGGAGAGCTTCCGGCGCATCGTGCGCTTCCTGCTGGGCTTTGTCGAGAAGGACAAGCACGCCAAGCAGCTGGCCGAGAAGCTGGCCGCCCGCCTGGCGCGCTGCGACACGGAGCGGCAGTGGAACGACGTGGCGTTTGCGCTGGGCCTGCTGCAGCACAAGAGCGAGGACATCAACAAGGTGCTGTCGGAGGGCTTCCGCGTGGTGCAGATTTCCGGGTAGACTGGTGGTGGTGCTTTCTTTTGTTTTTGGTCGTTTCAGAGCTTGGATTGTATATTGTCTCTTGCGTATGGTATGGCAGTTCTGGTTGGACGGTTATGTTTTCTTATTTTGGGATACTCGCTTACGGACTGGGCATAATGAGAACAGAATGGATGTCGTTCACACTGCGTCGAGCTGTTCATTGCAGTCATTGACCATCGTACGTGCGGGACAGTGAATGTTTGGTAACGTCTTTATTTTTTTGCTTGTTCGGATGGCCTGCCTTGGTATCCAACTATGTACAGGACCGTTTGTCGTCCGTCGAATGCCGTCATCCTCGCGCCCATTCCATGCGCCTCGTCTCTTTCACCATCTCTCTGTTTTCGCTCCGTATGCCGCGTCTGCCGTCGTCATCCTCGCATCGCTCGACTGAATGCCCGCCTTTTGTGGCTCTTCACGCTTCGCTCCCACTCCGTGTTTTCGTCTCGTCGCCGCCGCCCCTTTTGCCTCCTTACTTGGTCGTCGAGCGCGGCGTCGCCGCAAACGTCGGCCGCACAAACCGGTCCGAGTTGTACACCTTGGTGTTGTCGCCCAGCAGCTCGCGCTCCCGCGCCTGGTCGGCCAAGTGCCGCCGCACCTGGTCGCGGTCCTCCTCGGCCTGCAGCAGCGGGATCAGGTGGATCCGCGACCACATCTTTTCACGGGCCATTTCACTAGAGTTGGGTTGTGTTAGCTTGTGTACTGAGCGTAGGCGGGAGATTGGAGGGGGGGGACATACTGCTGCTCTCTGACGCCGACGGCGAGCTTGTACCAGCCGTAGCCCATGGCGGCGCCCATGATGCCGAGCAGGATGGCCGGGCGGAAGCCGCGGGAAGGAAGGTTTCTCTGGATTGGGAGGAAGTTGTGGTTAGCCAGCGTTCTCTTGTCGTCCGTGTTGCAGGTTCCGTCCACGCTGTTCCGCAAAACTGCCGCGCCGTAGCATCCCTTTTCCCGATCGGACCTGCCACGGGCTGTTACCACGGCCTGCAGTCGTCCCTGGGCAGCGCATCTGTCGTCCAGCAGTCGGTATCGCCATTTTCCCATCTTACCTTGTACTGGACGGGGGCATAGCCGCCCGTCGGCGGCATATCCTGAGGCATGGTGGGCGGTTGTGAGTGTTGTGGATGTGGGAGAGGAGGGGGAGAAAAGCTTCGAAGACGAAGGGGATCGGTGCAGTCGGCGCGGTCAATTGGTCGTCAGCAGGAGACGCTCGCCGCAGAAAAGAATCAAAAGAACGGGTCGTGCGTCAGTCTCCCCAAGGCTCGTCGCTGGCAATGGGAATTGTCGTCGTTGTCGTCTGCGTGCAAAACACAGAATCCACTTCATCAGTGGACGGCCGGAATGAGCGAGCTTTCCCGCCTAGGTTTTGGGCCAATCAGAGGCGGCACATTTGCTCTCGGCAAACTCCACTTTCGTTATAGCACCTGATCTTGCACGTGACTGTCAAGGCAATTGAACGACGAACGTCTACCTTTGGCTTCACGATTGTTTGGGTCTCTGTCAAGTTGTGAATGTGCTCTTGTTTTCTCAAGACTGTAGGAATGTTTCTTGATTTTACGTATTGTTTTAGTTTTCATTTGTTTACAAAAACATTCCGAAGCACAATTTTGATAGAGACAGGCAAGATTGTTTTATTTTTGAAAGATATTAAAAAAAATCAAGTCGAAAATGATTCGGAGCTTGTTTTCCTTCGAAATAAAAAATCCAATATAAATTTGTGTTGTTTTTCGAGATGATGGTATCCCAGTCTCACTTTTAGACTTACTCAAGCTTGTCTACGACATATCGAAAGCTACAGGCAGGTCAGACGCTTCTTGTAGGCATTATATCGGACTGCATGCAGGTCGTCTAATTGACGAATACAATTTGTCTTTGAGAGTGAAGATAAGGAGGTTGTCGTGTTTCTGAAAATGAGCGTTGAACGTTGAGCGTTCAGGGTGTTGAGAATGTTGAGTTTGAGACTCGATGAGAAGAAGAGGCAAGAGTAGTTTTTGTTTTTGACACGAGCGATGTTTATTTCTATTTGCGTTTTTGTCAGCCGACCTGTTTTAAACTTGTACATTAAAGTAGGTATAGCATGGTTACTCCAAGTTCAAGAAAAGTGGTAATGTTCGAATACTAACTTGCAAGGATGCGAAATTCAGAAGGTAAACTCAGAAAAACAAGAGAAGTCTGCTCTAGAACAGGGATCGGGTACACCTACACAACCATGTTCTGCACCTCCCGTAGATGTGCCTTGAGCTCCAGCAGACGCTGAAGGCTCTGTTCGTGGCGGAAGCTGCTGCCATCGAGATCCCACGCGGCATCCTCCACGCCGTCGCGATCGACGTCGACTGTCTTGTAGAGCTCCTCGAGGATGCGCTGCTTCTCAACTTTGTCGTTGCGATGGAGGATCTCGGCCTTTTCGGCGTTCCGGATCATTGTGGCCAGGCGCGCGAGGATGGGCGCTTTGAGAGCGAGAAGCTCATTTGCCGTGAGCCTGGGACGGACTGCGTGATTGTCAATTCCGTCGTCTGCAATCTCGTCGTTTTCATCGTCACCTTCAACTTTGCCAGCATCCCCAGCGACGGCATCCTCTTCGTCACCGTCGTCGACACTGGTCTCGTACTCTGCAAATGCGTCAGACAGCGTATCGCCGCCGTCGGAAGAGCTGATGGGCGTCACATTGCTCAGAGCGATCTTGTCAACGGCGACCTGGTCAGCCCAGGCGTTGTTGGCGAACACGGCGCCCACGTTCTCGGTAGGGTTCGACATTGTACTTACTGCTTGTTTTAAATTTTCAAAATATATAAAGAGGCTGTGAATCTGAGTTGATTGTTTGTGTTGAAGAGTTGATAATGTTGGGAAACAAAAGAAGGACAAAAGAAGGACAAAAGAAGGACATGATGCAGATGGCGGGCATCGCTCATTTTATATGAAATCGACTCATGCTTACTCAAGGCAGCAACCAAAGACGTACAGGACGTTGTTCACAAAGTTGTTCACCGCAGAGGCAACCCGGTGGCTTGAGCTTGTGAGGCATAGCCTTGCGCGGCTTCTGGCATACTGAACAGTCCACTGCCGCTGCCCTTGGTGACCAGAGTGGGGATATGAACATGTTGGGAAGCGTGGTACGTGCCTCCAAAGTGGACTCCGTGATGGTAATTTGGAATATCGAGCTGGAACACGGTGAATATTGTGATTTGAACAGCTTCACCAATTCAGAAGGCGTTTGTTCAAACACTTGTACAAGACCATCACGACACTGCGTGCTACGCAATTCATGATTTGCGACTTAAGGGGGGGGGGGAGTATGGGATACCTTTTAGTCAACGTTTACATTACAGAGATCTTGAACATGCTATTTGGTCATAAACGTACAGCGTAGCACAAGTCTCCTCTCTGGGTCTTGCAGCTGTCGACAGTGCCCAAAGACGGCACACTCACAATGGGCACACCGATGCCGGGAACGGCTGGTCCGTGTCTTGCGTAGATCAAAGGAGGGAGCAAGAAGGCGGCTCGGGCGGGTAGCACACGACAATGAAGCCCACACATCACACATGTGACGGTTGTATGCAGAGTCTTGCACCGAAATGTGCCTGTACCCGTACATGTGTGCCACTGTTGTACGGCCTGACTGTGTGCAATGAAACTATGCACGACGCTTATGTCGTGCGGTGCATTGGCGGAAAAGGGCCAGAACGAGGCAGTTTGCAGGCGCGAGACATGCTTGCCGTGATGGACTAGAGACAATATGTAGGGTGCAGAGACATTGGCAGGACATTGGTAAGACATTGGCAGAGATGGTCGACTCAGTCACACGATATGGGAGCCCTGGAGCCGTCTAGGATGCCCTGATGGCAGTGTGGTCCAGCAAGGAGCTGTCGATGGATTGCCATCATGCGTGTATGGTCTCGGTCTTCGTCCCCATTGAGCCGGTTCCCTTTCTGTCGCCTGTTTACTTGCTCTACATACGGACGTACTTGGCGTCCCCTTCTAGCACCCGACGTCTTGCCATCTCAACGTCTGCTCGTGTCTTGGTGATGTCTTGCAGCCGCCCCCTTACTCTGATCGGCCCAGTCGACAGGAGGTCTCTGCCGTCCTCCCGTTGAAGCAAGGGGCTGATGTGGACTTGTACGATGCATTTCGTACAAGCCACGTCAAATTAACAGACGGCAGATTGTAGACTTGCGGACACGAACCAACACAAGGGCCGGACTGCGGCAGAGACACGCGTGGCTGTCTGCGCAGGAATGCAATAAAGTACGACCGACATACGACATGCGACGTACGACGCTGTATTTGTGGCAATGTCCGAAAGGGAGGCATGCATCGCACTGGCATGCACGAGACACGAGTCGGTTTCGCTGCAGCAACGGCGCTCCGGCATCTGACGCCAACGCAGGGCTAATGTACGTCGCACGTCGTGCAGCACGGATTGGCCCCAAAGGCGTGCATCCAGCATTCTCCGTGCGGCGTACCACAGTACCTGTTGCATGTTTTGTTTTCTTGATTTGTCGATTTCAGGATTTCATGATTTTGTGGATCTTTGCATCTGAAATCTGTACAAGTTCACCGCGTTAGTTTACCGCGCAGCCGCGTTAGCAAGCAGACAAGTCCGCGGGGAATGTGTCGAAAAGGAGCTGGACATAAAGAGGCATAAAAAGAGAAACACGCCGTCAGCTTGGATGATGTCCAGGGCCAAGACTCCGCCACCGGGGCCCCTTGCTCGTTTCGGTGAGCCCATCCCACGCTATATGAAAACGCCATTTCAGTCAACGCCATCTCATGCCTCTGTAGCCCATTTATGTCCCTTTTGGCCAGCCAAGCCTGTTCGCGGTGGCGTTTCATAGTGTCTTTTCGCCATGTGCTTCTGTTTCTTCATCTTGTCCACGCTCTTCTCAGCTCGCGTGGTGAAGCCTATATTGATGGCCTGGGAGCCTGGCTAGCCACTTGAGTGAACTGGCACCCCTTGATATTCCCTCGTCTTTGGCATCGTACTTCTTGTCTCTTGCTCCTCATCCAACGGGACGACAACGAATGCTGTAGCGTGCTGGTTCTCATGCCACACCAAGTTACATCGTACATTTCCATCGGCGCTTCTCCCTGCGGCATCGCCTCAACCTGTCTCCTGTCATTTCAAGCTCGCCGTCTGGCTCCATAGCATCTTTTGTTTCAATACTTTGTAGTATCCCACCACACCTTTTTCTTTTTCGACTTGTCTTCTTTGAATCCCGGTCCGCACCCCCTGTGACGGCACATTCGCGAGAACCATGTGGAACATTGCGCCGAAGAGTGGATGTCCACCCACGCTTTTGTAACTGAACCAGGCCAACGCACAGATGCACACCCACCCACTCACCCTCCCACCCACTTCCAGCACGACGGTTGGCACCCAGGAGCAGGATCGGCCAGGGATGTGTGGCGGGACTCCATCTGTCCATGTACGAAAGAACGTAGTAGCGCGACGCTACTGGCTACGACATGTTGACAAGCATCGATCACCACCCTGGTCGGGTGCCAGAGCCAGGCCATGTCGACGCATTTCGCCTCATTCCGCCTCATTCCGCTTGGTGTGTGTTGCCAGTCGGGGGGTGCGTGTGCGAAGAACCGACGTCGCATGGTGAGTGCGGGCACAGACGTGAGGAACGTGAGAGATAAAATAAGACAACGGCATTCGACAGAGAGCGCAGCCGTTGGCCATGGCACGGTGCCAGATTCTCCACTGGGAAGAGGAGAGCAAGAGGAGACGCACGACGCACGGAAGATCAGAAACAGAAACAGGGAGGGAAAGGAAAAAGAAACAGGAAAAGGAAACAAAGCACAGGGAATGGGTTTCTCCTTCTCGACAAAAGAAGAAACGATTTTCATTGCAAGCCAGAAGCACAAAGCACTGGACATTGCCTCCTTACGTTATTGCGGAAGTGAGGAGCGAGAACCAGGAACAAGAACAAGAGCAAGACCATCAACACGACGGCCCAACGTTGCCCGGCTTCCACATTCCAGTCGGGCACGAGTGCACACACGACAACGACTACGATATACGGCGTACGGCGTCCGTCAGGACTTTTGCCGCAAGACTGTCGAACAAAACAGCATCAAACTATAAGACGATCGTCCAACGACAAACAAAACGAGAGAACAATACACAACATTTCAGAAATAACATTTCTTCGACTCCTACAATCATTGCATCGAGAGGATCATAGGACAGCCTCACTATCCAACGCAGTCACTGCGGCACAACACGTCAACTCTACTCTCGACGCCGCTTCTCACAACATGGCCCAGATTGCGTCTCTACCGATGTCATCGCTGTCGTCCCTGCCGTCGCTGCCGTCGCTGCCGTCGCTCGCTTCCTTGCCTGCGCTGCCGTCCCTGGCAGAACTCGGCCTGGCATGGCGGTCGTCGGACCTGACGTGCTCCAAGGGGACGTCGCCAAAGACAAAGACAGTAAAGACGGCAAGGACAGCACAGACAGCAAAACCACCAAAAACGCCAAAGACAGAGACGGCTCCCACATCGGCCCCATCGCCCCCATTGGCACCGACAACCACCACAAAACGAACGACCCCGTCACCACCACAGTCGCCGTCGGCTCGGGGCCGGTCGCCAGCACGGAAACGGCGGGCTCTTTCGCCCGACGGGGCCGATGCCGATGAGGCGCTACGGAGGGAGGATATGCAGGCCAAGTCAGCAGATGGGGTCGACGACGGCTACGCCAAGGACGAGCACGACGTTGCTGACCCAGGGGATACGTCCGACGCGGAAGGAGACGAAGCCACGGAGGACAGGGACATTGTCGACCACATCGACCGCACCGACCGCACCGGCTGGCAGCTCGGACAGGGCCCGGGCCTGTCGCTGCCCATCCGCCGCCTGCTTCCGCCGCCGCCGCCCACTGCATCCTACCGCGGCAGTCTCCCGCTGCCACTGCCACTGCCACTGGCCCTGCCACTGCCGCTGCCGCGGCCGAGACCGACGACGCAGCCAGGGGCGCCCGTGCCGACGCTCGAGCAGCATGCACCCGCGCTGCCGGGGCTGACGTGGCCGCCGGGGCCGCCGGCGACGCCAAAGCGGAAGAGGGAGGAGGGGGAGGGGGAGCAAACGGAGGCAAACGGGGCCAAGGCGGGCAACGAGGCGACAACGTCGCCGCCCGTCTACGTCCTGTACAAGTTCGACCGGGTGGACCAGCTGGGCGGCCAACGACGCGGCCAGCGCGGGCCGCGGTCGCCGGGCACGCCCACCGTCGCCAGCCACCAGCGCGTCGCCGACAAGGCGGTGGTCTGAGCCTGAGTGGTTGACGTGGGGAAGTGTTACGATTGTCTATTGATAATGGCATGGCGTTTCGGTGCTTGAGTCTGGCGTTGTCTTTATGCGTCTTGATTGGGTATCACGAGTATCAGCGTCTACCTAGCTGCATGATCTACAATTGAATTTCTTTTCTCTTTCTCATTGTACCTTCTCAGACCCCCCCTTCCCCCGGAAAAACTGCCCCAGCGTGCCCAGCATGCCCGCCAGACCCTGGTCTTCGCTCCCCTCGACCATGCCGCCGCGGATCCAGCCGGGCAGCTTGGACCGGATGCGCGGCGCGGCGAAGCGGTGGTCGCAGAGGACGATGGCGGCGTAGTCGGCGCGGTGGCGGATGGCGCGGCCAATGGACTGGTTGACGGCGCGCATGCAGGCGTTTTCGTAAAAGGCGCGGGCGCGCTCGTGTCCGGAGAGACGGGCGGCGGTCGTCTCCGTGTCCGCCTCAACCTCTGTCGCCCCGGCCGACGCAATGTACTCCATCCTCGCCTTCCAGTCCGGCGCGTGCAGGTTCGGAAACGGCAGGCCCACAATCACGACGCACCGCCCCAGCCGGTCGGCAAAGTTGATGCCCTCGCTCATCTTGCCGCCGACGACGCTCAGCAGCAAGGCGCCCGCCTGTTTGGTATTGGTTTTGGGCGGCGGCGGCTGGGGCGGGTCCAGAATGGCCTGGGAGTAGGCGGCCAGCACGTCGTCGGACGAGGCGCCTCGTGTCTCGCGGAAGACGGCCTTTTTGGCCTGCAGCCGGTCCCACAGAGCGGGCACCGTGCTGCCCTCTGTCCTCGTCGTCCACGCCCGGACCACTTCGTCGAGGTAGCCGTAGCTCGGAAAGAAGACGACGACGCCGTCGGGCACGACGGTACACAGATTCAAGAGGGCCGCGCCGAGGTCGCGCACGACCGGCAGCTGGCTGCGCTTGGCAAAGGAAAAGTCAAAGACGGTCCCACCACCACCTTTCTGCATGCCGCCCAGCGTCCACACGCACAGGTTCTCGGGCGGGATGACGTGGCCGCAGCTCAGCGTGGTGATGGCGCCGGGCGCGTGCGTCGGGAACAGATGCGCGCGGTAGTCGGCAAAGGGCGCCATGGTGCCGCCGGCCAGGATGACGGCGCGGGCGTCGGCGGCAATGGACGCAAACGCGTGGGTGGGCGACAGGAGCAGGTACGACAGACGAATGTCTTTGTCTTTTCCGTCGGCCGCTCGTACGTCGCTGCCCTCGCTGCGGCTCGCGAGAACCTCGTAAAAGATGCGTCCCTCGCTGGCCAGGTTGGTCAGCGCCAGCAGAAACGACGACAGCGTGTGCAGCACAGGACTGCCCTTGTCCTTGTCGGCTGTCTCGCCCTCTTCCTCAAGGTACGCGGCATAGCTCTCCACCTTGTAGGCCAGCTTGGCCTCCTGGATGTACTTGACCAGGGCAAAGAGGTTGATCTGGTCGGCGCCCTTGTGCATGAGGAGGGCCGTCGGGTCGACGATGCCGGAACCGCCCGACGACGACGCTGACGACGACGACGACGTCGCGAGCGTCGTCGTCAGCCACGCGCTCAGCCCTTGCATCACCCGCGCCAGCTGGCCCACCATGACCCGGCTCGTGCCCTTGAGCTTCTTGCCGAAGCGGCGCACGTAGACCTCCAGCAGCGCGCGCGCGCGCCGGAGCTCCGACAGCGTGAGCGCCGCCGCGTGCACGCTCGCCACGGCGTCCATAATGTTGTGCGCCTCGTCGACGATGACGATGCTGCTGCGGCGGTCGAGCTTGATGCCCAGGGCCTCGCGGGCCGCCTTCTGGAGCAGCAGCGGGTAGGGCAGCGTGACGATTTCGGCGCCCGGGACGGCCGTGCGGGAGGCGTAGTAGGGGCAGACGTGCAGGCGGGTGCCGAGGTGGTACAGGTCTTCGATGTCGGGCAGCGTCGCGAGGGCCGTGTCGCGGAACTGCAGGGCCGCGGAGGGGTTGTGGGCGGGCAGGAACGTGCATCCGCCTTTGCTGTCGTCGTTTGTTGTGGTCTTCTTTTTTGGCTTCTGCAGCTCGGCACACCGGTCGTTGATGGCGGCGACGGACCCGAGGCGGGCGACGGCCGGGTTGATGCACAGCCGCTGGCGCGACGACAGGGGGACGTGCTTGACGGGCTCGCACGCACGTGTGCCGTTCTTGCTGTCCGCCGCCTTCACCCCGTCCGGCATCGCCGACGGAAAGGAGGGCCGCCGCAGCTCGGCGATAAACTGCGCCAGCTGCGAGTGCGTCCGGGATGCATAGTAGATCTTGACGTCGTCCTCCCCGTCGGCATCGTCGTCGTCGTCACCACGATCAGCACTGCTCGACGTACCCGCCACCAGACCGGCCTTCTCCATCATGGCCCGCGTCTCCGCCGAGAACCACGACAGGCGGTCGTCGCTGGCGGTCTCGTCGTCGCCCTCGCCGAGCAAAAACGCGGCCTCCTCGTCGTCCTCGGCCCGCTTGGCGCGCGACCGTGGCCCGCCATCGTCCGTCCGCCGCCGCTTCCCACCCCGGTCCACGTGTCCTTGTCGGCTCTGCGCCGCCGCCTGCTCCCGCCGCCGCGCCGCCGCCAGTCGTGCCTCTCGCCGCTCCCACCGCCCGGCCAGCTCGGCCCGCCGCTGCCGCAGCATCTGCTCCACCACCCAGTCGGGCTCGTCCGGCGCGATCGAGGAGGCCGGGGCCGCCAAGGCCGCCTCGTACTTGGCCCGCTTGTGCTGCCGCAGCCACGTCAGCGCCGCGCACAGCAGCGACAGCGACTTGCCCGTGCCCGTGGGCGACTCGAGGATGCCGACCTGGCCGTTGCCCTGCTCGCAGATGTCGTACACCGTCTTCATGAACTGCATCTGGACATCGTAGGGTGTGTAGGGATGGTGGTACTTGGCGGCCATCGCGGAGGGAGAAGCCGCGTCGAGAGGTTGCTGCTGTGGGGGATGTCCATTGTTGTTTCGGTGAGGGACTGTAGCCGTCGTTTTGGCCGTGCTCGGGCTGTGTGTGGAAGACATCATGGCCGCATGTTCGTCACGGTCGTCACGGTCGTCACGGTAGTCACGGTCGTCACAGTCGTAGCGGATGTTTGTCGAAGCCTTACATCTCAGTCGACGTTATCGTTATCGCATCATGTCACTTTTGCAGAGACGCGTCTTTTGGCGATAAGACGCGTTGTGCCTGCACGTTTAATTGGTTTTTAGTGGGGTGGACTTGCTACCTGGCTCTCAGGGGCAAGGTACGCAATGCCCCTAAAATGCTTATTTTTAGCGGCCCATCCCCAAAAGGATCAGCACCAGTTTGTGATCCAGAAACATCCAGTGCTCCATGCAAAGCGTACTCCAGACAACGGACGACATCAATATTCCGTGAGTACAAGTGAGACGGCCAAAGTCATAATGCAAACTCGACGGAGCACCCATTGTGATGAGACATCGTCCCGTAATAGCAATTGCCAATGCGGTTCTCATAGTGGAGCCCGGTCACTGAAATGGCCACTGAAAGGGTCACTGAAATGGTCAGAGCGCCATCACAGCGCCGTCACAGCGCGCAGTCCGTCACAGCCACCCTGGTCGAGGCGCAGGTCCGTCTTCGACAAGAGTTGGGCGACTGGCAATTTCGACCATGCAGGTGGAAGGCGTGGAGGGCAGATGAGGCAAGGATGAGGGGGGATGCGAGACAATGGACGTGGCGTTGAGCAGAGTCGGCCGAGGGCAAATGTATTTAATCTGGGGCTGCGTCCCAGCAGACAGCGCCACGCCCTCCTCGACCCATGGACCTGCTCGCATTGCTTCATTGCATTTATGCACCTCGCCCTCGCCCCATTCATGGCCTCCTACGCCAGCGACGACCCCGATGCCGGGCCCTTGCTCGCACCGGCCTCGACAACACGGGCGCGCCACCGGGTGCGCATCCAGGGCCGGCTTGTACACATCCGGAGCGTGTCTAGCTGCGTGGCTACGGCATTGGCGGGGCCGGCAACATACGTGCGTGCCGTGGACGCTCCCCCTTTGAACACGTTTGGACAGAGCAAATGATGTGCAGACACGACTGACAGAATAGGTCGCCCGACGGAGGTGGTGCAGTTCTACGCCTTGAGCCGGACAGGAACAGGGCAAGACCGAGGCCGTCGACGATGGCAGTGGGTGAGCAGTCTGTTTGGTGTGCGGGGACAAAAGGACATTGTAAAGGACGGGCAGGGCCATCACGACGAAGACAGAGCAGTGGACGCCGATGCCGTCCAAGGTGAGGGGAGGCCATAGGCGGATGACGGAAATGACGGACCACTGAGGAGAGGTCAAAACAGAGGAAAACAGGCGCCGTGTTGTTGTACATACCTTGTAGCCGGTAGCCCTTCATTGTCACGATATCATACACTACATGAGTTGTCGGCAGTCTTCCATCTCCTACGGATGGCTAGCCGGCAGTTTCTACTTTCCCGGCTTGGCCATGTACACCACATGCATCAGTCTGTTCTGTCACTGCGTCTCGTATGATTTGATCAGTCTGTAATACGTGCCTGTCGTACGGCACAATGATTCGTAAAAGCTATTTGAAAATCAAAAGTCCTGCCTATTTTCCGTTTCCCTAGCATATTGTGCATATATGGAGCGACACTGTTGAGTCGTTTTACTTTTTCGTCCTTTTTCGTCCTTTTTTCGTCCCATTTGTAGATTCGTCTCCCGTTGAAGGCATGGCCTCCATCCTTCACTTGTTGCTTTCCATCAAGCCCAAGTCCAACAGACCATTCGAATTAGGAAATCAAACAATAGATAGATGCCCACCGCCCATGATTCTTTCATAGATGGCACAGATGCCGTATATCTCGTATATCTCGTACATCTCGTATAAATGCAGCTCATAAATGGAGGACAGACTCGGAATTCGACAGTAGGGGCAGACATAACGCCCGGCACAAAGTAGACCAGATCGTTACTGCGGGACTAGGACGGTGAGGTTGTAGGTGCGGCCCGCCTCAATGTCCGTGACAATGGGCTCCGGGAGGAAGTCGGACTGGCCCGCGAACCGCACGCGTGTGCTCTTCACGTCGCGGGACCGGCGAATGTCGACCTTGAAGGTGGCGCCGCGGAACTCGCGCGTCACGGTAATGGCGTTCCACTTGGACGGCAGCTGCGGCGCAATGCGCAGGCCGCGGGGCACGCCGCGCAGGCCGCACAGACCCTCGATGAAGCAGCGGTACACCCACGAGACGGTGCCCGTGTTGAACAGCTGGCTCGACCGGCCGGCGGTGCGCGGGTACAGGTGGTAGGCGCCGCGGTAGTAGTTGGGAATGTAGACGGGCAGCTGGCCGCGGCGCTTGTAGTCCTCGTCGGACGGGCCGGGCAGCATCTGGCGCAGGACCGTGTAGGCACGATCGACCTGGCGGCCGCCCATGGTGTAGAGGGCGTGCGCGTAAAAGACCGCGGCGTGGTTGTAGACCGCACCGTTCTCGGCGCTGCCGGGAAACTTTTGCGACACGCGGCCGACGTCCTCGCGCATCCCCGTGAAGGGAGGCGCAAACATGGTCACGCCATAGGGCGTGCCCAGCTGGCTGTCGACTTCCGGCAGCATCTTGTCGCACTGCTCGGGGCTGGCGGCACCGCTCAGAATGGCCCACGTCTGCGGGTTCAGCCAGATGCGGCCCTCGGCATCCTTCTTGGTGCCAAAGACGACATTGTCGTCGGTGATGCCGCGGGCAAACCAGTCGCCGTCCCAGAGATGCGTGTTGGCGGCATCGTTGACGTCCTTGCAGCCCTCGCGGAACCGGATCGCCAGCTCGCCCGCGGCCTTGGCCGCCCCCTCGTCCTTGGCAGCGCCAATCAGCGACTCCGCGTTCCCGGCACGGCGATCGCACACCTCGGCAAAGAGGCGCAGAGCATAGCCGGTCGCCAGCGTCAGCCAGCCCGACACGCCCTTGCCCTTGTAGCCGACCATGTTCATGGGATCGCACCAGTCGCCCTGGGCAATGTAGCTCAGGCCGCGCTCGTCACGGCTCGTCAGCAGCCACTGCATGGCCTCGCTGACGCGCTCAAAGACGGACATGGTTCGGCCGTCGCTGTCGCCCTTGACGGGCACATCGAGAATGGAGAAATCGGCGGTCTCGGCCAGGTACGAATCCAGGGCAATGGGCAGCCAGACGCAGTGGTCGGTGTGCGGCACCTGGTTGATGTACTTGAGCTCGGCGCCTTCGGCCAGGAGGATGCCGTCGGGCATGGAGCCGTTAGCTTCCTGCTGGGACAGCGCCTTGAGAAAGGCCCCGCGCAGCGAGGCGGGGCGGATGTAGGCCATGCCCATGTTGTCCTGCAGGTAGTTGCGGGTCTGAGGGTCGGTCGTGAGGCGGTTGACGCCGCCGTGGTAGTAGACCTGGCGCGGCAGCCAGTTGTTGATAAAGTTGTCGAGCTCCTTGTCGGGCGTCTGGACCTGCAGACAGCCGCGGCCCAGCTCAATGTAGCGGGCGTAGTCGCGGGCCGCGCGGGCAAAGCCGTCGCGGCTCAGGTACTTGGAGCGAATGGACTTGATTTCGGCGTCGTCGCAGGCGGGGCCAAAGACGAAGCGGTACTCGCGGTCCTCGCCCTCGTCGAGCTCGGCGCGGTACTGCACGACGGCGGCCGGCGTCTCGTAGCGCGCGTCGTGGCAGCCGAGCTTGTCATCGTCCACAAGCGCCGAGGGCGCATGGATGCCGCCCTCGCCGTGGAAGATGTCCTGGACGGTCTCCCACGAATCCGGCGCCGTTTCCCAGAGGAAATAGGTCTTGTCCTTGAGGCGCAGCGACTTGTTCTTGAAATAGTCCTCGACCTTCTGGTACGGCGTGATGCTGGAGGCGACAATGCCCTGGAGGTCGCTGCGGTGCTCGGCCGACTGGTTCATCCAGGACATGCAGCCAATGACAAAGTAGGGCGTGATGGCGACGCGGCGCTTGCGAGGCGCCATGTTGGAGACGCGGACCGTCCAGAGCTCGGCGACGTCGTTTGTCGGCAGGCTGAGGATCATGTCGACCTTGAGATCGTCCAGCTCGCACGTCCACCGCAGATCACTCTTGCCGACGGAGAACACATACTTGTCGAGCGGCTTGCGGACGGGCTCGTAGGGGGCGGAAAAGAGCTCGTTTCTATCGAGGTCCTGGACGTACACGAAGCGGCCCGGGTGGTCGGCGTAGTAGCTTTGTTCCGGCTGCATGAAGGTCTTGGCCTCGAGATTCGGCGCGTGCGAGTATTTGGCTGGCTCGGGCTGCATGAACTGGGCAGTGGCATAGCCACGGCAAGTGGCCTGGATCATCATCTTGTTGTTCCACAGGAAGCCGGCCGCCTTGGGCAGGGCCGTCGGGCTGGTGAGGTCGTAGCGGTCCCCCGAGGCGGTGGGACCGACGAGTCGACGAACATCAAAAGGCATGGCGGTGGTCGGTGTTGGAGGTGCCAGTCGGATGTGTATTTTGAGGTCGTGGATGCTAGATGGCGGATGGGTTTGCCTCGGGTTGCATTTCGTATAGACTATAACAGAGGCAGAGGTAGAAGGAAAGGAACGATATCAGCTCTGCGAACGTGGAAGATGTCGAAGCAGATGAGGAATGGTAGGAGAGGAGAGCTGATGATGTTGGTGGACGACGAGAGAAGGAGAAGACGAGAGGATTGGAAAAAGAAGAAGAGAGGAGGAAGATCAAGATTTGGGAGAGAGGTCAAAAGAAAAGGAGAAAAGGCGTATAGGGAGAATTTCAAAACAAGAAGGAAGTGGCAATCAAGCGTAAAGTGCAGGTGGGACCGGCATGTAAACGACGAGAAGCAGGAATAGGAAGGAACGATGGTTGAGAAGGAAGGAGCACCCCAGAGCGTACGGGTATTCAAAACAAAGTCCTATGGGAGAAGAACAGACAAACAACGCAAGGAGTACATGGACGTCAAAAGAGAGAAAAAGAAAGAAAAAAAAAAGAAAGAAAAAAAGAAAAAAGAAAAAAAAAACTTCAAAACGCAGCCTGCGCACGTCTTGCAGGAGACGGCTGCGATGCAGAGCCGGTCGTGGGGGCATTTGTTCGTATGGTTGGCCCACCTGGAGCTGTCGTTTAAATATGGTTGGCAGGGGTTCAGGGTACGTACTGTGGACTGTGTGCTGTGGAAGCTACGATGGTACGAGTGAGGAAAGAACAATGCAGAGAACAAGGATGGAACGAGGGCGTTGGTCTAGTGACCAGACAGAGCGGAACAAGGCAAGGAGGACGAACAGCGGGGGGTGGCTTGGCCTTGCTTGGTCTGCTTGGTCTGCTTGGTTTGCGTGGTTTGCTTGGGTTGCTTGGGTTGCTTGGGTTGCTTGGGTTGCTTGGTTTGCTTGGTTTGCTTGGTTTGCTTGGCTCGATCCCAAACCACGTTACCGAGTTCAACAAATGCGTGGTCGAGGTCGAGGCATTTTGACACGGAGAACGGTTGCTCACAGCAGCTCGTGATGCCGTACGAGGACAAAAACATACGAGGACACAAGTGACTTCCCGGCAGGCCAAGGCTCTATACATGGCTGCTTCCAGGCGTCTGGGACATGCAAAATGGCCCAACACTCGGCCACCGCTCGTTTCTACCGCGAGAAATGCATGGCACAGAAAGACGCTGGACCAATGGGTCGAAAATGCATCTTACGACATACGTTAAACAATGTTCGCCCAGTGCTCACCGACCAATTCGACGGATGGCGCGACCTTGGCCTGGGCGGCATCACCAAGAAAAGTGTGGTGGCTCACCTGACAAAAGCCACGCGGGACCAACGCGATGCTGATGGGCTGCGGAGCAGACGGAGAAATTCGCTGTGCATGTTACGGCTGCACCGACAGTGGCACGGGGGGGCGAGTGGCGGTGAGACGGCGTCGCCTGTCGTATGAAGGAGAATGGCATTTTAATTGCTTTTGCCTCTAGGATCCCACGAAGCATGGGGCAGTTCTGGGCAGTTCTGGTCACCTGTGCGGCTTTTGGCTGCCGTTTTCGGACGCCGATGTTGGTCCTCTGGCTCAACAAAAAAACAAAAATGGAATCGACACCCAGCTGGTGGCCGGACACCGTTGTCCGTGTGCTGTGAGACACGGTTTCCCATTTCACTTACATAAGGGATACCCTGTTGGCCGTCAATGAAGGTATGCAGTAGAACCAAGCAGCCATGCACTTTGCACTTTGCGTTCCTGGTTCTTTTTGCCGGGTGATTTCTCTCGTCGTCGGGTAGGCGTATGCAGCAGAAGACGCGAGACGGCAGGTTCTTTAATTACGTCGCCTTTTCAGTTCCTACGGCTGTGGGTCCGGCTAATATGCCCAGTTCCCCTATTTGACAGGTTCTAGTGCGAGTTTCTTTACTCCGTTGATACGCCATGGAAGTGTTAAGAAAACACGGCCATAATGCCTCGACAAGGTCCCAGTGGGCACAGGTGACGCCCGCATTTCAGGCACTTTAGTGTCTGCTCGCTTGTGTTCTTGGGACCCAAGCCCTCGTCGGCAGTTCAGACAGGAAGAACAATGGCTCATGTCGTGACCTCCCACTCGGGAGTTTCGAGGTCGAGGTTACAGTTTGGCGCAGCAGGGAACCCTATGATGCAACAGCAGACACCTTGCACACAGGCTCTCCATCTCTCCCTTCCCTCACCGGCTCACCGCCAGCTCCGACAGTCGCTGCCGCCCCCGCGCACCGGACGCTCACCCCCCCCCCCCTCCCCATTTTGATTCTGCAACTCTTTGACCTCCCCCACGGCCTACCAACGACCTTTTGTTAGCCTCCGACTAACGCTCTCCACAATGGTCCACTCTCGACGCCGGCCGCGGAAGCCAGGCCGTGCAGCCGACACCGTCGCTGCGGAAAGGACAAAGCAGAAGGAGAGAATGAGAAGTGACCAAACAATCCTTTGGGTGTGTCTGATGCCTGACAGTTGGGACCACAACGACCTGGGGGTATCCACAACCAGACACGGAGGTTTTCAACATTGTTGTTGCTAGGAGAAGAGCGTCGCCTTTTACGGTCGACCCATTGACACGGCAAAGATCCCAGGGCAACCGTTTCCAGCGCTCGGTACGTACGGAACACGGCCGCCTTCTGACACGCAGCTCGCCAATGCATCGGCGATCGACGCGGCAGAAACACCATGTGACTTGAAAGATTTGAATCCGCTTTGGGGAAGGGTGACAAAATACGAAGTTGGGGCTGAGACGTTGAGCGGCGTTTTGTTGAAGACTGGCATTGGCTACAGGGCGTGGGCAATACAAAGTGGCTGCGAGACGAGTGGAGCAGGCGGTGAAGAAGAGTGATTCCGTTACGTAGGTATATTGCACATGATTCCCTTTCTCTTTTCTCTTGCAACTGGTTTTGTATGAATTGCATGTACGGGTATTTAGTCAGCTTGCATATGGGTGCATGCATTTGCTGGGTCTTTTGCTTTCAGGTGCACTATGGTACGACCCTGGAAAGGTCACGATGTGTCAACATACTTCATCACCTGTCCTGCTAGCCCTAGCCATGCCCTACAAAAGCCGCTTACGTCGCTGTGATGCTGCTGGCGATGGCGGTTTGTCGTACCCAGCATCGTTAGGTTCTTCATGTGCCCCATACCTCGTCGATCAAGCGAAGCTTGTACCCACGGTTGCTACATACTGGTCCCCGACGGCTCCATTTCGGACGCCGCCGGTACGGCCCACGGCCATGATCCAGATCCGTACAAGACTGCGGCGAACGGGTCCAGACGGCCGCTTCGGGCAGGGGCAGCCTAGAGAGTACAGAGTCCACTGAGGCTACAGGGCCGCGGAGATTGTCAGTGCCAATGGGAGGTACAAAATTAGTGCGGGACGCCCATTGCAGCTTCTGGATTCCCAACATCCAAGCACCCCTTCATCTTGGCCTTTTACCTTTTATTCCTTTTATTTCAAACACATGTGCGTTTTAACGAGCAAGAATAAGCTAAGAGACGGTGAGAACTTGTTCAAGCTGCGACGGACCGTCTACTGTAGTATGTACGGACGCACGTATTTATGAGGCACGTTTGTGTTTAAAGAGCGGCTACCCAACAGTCGACAGCAACAGCAGCAAACAACGACAAACGACAAACAACAGCAAAACAACTGGGCGAAGCTGGCAGACGTGTCGATGCGAGACCGTACGAACTGGGACAGGGCCGGCGTCTCGGTGAGCAGCAGTCACGCCGCGACGCCTTCGGGCCAGCCGGGGTCTGTAACGTGGAAGCCAACCGCAAAGAAATCAAATGATGTGGGAAAAAGAGAAGAAGAAAACCAATTTGCCAACGGTAAAGCTAGACGTGGCGCCATCCTTTGTCCTACGACGCCGAGTAGGTCGAGTCGATGGCGCCAAACTTGATGTTGGAGTAGACGACGGTGGAATCACTGAAAGGTTAGCGACGGACAACAGCAAACAGGACGCACAGGGGACCGACTCACCCGTTCTTCGACTCGACGTCCTTGGGGACGCCGCTGCTCGTGGCGCAGGGCCCGCGGCCCTTGCCGGCCGTCGCCGGGTCCGCGTCGGTCGGGTAGGTCGAGTCGAGCCACAGCATGTTGGAGTTGTGGTCGTCCCAGAGCGACAGCACGAGCACCATGGGCTTGGCCAGGGCGTCGGCCATGGCGGGGAAGCCGCCAATGTCGCCGAAGCTGTCGCGGTCGCCAAAGACCTTTTTCTGGCTGGTGCAGAAGTCGGGCGTGATGGAGTTGCCCGAGAGGCCCGGCCAGGTCGTCTTGGGCAGCTCAATCTTCTTGCCGCCCTGGACGTAGAACTGCTTGATCTCCGTCAGGGTCGTGCCCGAGCCCAGGAACTGCGTGACAATGGTAAACTTCTTGGACGTGTCGAGCGTCAGGCCCGCGCCGTAAAAGTCCTTGACGCCCATGCGGTAGGGGTTGAAGTCGCAGCCGTCCGGGTCGCAGTCGCCGGCGTAGCGCGACGCCGAGTACGTGCCGCCGCACTCGTCGCCGTTGCAGACGTGCTGGGCGTTGTTCTTGCAGGGGTGCGGCGTGTAGGCCATGCCCATGCTGTTGGCCTCCCAGATGTCCATTTCCGCGCAGCACGAGCCCATGTCGCCGACGCCCGCGTTTTTGTCGTTGGACGAGGGCTTCCATCCTGCGACGTTGGCCTGGGGGGGGGGGAGGAGGGGGGTTAGTATTTACGGTGAGTGGCTTGTCAAATAAGGATACGAAAGAAATACCTTTCCTACACATCGAGTTAGCCATCAACATCACAACCGAAACACGTCAAAAGCAATGACGCACCATTGATAAACTTCAGGTCGCGAGGGCACTGGCTGTCGCAGTAGCCCGTGCCGTACTTGGCGCCGGCCTTGTTGGTCGAGTATTTGCTCATGCCGCCGTCCTCGTCCATGGACACAAAGTAGACGGCGCCGTTGAGGCCGCACGGCAGCTTGCTGACGTCGACGTCAAAGGTAAACTCGTTGCCCAGCAGCGTGAACATGGCGTACTTGGTCGGGCTGGCCATGAGGTACATGCGCGAGCCGATGTTGGTCGCGTAGTCGCCCTTGGTGACAAACTTGAGCGTCAGGGCGCCGCCGCTCGTCGACGCGCCGTACGTCTTGGTGTAGTCGGCGCCGTCGACGACGCACTGCGACGCGCACGAGGTCGCGTCCGCGCACGCCGTGGTGTTCCAGTTGTTGTCCGTGTAGCAGTTGGAGTAGCCGCCCTTGTCGTGCACCCAGCGCCAGTTGGCGTCGATGACAATCTCGCCCTGCTGCGTCGTGCAGCTGCCCTTGGCCGTGCACTTCTGGAACGGCATCTTGGGGTGCGTCTCCGTCTGCTGCGTGCCGACGCCCTGGCCGGCGGCGAGCGAGGCCGCCGACAGCAGCAGCGTGGCCGACGAGACGAGGGACGTGACGGGGTGCATGGCGCCGACGGTGGGTGGATGAAAAGAAGGGGGTAGCGGGTGGCTTGGGGTCAGACGAAGAAATACACAGGACAGGCAGAAAACAGGACAGACAGAGACAGACTGCGGACAGACGATGGCGGGTGGTTTCCAAGACGCTGGGAGGGACCAACAGCACACCCCTTTGATTTTATACACTCGCAGACGTGCTCCATGGGGGAGCTTCGTCGATGTGCTGTCCGGATCGTTCCCGCTCGGTCCCTTCTAGACCAGTCTACCACGACTGCCTTTTCGACGGCATAGCCATAGAGGAGGCGCATCGACGGGATGAACAGCCGTTCCCCGCAGATGATATGACTCGAAGGGAAGGCTAAACGGCGTGAGAGACGAAGCGACGAGACAAAGCAAGAGCAGAGTGGCGACAAGAAACAGGGCAGGGCACAATTTGCTCGGTCCCATGCTCCATATGGCCCTGCTAATATCTCGTCAGGGCCCGGCTGGCCGACGGCTCCGATGAGGAGACGTACTGTGGGAGGAGACGTGGAACTTGGGTTGAGACATGGGACGAGCCGTGGACGACGCATGGACGACGCATGGGACGATGACTCGACCCTGTCAAGTTCTGGAAGCCATCGTTCCGTCTACTGGATAAGTAGAGCCGGTGCATCTCTGGTCCTCCCCATCTGTGTGATTATAATGGAATGGGCAGTTGGTGTCACGAAAGGTACATGAGCTGGCCCGTCTCGGTACTTCACGTCAGGCTCGAATGACTGTTGTCTGTCGATGGATGGCATTGTACTTTTTGGCCGGTACAGAGGACCCCGTTGCCCTCGACGAGTATCCGACCAAGTATCGCGATGCTGTCGTCGGCTCTTGCTCGTGATGGTGGGCAGCTTTGCGGGGAAGGACGGCCGTTTATATCGCTATATTAAGCGACCCAGCTCGACTGCATGGTAGGACTCGCGCGTCGGCCCAAGTGCCATCTGTGGCCGCCGTCTCCACTTGTCTGGCGATATATACACGCATAGACGTCGAGCGTGGAGAAAGGGTGGTCACTTTGCGGTCATTTTGCGGTCATTTTTGCCGTCCGTCTGAAGCGAGGACGACCGCAAGCCACCCACTCCAAACTGAACAAACCTGGGCAGGCCGCACCTGTCACTCTGTCGGTGGACTTGGCAGTGTCCACCATGGGCCGTCTTGGCCCCTTCAGTCTGTCTTTCGTTTGGACGGATCGTCTCTCGTCGTCTCACGCTCGCCTAGGTACGGCCGGCAGCTGTGCCGTTGTGGAGCGGACGAGAGTGCAAAAATGGGGCATCGAAGCACTGATGCCCCCAGACACAGACACGAAAAACGGGCAAGGCGCAAACCGTATGGAGACTGTGGATCTCGGTTTGTTTTTTATCGCTTGTCACGTCTTGGTACCAAGAAACGAGGCTGAAGTGGATGCAATTTGTGCATTTGTGACATCATCGTGTTTTGCATCGAACGATTTCACGACATAGGCGGTTCTCAGCGATACGGTGGCCCCGGCTCGCGTTGCTATTGCGGGTAAGCACAAAATTGTGTGCGTGCTGAACGGGACCCTGCTTGCCCATCAGAGCGACCACAAACCATCTCCAAGTACACAATTGTCGAGAGAGTGCCGGGTGTGGCATCCTGTCTAACGGTTAATAAAAAAGGATGTCTGTTGGACGATGGTGGACGGTGATCGCAGATGATCCAATGATTCAGATGATTCAAATCACTGTTGCAAATGATTGTTGCAAATTATCCTTCAAAATGCCCTCAACAGGGTGGCCGACGTGGTAAAACTCCTGTCGGCGATATGGCACAGTCGCTCTCAAAACGTAACGCGGAGGACACTGATCCGGCCAAGCCTGTCAGGGGCATCTCGTGATGGAGGGTGGATTGGTCGACTGTTGAGTGCCAGTCAACACGGCCCCGCAAAGTATCGCATCTTGATGTATAAAGCTTTCACCTGATTTCGTCGTACTCGCGACATATGCCCAGGACAACGGCTCTGTGCAGTCTTCTCGGCAACGACCTGCCGGTCAATGGTACGCGATACATGTGTCGACGCTTGGAATAGAAATAGCATCTGGGGGAAAAGGAGGGATCGCCAGGTCGTGATGGTGGAGGGTAGTCCATCTGGGACCAGGGAAAAGGGCAACAGAGGCCATCCAATTGGGTATACCCTGCCTTGTTAATACAACACAATACAATGCAATCCGGTACATACAACAATACATACAACAATACATACAACAGTACATACAACAGTACATACAACAGTACATACAACAGTACATACAACAGTACATACAACAGTACAATAAATAAACACAAACTCTCTCATGGCTTCTTGTAACCTCGACAAATGATGCCCGACGCTGCCGGCGATAGATCTGACTCTCGTCGACCTCACCGAGTTGATCTACAAGTATGAGGTGGGGTAAGAGAGGCACTCGGTTGCCATAAATTAAATAGATTGGCGTGGCATTACGAAACGGGGTGACCTATATCATCCTATCGTCGCAAAAGACGTCCTTGCCGCGGATATAATCTGCACGCACAATATATCCCAATGCTTGTATGAGCCCGGCCCTGTTCCGGCTTTACAGCAGACTGAATCGTGGGCGAGGCAGAGAGCGGTTGAACATCATGGGCGTCTTAAAATAGACACAGCGACGGAAACAATGTTTGGCGATGCATCATGGCGTCCGTCGAGTCAGGCAGCGGCGTTCTAGTTGATCCCCTGCCGGCAGTCCGGGAGGGGGTGGACGCAATAGGCTGCACAGGATTTCACTGTCTGGGTGTTCTTTGTCTCTCCGACGCAATGCTCGACGCCCTGTCTGAGTGTGTTGTGTCTCTCCGCGACATGGATGGATCCTCGCCTGCACAAAACAAGGCGCGGCGTTCTGTGGCGTGTGGACGGCTGTTTTGTGGCTTGCTGTTGCGGGTGGCGTTTCATCTTCGTGGGCAAGGCGAGCACCACTGTGGCTCATGTTTATTTTTACGACAATGCATTGTGAAGCCAAATAAGCCAACCCTCAGCTCTGGTGTCGACGTTTGACTGTTCGTTGGTGCCTCGTTACTGTCCACGAAAAACCTCACATCCGCAACAAGGCAAGCTCCAGAGCAAAAGCAGAGTTGACGAGGAAAAGCTCCGCTGTGACCATTCTGTATGTGCTCTACGCCGTGCGTCGTCCGTCGTATGTTGTACACTCTGTCAAATTGATTTCGTCTAGTCTCGTCCTGTGGAGACGTTACTTTCCTTTCATGTCTCCATTTCCTGATTGGGGCATATTTTGGCCGCAAACGAAGGATTTATTGTTTTTTGTTGAATGTCTTCTTGAACTTGAGTGAATGGGCGACGTCAACGAATTCAGAACAGGAAAAGAAGCAGTCTGGGCACCAGGGCCAAGCAAGCTAAAGAAAATAGAACGGTGATGTTTACGTTTGATTGTCAAGCGAGAAAAGCCCACTTGAGAAGTTTAGTACCAGTCGAGTTTGGGCATCGCAGTAATTACACGAGCACAGGAGCAGCAACGTCTTGAGATGCTGCAAGACACTACAACCACGCACCGAGCAGCCCGTGCACGCTGCCCACCGCTGTGGAGGAGAGCAGGGTCTGCGATGGTTTATTCTTTTTCACTTCTTTTTTTTTTTTTGGAAAATTGATTCTCATTTCCCTGCTATTTCTCCTCCTATTGATAATCGACCACGGCGTCTTCGTTTCTAGGAAGAACCATCCCATCTTGCTCGCTCTCTTGCCTTTTCTCAACGGCTTTTCGTATCTTCGTATCACCGGTTTCCAACGCCTCATCCTCCTCGCTCCTCCACAATGAAGATTGCCGTCATGTCCGCCTTCTTGGCCGCCATCTCGGGCGCCTCGGCCGGCGTCCTCGTCAAGCGGCCGGCCGCACCGCCGGCCGCCTCTTCGTCGCCGCCCGTCCGTGGCGGCTGCCGTCCCCGTGCCAACGACCTGTATGCCTGCTTCCTCAGCGCCACCCACGAGGCCCTCGACTACTGCAGCACCGCCGCCGGCCTCTACGTGGCGGCGGAGACGAGCACGGTGTTTGAGCCCGGCCCGACCGCGTACGTCCGCGTGGCAGCCGAGGTGGTGTCGGTGACGTCGACGGCCATCGTGTCGACGGCGACTGTCACCAGCACGACCGGCACCGTCACGTCCTTTGCCTCGACGGCGACGTCGACGGTGACGAGCACGCAGGTGTCGGTGCTGTACGTGTACGACAAGCGAAATGGCAAGCGAAACGGCAACGGCGGCGACCGGCTGGTGCTGGTGGACCGGGCCGTGGTGACGGCGGCTGCTGCTGCTGCTGCGTGGGACGACGCGCCCACCGTCACGGCCCACGTGGTGAAGCGCGTGACGGTGACGAGTACGATCAAGACGTGCACGGCGTCGACGTCGACGGTGACGGTGACGACTCTGAAGAAGCGGGCGACGGTCACCGTCCAGGGTCGCGACGCGGCGGCGCCGTCGTCTGCCGCCTCTGCCGCCTCTTCCGCCTCTGCCGCCTCTTCCGCCGTCTCCGTGTCTGGCGCCCCCGAACCATTGTGCGTCTCGGCTCTGCGCCCCGCCGCATCGGTGGTCTCGTCGGCGTGCTCGGAGCTGGTGGCGACGTATGGGGCGACGCCCGCGGCGGTGACCGACGTGATTGTGCTGCCGGCGACCACGGTGACGGTGTCGGAGGGCATCTCGTCGGCGCTGACAGCGGTGGAGGCGACGGCGACGCGGACGGTGCTGACGGTCCTGGAGGTGACGGCCGTGACGACGGCGACGGTGTCGACGTGCACGGTGGTGACGTCGACCATCACTGTGTCGATGTAGCGGGTCGAGGGCATGTATACTTTTGTACATTGTACGAGACACTCAATATACCCGCCGTCGTGGAACGTTCAGTTCAGCTTGTATTCCCACCGAAGCGCCGTGCATACAGAAGACGAGACAAAACGTAGAGGCCATATACCGGGGAAATGAAACGAGCCCAATGCAAGGGAAAGAGAACAGAATATGAAAACATGAATGGCAAAGAAAACGTAATAGAAGGATAAAAAGGAATAAAAGATACAACGCCATGAACAGCCGCCTTTGTCTACACACCCGACCTATCCTCTTATCCTCGCCCGTCCCATGCAGATGACAGAAGAAACCAAAAAGACCAAAAAAAAAAACATTGTAAAATGCCGCCGAGACAGGTTTCTCTTCTTCACCCATAGAACATGCTACATCAAAAACGACCCGAGCGCCTGGCTGACGTCGGGCACGAGACCCTCCACGCCCTCCATGCCCTCCTTGTCCGGCGCAGAGACGGCAGCAGGGTCCGGCACGGTGCTGCCGCTGCCGACGTCCTCGCGCTCGTCCATGGGTTCGAGCCCATTGCCGGGTGTCTCCGCGCCACCAGCGCCATCAGGGTCACGGTCGTCGACGCCGTCGCCGCCGGCGCCCTCTTTCGTGGCCAGCGGCGGCATTTGCATCTAGCCGCCACCACTGCCACTGCCACTGCCACTAACGCCGCCACTGACGCCGGCTGCGGCTGCCTCTTCTTCGTCCAGCTCGGCCATCAGCATCGCCTCGAGCTCGTCCTCGTCAATGTCCACGCTGGCGGACGGGGCGGGGGCCGACGTCGGTGGTTTGGACGGGACAGACGATGGGACAGACGACGGGACAGACGGAACAGACGACGAGTTGGTCTGCTGCCGGAGAGGGTGTGTCGACTCGCCGCCGCTGGCATTGCCACTCCCTGTACCGGACGAGGCAGCCAGGGCGGCGGCGGCGGCGGCGGCGGCGCGTCGTTGGGAGGCGCTGCGGCTGCGGGAGGCCAGCTTCTGGCGTTTGGCCAGGAGCGTGCGTCCCCGGAGAGACGCTCGCTCGCCGTCGGTGTCGGTGTCGTTGCCACCGCCGCTGCCACCGCTGCCACCGCTGCCACCGCTGCCACCGCTGCTGCCGCTGCCGTGTTTCCGTTTCGACGACGTCGACAGCAGGCTGCCGTTAGCGTCTGCGTCGCCGTTGCGGTCCATGTCGACGTCGTTGTCGCCGTCGTGGTCATGGTCCTCGCCGTAGTCGGATTCGTCCCGCTCGTCGCCGTCACCATCGTCGTCGTCTTCGTCGTCGCCCTCGGCCAAAAACATTTCCAGCTCGTCGTCCGCCGAGCCCCAGTCGAACGTGCCGAGCTCAGCAATCGGGCTCATCCCGTCGCTGTTGTGGAACTCGTCAAACTCGCCGACGTCTCCGTGGCTGTCTTCGTCTTCGTCGCCCTCACCAGGGCGACGGCGGCGACCGGGAACATGGATGCGCAGACCCGGCGTGCCGTTCTCGTTGCTCTCGTTGTTTTCGTTGTCGTTTTCGCTGTCGTCGGCATCGCCATCGAGATCGGCATCCGAGATCGTCTCGGTATCTGTACCACCGAGCTGCGAACCGCCGTTGGCGGTACCAGACACGGCGCCGTGCTGGTTGCGGTCGGCTGGGTGAATGTCGACGAGGTACGGTGTCTCGTCGACGAGGTCCCATTGGCTGAAACAGTCAATCAGCCAGTTCTGGTTGACAATCTTGATGCTCGGGAACCGCGCTGCCTGGCGCACTTTTTGGGTCCGCGGCCGGTCGCTGCTAATCACCAGGTGCGTGACATTGCGGGAGATTTGGCGCTGCAGCTTGGCGCCAAAGCTGGCGGCCTGCATGCCAATCTCGGACCGCTCCACGTCCATGCCGAGCGGCACCAGGCCCGACAGCACAATGGTCGAGCCCTCCAGCACTTGGCCCTTGAGCCGGTCGAGGATCTCGCCCACGTCGGGGACGGCGTCCACAATCAGCGACGTCGAGGCGCCGCGCTCCTCGTCGTACTTTTCGTAGAACTCGTGGTGCAGCTTGGTCAGGTGCTCTTTGAGATAGCCGAGCTCCGTGTCGTCGTCGAAGAGGACGCAGTGCCGTTGTGTGGCCTGGGCATCGGTCTCGCCACCGTCCGAGGACGCCGTCGACGCTTTGGCGGAGTCTTCCTTGTCGAGCTGTTCCTGCATATGCAGCAGGGGCCGGTCCTTGATCTGTTTTTCAATCGCCCGCTCCTGCTCTTCCGTCTGTTTTTGAAGCAGGACCACGTCGATTGTGTTCTCGTCGCCACGGACGGGCGTTGCGCCGTTGGGCGGTGGCGTGCTGCCGTTGGACACGGATGTGGCCGGTGTCGCAGCAGCAGGTGAGGCTGTGTCGGCGCTGGAGACGGCCGTGGAGGCGGCGGTGGACGCGGGGGAGGCGGTCACTTCGTTGTCGTCCTTTTTGACCGTGGAAGCGTCGGATGTGGTGGATGTGGTGGATGTGGAGGTGGACGCGGAGGTGGACGCGGAGGTGGACGCGGAGGTGGATGTCGGGGTGGTTGCTGCTGCTGCGGCGGCGGCGGGCACGGCCGCGGTGGCGGCCGCGGATGAAGACGACGATGCCGCCGGCAGGTCGTCCCGCTTCGGCAAGAAACTGGAATTGATATCGCCCGTGCCCTTGAAGAAGTCGTACGGGCTCACCTTGATCAGGTTGTGGCGGTTGTGCGGCCACACGTCGGCACGGTCGTCCATAATCACGGCCATGTTCGTGCTGACCGGGAACAGGCGCTGCAGCGACTTGGCGACAATGTTGCCGTTCTCGTCGCGGCTGATGACGCGGTTGCCAAACAGGCGCTGCTCCGGGTCGACAATCTTGGCAATGTTGGTCGCGTAGGTGCGCGTGCCCATGGTGTAGACGTGCAGCTCGTACAGGTTGGCGATGGCGGCCAAGAAGTCGGCCAGGCCGGGGCGCATCTTGATGTAGTAGAAGCAGCCGCGCGCGACGCCGCCGTGCCGGCCCTCCTCGAGCTGGAAGCGCTGCACGTCGCGCAGGGCCTCGTAGTTTGGATTGGACGCGTCCTGCTGCCACTCGCCAATGGTGGGGTCGATGCAGGCATGGATGATGGTCTGGTCCAGGTCGACGACGAGGCTCAGCTTGCGCTGCTGCAGCAGGCGCTCTTGCAGCTCCTTTTCGGCGCGCGTGGCGGCAGTGTGGCTGACGGTCAGGTTCGTCTGGTCGTGGGTCATGTTGATGGGGGCGCGGTCGGTGTCGCGCTGCTCGCTGGCCCAGTTGACCTCGTTCATGTCCTTGCCGCAGAGGGCGCAGAGGCCCTGGAACTGGATCTCGTGGGTGCAGGCCTCCTCGACGGTGACACAGGCGCGGTCGCGCGCGACCACCTCGCCGACGCGCACGTTCCAGGCGAGAAGCGTGCCGTCCTCGGGCGCGTTCCAGTCGGTGATGCTTGTGAGTGTTTTTTGCTGGAGCTCGAGGGTCTCGCGGTCCTGCGGGAGCTCCATGGTGTACTCGTACGAGTACTGCAGGACGGGTTCCTGGCGCCGGATGGTGTCGCCGGGGGTCTTGTAGAGCTTTGTGATTTTGATGGGGTACTTGAGACGCGCGCCAAAGTGCAGCGTCTTCTCGCCCTTTTTGCCGGTGGCCATGGCGGCGGTGGTGCCCGGGGGCGGGGGATACTTGGTGCGGATGTGCTGCGAGAAGCGGGTGAGCGGCGTCGGGACAAGGCGGATGGGCGCGCAGGGGTAGTAGCGCGGGCCGGGTCGCGAAGCAGAAGCTTCCTAGTGGGCAGACTTCGGATCGGCAACAAGAGACGATGTGAGGTAGGAGACGGCGGTCGGCCACGGGCGAGAGGAGGATGGTGGTTGACGCGGCGGTGGTGGTGGAGGGTGGAGCGGCCGCGACGGAAGCGTATAAGTTGGCGATGGCTCACGGGGTTCGGTGGCGAATGGATTGTTCGTTGTAGATGTAGGCACAGGCGCAGTCGCATTCGCAGTCACAGTCGCAAAAGAGAACTCTGCCGCTGCTGTGTGGTCATAAGCCATATTAGTAAAATAGTTTGGACAATGGATGGGGGAATACACAATGTCGGCAACTAAGAATGGGCCATAAATCATAGCCAGAAAAAATGGTGCAAGGCAAGCAAAAGAGACGCCAGGAGATGGTGATGACGATGACAATGAGGATGACGATGCGAATGGTGTCTGCAGGGTGGCAAGCAAAAAGTGGACGAAGAGGAGAAGCCTTCGTCTTGCCAGTCGCCGGCCGGATGTCGTTGTTCTTGCGGAGGAGCTGGAAACGGCTCGGCAACCAGACGATGTAGGCAGAAGAGGCAGGCAGGAGCCACGGAGGGGGGGGGCGGTAGGATAGCGTGGGCGCATTGGTGATGAGAACGGTACATACCTCACGAGGGAGAGGACAGCGAGAGCAGTGCTGGACCGGCTGCCGTGATACGCGCGCGCGCGTGGAGAGGACGGCGCAGGAGGCGAGTCGGAGGCGGTGACAGCGAGAGCTGAGAGGAGGGGAGAGAGGAGGAAAAAGGATCGCGAAGAAGACGGCGTTGGCGGCGTGGTGGGTGCTGCGAGGACGGATGACGGCCCATCGCACCTGCTGGCAAGAGCAGACAGAAGAGGTCGAACGTCGAGGCGAGAGGTAGGGAAAGGAAGGAGCGATGCAGACGTCACGACGCGATCGGTGGACCGAGTTGACCGGTTTGGGACACTTTAACCGTCAATGGGGTTAAGCGCACGATGGCGGCAAGGATTGGCTGTGGGTTGTGTGGGCGGCCGGCAGCGATTGGCTGCTGACGGGAAAGCTGAAGCGTACGAATGTACGAACCACCGACAATTGCAAAGAGCTGCAAGACGGTGTTTTGTTTGCGCCTCGACAAGAAGAGGAATAGGAGAAGCGCCAGCCAAAGCGTCTATTGTGTTTCTGTGTGTTTCTGTTTGTTTTGTGTAGCCCCAGACGGTACCAGGGACGGAAGGTGCCAGCCAGGAACGTGTCGAGATAGAGGAAGAAGGTACGGCCGGCGAAGAAAGTCGAGGGTGAGGAAGGTACGCGTCGGTTGGTGAGAGCCGGTCGCAGCTTCCTAGCTCGTTGATCGCGATGCCTTGTCTGCGCGCGTCGAAGGGTGGCGAGGTGGAGGGTGGGTAGCGGCAGGTGCGAAAAAATGGAGCGGAGAGCAGGAGCGATGCAGATTGAATTGGGACGAGCGACACAGAGCCACGAGACTACAAACAGAAAATGGAAGGTCCAGAACAGGGCTCTGTATTCTGTACGGAGTACAGAATACTGTGACAGCTCCAAGACGCACGGGCCACGTTACGGCTGTCAAGGCCTGGAGCGAGGAGTCGACGTCAATACTGTGCGAAGACAGTGCGTATACTGTATAGCCTCGAGGGTGGTTAGAGATTCTTGAAGGACAACGTGTATTGGAGGCCAAGGTGCAAATAGAGTAAGAGACGAAGGTGAAGCTGTGTCGACTTGTATGTGAAAGAAACAGAGAACGGACAACAAGGCCGAATGCCGTTGTGGAGTGGATCTGGAACAACGGTTGCAATCCAATGAAAGAGCGGACGTACGCCCTACGACACCGTCGAGCTGGGGCCAGCGTGAGCTTTCGAGTCGCTTTTATAGAAATGACTTGCGTGGAGAAGGCACGGAAGGACGCGGAGCAAAGTAAAGGCGATGATATTGAAAAAGGAGGCGTCCTATTCACAACGATGACGGCCAAGACGGCGGAAGGCAAAAAACGGTGAGCGGGCTGGGCGGGTGCTAAAATGGTGGTGTGACGTACTCAGTATGTTGTTGAGCTAACAGTGTGGGGAGAGGTCGATGGGACGGTCGAGTTAAGAAGAATTCGCTTCAGTTGGGAGTGCACGGACTATTTGAACAGCAGAAAGGATTGATGATGATGATCCGACGATTTGCGGTGACGAGTTTAAATGTGTGTGGAGACGCCGTGTTGTAAGGTGGAGAGGAAAGGGCAAGAAGAGGCAAGAGCAAAGGGCGGGCTGAAAACGATGATGAATGGGATAAGGATACTAGGGGTGCAAAGTGCCGAAACGGGAAGGTACGAATGGTGGGCCAACCCGCGACGAAATCGGTGTAAGTAGGTGCAAAAGGTGGGCAGGCAAGTGGAATTGGCAGCCTGGCCTATAGTTATGTCTGTACGAAGTACACAGAGTGTGAGCGAAGCCCGGCCTTTTGTACCTGGTCCGTTTCCGTTTCGTGTGCAGAGAAGGCTAACAAGGCAAGAACAAAAGGGCGTTTGCCTAGTTGGAGCAGGAGCAGCCCGAGGATTCTTTGTTTGCTGCGGGGCAGGCGCCAAGCAGAGTGCGTCTTATTGGCAGCAGCCCTGGCAAAGTGCATGCACGCGACGATCCCTGGTTACAGAAAGACGCAGTCTGGCAGTCTGGCAGTCGCCGTGTCGTCGTACAGGGCCGGGATTGCTTCCCGTGTGGACGACCACGTGCGGCAACTGCAAGGGACAGCAGGGAGACTCAGGCGAGAACCAACAGACAATTACACGGAGTTGGTGTCGGGCAAGATTGATTGTACGAGAACACAGCAGCGTTTTGTGCAGGAGAGCGTCACAATCAATGAATGACAGGACAACAAACAAACGGAGAACACAAACGTCCGCGGCAAACGACGAGCGCACCAAACAGGAGTACTGTAGTGACAAGCAGCAGGCATACGAGGCATGGCAGCATCTAAACAAGCGAAGCAAGGCCGGTGTAGTAAGAAGCAAAACAGCCATTTCGTGCGTCGTGACTCATAAATGCAACCATGCAGGCTACGCGTCCACCCCCCGCCGCCCCGACAACGCCTTGTCCAGCCAGCGCTGCGCCGGCGGCAGCGGCGAGTGGAACAGGTGGCCGCGGCGGCGGCGCACAAAGGCCGTGTAGAGCGCGGAGGCCGTGTAGACGGCGGCGACGCTGACGACGACGGGCCAGCGGAACTGGTCGGGGCGGGCCCAGACGATGGTGGTGGCGTAGGCGAGGACCTCAAAGAGGTTCTGGGCGGCGGCCTCGGCGGACGAGAAGGCGCCGCGGTGGGCGTCGGCGACCTCGTCCTGGACGAGGCTCTGCGCGCAGAGGTCGTAGCCCCAGAGGCCGATGCGGCTGAGGGCGACGCCGACGGCCAAGGCGGTGGCGCCGGCGGTGGCCCCTGGGGGGCTGGCAGCGGGCAGGCCCCAGAAGACGGCCGTGGCGGCCGTCAGCCACAGGGCCTGCCACGACAGCGACCAGATGCCACCGCGGACGACGCCGAGGCGGCCCATGAGGCGGGGCGCGATCCAGGTGGCCGACAGCTCACAGACGGTGCTGGCCGTGCGGGCCAGGCCGACGTACAGCGGGGTGTAGCCGGTGGCGAGCAAGAAGGTGACCATCTGGCCCGAGAAGGAGAGCACGGTCAGGTACAGGAGGGCGAGCGCGAAGGAGGGCAGAAAGGCCGGGTGGCGCACGTAAAAGGGCAGCGACGCAAACGGCAGCAGACGGCGGCCGACCGCTTTGGTGGCGTGCCAGAAGGTCGTTGCCGTGGTCCTGGGCGCCACAGCAGCGTCGTCCCACGCGGCCGGCCGCCGCCGCAGCGCGGGCACGCGCCGGTACACCACCGCGATGCAAAAGTACTCCGCCCCGACAGAGGCCGTGCTCGTGCCCAGCGTGGCACACAGCGCAGCGCGCGGCGACGCGGCCGCCACCAGCGAAATGGCGAGGGGCCCCACGAGCTTGCAGAACAGGTCGATGCGGCGCAGGCGCGCGCTCACGCGGCGGCGCGCGGGCGCGTTGCCCTCGGTCAGGACGACGACCCAGTCGCGCTCGACGGCCACCAAATTCAAGATGGACCCGAGCTTCTCGACGCACGCGGCGACGACGGCCACGGCGAAGAGGCCGGATGCGACGGGCGGGGAGGCGGCGGTCTTGGCCAGCATCGCCCAGAACACACCACAGCTCACGGCCACCGCGACGCGCTGCCCCAGGATCGACGCGCGCACGGCGGCCAGCCGGTCCACGCGGTCAATGCACGCGCCCACGGCCTCGGCAAAGACCATGGCCGCCACGCCGCGCACGACGGCATACACCGACATGGGCAGCAGCGTGTCCGGGAAGACGGCGGCCAGAAACAGGACGGCGGCAAACTCAAACACGCGCGAGTTCCACGTGGACAGGAAGTGGGAAACGTACAGCCGCGTGGCCAGAGCAGTCGGGAAGGGTGGAGGGGGGGAGGGGGGGTCCTCGGGGGTGTCCATGGGGGTTTCCTCTGGGGCGTCCTCCAATGCTCCGGGGGCGGCAGATTGATGAGGCCGCTGCTCGGCATGCTGCTCGATGTCCCGTTCGACACCCTCCACGACGTTTCGTTCGACACTCCCCACGTTATCCTCCCCAGCACTCATCTCGCCGTTGAGGAGTCCGTCCGGCACTCGGCTTGCGGTCGATGCACTCATTTTGCAGAGTTGAAGTGACAAATGAAAGGCGAAAGAGCCATTGTCGTGTCGAGGACGCGCAGACGTAGAGGGCGGGGATGGCTGTTTAAAGACGTTGCAGTACTACGCCGTATGGCGGCGCAATCAACGAGCAACGGAACAGTGGTCCAGACTTTCTCGGATGCTGGCCAGCCGCTTCGTACGATTCCGTCCGTCGTTTGTGCTGTGTCCGTCATTTGGCTGAGCCTTGTTCGGCAGCCTCGTTTTGGGCGCTTGCCAAGATGGCAGTTGAGGCGTCGCTCCAGGGGCTTTGAGTGGATTGGGAGCCTGTTGTCCCACTGTTTTAGGGCAGGTCGTGCCATACAGGTGACCGGTGACCGGTGCCCTAGCGTCTGCTAGGAGGTGCATCCAGGCGACAACAGGTAGCTCCGAGCCGACAAGATATAGCAACCCAACGGAAATGCTGGCTGTTGACCAGTCTTTACAACATACGTTCAAATAGATAGCTGAAGGTAGGTTTGTTTCGGTACATTATTTCCTTTTATTCACGTAAGTTACTGCCTCTAAGCAATGTGTCATTTTCTCAGTTACTTGACATTTTTTTATACGTCTTTTATTTACTTTTATTTTTTAATTTATTTTCTTCATTTAGAAAAGTACCGTAAATCACATGTTCATTATTCCAGTCAGGCAAATAAATCTCTTCATGGGAACCTACTTGGCAACAAATGAAGCAAACAAGAAACTAGCATTAAGAAGTTGAGTACATGAAACGGCAAAACGAGAAAAAAAAAAGGCAAGCGAGTATGTACAAGCGCCACAGCGACGGGGGGCATCCCTCTCTGTCTACTCCCGATCGGGCGAGTTGTGCCGCGTCGGCATGTAGAACTCGTACTGATCGGGGAAGAGGATGATGTTGGCGAGGCGGACCAGTTCCAGCTCGGCCTGGGAGAGGGATTCGTCGGTGGGCGGCGCGGACGTGGCAGACGCGGCAGACGCGGCAGACGTGGCCGCCGGGGGGCTCGACGTCCATAAAGTCGGGCGCCTCGGTCGACTCGGTCGACTCGGTCGACGCGACGACGTCCGTGTCCACGTTGGACGTCTCCGCCGCCGCCGCCGCCGGCTTCTCGACGTCCCACGGCAACAGGCCCATCGCCCGCAGGCCCTCGCGGCCGCCGACGGCTTCAATGGCCGTCTCGCCGAGGCGGGCGGCATGGTCGGCCTCGCTGCCGAGCCCGGAGCCGGTGGCGTCAAAGTCGGGGCCGGGGTGGCCGCGCAAAAAGGCCTTGCGCTGGCGGGCGAGGTAGAGGGCGTTGGTCTGGGTCAGGGGGCAGGCGGGGACGTAGACGAGCATGGGGGCGGTGGCCAGGGAGGCCGACCCGCCGTCGGTGGCAGGCCCGCCCTCGCTCGTAATCGTGTAGGGCGTGTCGCAGTGCCACACAATGTAGTCGCCGGCCTGCAGGCTGGGCGGCGTCAGCAGGCTCTGGCGCAGCTGCAGGTGCGGGTGCCACAGCTCGGTGACGCGCTGGGCGTGGCCGGGGACGGCGCCGTGGATGATGGTCGACGCCTCCTCCTCCATGTCCCAGTTGGCGGCGTCCAAGAAGGCGGCCCAGGCGGCGGCGTCGTCTTTGTCTTTGCCGTCCTTGTCATTGCCCTGGGCCGCCGTCTTGGGGGCCGCCGTCTTGGGCTTGAAAAAGGGCCGCAGCAGAAAATACGCCGTGGCCAGCTTGGGCGACGGCAGCAGGCGCACCATGCCGGGGGTGACGTCGGTCAGGGCCAGCAGGCCCTGGAACATGCGGAAAACGCTGCAGGCGCCGGCGCCGTTGTACAGGTCCGGGGTGGCCTGGACGCGGCCCGCGGGGTCCCAGGGGTCGTAGTCTTCCCAGCGGCCGCGGAAGACGGAGTCGTACGTGCCGCCGCGGCCGTAGCCGTCGGGCTCCCAGCGCTCGAGGGAGCCGCCGTCGACCTGGGCCATGACGGTGGGGGGCGTCACGGGGGTCGGGGCCTTGGCCGGCACCGCGGCCGGCACCGCGTGCGGCGACGCCGCCTTGTCGGTGGTCTCGTCCTCTTCTGTTGCTTCATCCCCCTTGTCTCCATCGGCCGTCGCCGCCGCCTTTGCTTTCTTCTCCTGCTCCGTCTCCGGCTTGTGCACCAGGTTCACCTGCTCGACGTCCACGTGGATGCGGATGCGGTCGGCGTAGCTGATGGGGAAGCGCGTGGCGACGCGCGGGTCGCCCGACGGCCCGCGGGCGCTCTTGTCCGCGGCGGCCTTGTCCGGAGTCGGCGACGGCGACGGCGACGGGGCCGCCGCCCAGAAGCCCATGGCAAACTTCATGGCCCGCAGCACATTGGGATGGGCGCGCGCGCGCACCTGCGCGGGCGTCCAGAAAAAGTCAAAGCAGGTCGGGTCCTGCGGCGGCGGCGGCTTGATGTCGTAGGTCGAGCCGTCCGACCCGTCGGTGTCGGCGGGCTGCAGGTACTGGCAGGTCTCGTCGACCCAGGCGGCGGTGTCGCGGGCGGGCACGACGCCGCGGACGACGCCGACGCCGCACGTCTTGAGGGCGTCCTGGAAGGGCTGCACGGCGGCCGGGTCGTCGATGGCGGCAAAGTCGATGGAGGGGATGAGGGCGGGGCCCTGGTCGGCGATGCGGCGGACGTCGGCGGCCAGCGCGTCCAGGAGACGGGCCCACGAGGCCTTGATGGCGTCGTGGTGGCCCTCGGCGAGGCGGCGCTTGATGTGGGCGAAGCGGGACGGCAGCGGCACCGGCTCGGCGCCGTAAAAGGAGAGCACGGGCGGGTCCATGGCGTTGGGCGCGGCGGCGGCGGACGACGACGGCGGGAAGCCAAAGCCGGCCAGGCTGGCGATGGGCGGAAAGGGAAAGGGAAGGGGAAACGGGGACGGGAAGGGGGCCTGCTCGACCGACGACTTGGAGCGGTAGCGCAGCTTGTTGAGGCGCCGGCGGTTCTTTTCGTCGGCGGCAGCGGACGAGGACGCCGACGAGGAAGCAGACGCGCCGTTGCTGCGGCCGGTAGGCGACGAGGGCTCAAGATGCGGCTCGTGCGCGTCGTCGACGGAGCTGTGGTGGCCGTGGCCGTGAGGGTGAGCGTGGCCCTGACCGTGGCTGGACAGCTCGCTTTCGAGCTCGCGCAGCGGACTGCTGAGACGGCTGCGGGGTGTCGACGCCGCCGCCGGTGCGCCGCTGGAGCCTCCTGCGCCGCCGGAGCTGCTTGGCAAGAACAGGTGGTCGCGCAGACTCTCGCTGTTGATCAGATGTGTGTGGGGATGTGGTCTGTGGCCGCCCGACGGGTTGGGCGGTGTGATGGAGGGCGAAGGGGCGTATTGGCTTTGGTCTCGTTGGTGATGCTGTTGCTGGTGTTGCTGCTGCTGGTGCTGTTGCTGTTGCTGTTGCTGCTGGTGCTGGTGGACAGCCGCAGCTACAGCCAGAGGCGACGGGTCGGCGGCGGTTTGTGGTGGCGGCCGTGCCAGGATGGCGGCGGAGAGAGAAGCCATCGCGAGATGCGTTGGGCGCGGGCGCTCAGGCCGTAATATAGGAGAGGAGGGGCGCAATCAGAGCGTGGAACAGAGCGTGGAACAGAGCGTGCGTGGGCGGCGTCCAGGGTCCTTGGCTGGTGCGGGTTAGGGCGTGTCGAGTGCGGGGAAGCCCTGAAGATGTACCTGTCAACGCCGGCCCGTCAGGAGTCTGTCGCAGGAGGCCCAGGTGCTGCTGATTCGTATGCAGATGTTTTGTTCGCTGTCTTCTCGCTTCCGTGTCTCCTGTCTCGTGTCGCCCGATTTGCGATGCTTCTGTTTGTTCGCTTCTCGCTTCTCGCTTCTCGCTTCTCTCGTCTCGTTGTCCTCCACTCTGATCCAGAGGCGTCGCCGGTCGCGTGTCCTTTTTTGCAGGTGTTGTGCCGTGTTCGATACCGTCGATGCCGTTGTCGTCTTCCTTCTATCTCGTCATTCGTATGTCTTGTTTCTTGTAGCCCTGTCGTCTTGCTGTTCTCGTCTCGCCGCCGTCTTGTCTTGTCGTTCTCGTGTCCTCAGGTGCCAAGTCGTGTCCTCCTTCCCTCCTCCAAGGCGTGAATCCCGAGATCCTGAATCAAATCATAAACGTCGTCTTTCGTCTTTCGTCTTTCGTCTTTCGTCTTTCGTCTTTCGTCTCTTCGTTTCTTTCTCCGTTTACTTGTAGACTGCTCTTTACAGATCCCTGCGCTGGGCCCAAACTCTACTTATATTTTCTCCCTATTCTGTCGTCCTCCTCCCCAGAAAACACGCCTCACCCACGCGGCTCGGGCTCGTTCCAGATCCAGAACATGCGCGGAACGATGGCCCGGCCGGCCCCTTTGGTCCCATTTGGCCTTTGTCCAACGGCGCCACTAGGACAAGAGCTCCACGCTGCGCAATATCCACCACTGCAGACGTCTCACCCTCCATGTGGCTGTCGTCTTGCCGTTATGTCGTTTGTCCTGTGGACCAGTCCAGTTGTCTGGAGCCGCCCTGGCCGCCCTGCCGTCTGGCCGTCGAGCCTCGCAGTGCGGTCTGCGTGTTGTCCTCTGTCTTCTCTCCCTTCTCCCTCTCCGCCCTCTTTATCGCCTCGTCTCCTGCAGGACCGCGGCTCGCGGGATGCCTTTCCTGCCCACCCTTTGCTGCTGCCAACCTTTTTTCCTTATTTCTTGCCGCTTCGCTCCCGTTCTTTCTCCTCGCTGCTCCTGTCCCCATTTCCAAGTCGAGCCGCCCGCTGCTCCACGTTTCTTCTTGATTGAGGTCCTTTTCGCGCCAGGCGATCACACACGGGGAGTACGAATACACGCCAGTATTTCGTACATTGTATTATTTACGTATCGCATCTTACAGTGTATCTTACACAGACTTCAGTTGGCTGCCGCTATGTCCACTGCCGTCCTCTACTTGACTCTCGCTTGCTGCCTTTTTGCTCCTTTCATCACGGCAGTCTCTCATTCTTCAGTCTTTCCCTGTCTGCTTTTCACTTTTCATTGTCATTCTTCCCTCTCCCTCTCCCTTCCCCTTCCCGTTGTCCCTGCTCCTTGTCTTTTTTTTGCCATTTCGGTGCTCGTTCTCTCCTCTCCACCTAATTTCTCTGCTTCCGAAGTTTTGCCAGCTCCCTCTTCGCTCGCCATTGCTCAGCGCTCTAGATCGGCAAGGCGGGACGGTCGGCGGCTGCCCAGAGCCGGCACCCCTGTCCATCCGCTGCATAGATTGGCCACTTTAATGCACTAATTGAGCGTGTTAGTGGACGATGTCCAGTGAGTTGAGCGCAAGCACGCCATAAGAGGCACTAAACAATCTCACTGTTACAACCTAATTAAGATACAACAATACAAAAACGGTGTCCGACAGACCAGACCACAAAACAAACCTCGCGACACCGACAGCTCATCTCCACAAAGTCATGCGACTCTTCATCGTGCATGCCATGCCAGTTCCGTAGATTAGGCGACAAAGAGGAGCCGCCGCCTGCTTCTTCCGGTTCCCAGATCCGGCCGCCTTTGTTTTCTCCGTCAGAGGCAAAGACCAGATTCCGTCGCACCAACACAGTGCACAGTGCACAGTGTCACAGCACACCCCACACAGCTCCCCCCACCCAACGCCCCTTCTCGAGTCTGCCCGCCGGCCCGTCAGCCGCGTCGTCCGCTGGCAAGTCTGTCGCCACGCTCTTTGCGCTATCTCCATTGCATCTTGTCTCAATCGAAAGCGCCCTTCAATACGAATCGCTCACACTGCACCAGCCCCAGCCCTCGCGACGCCACATGCCCTGTGGAGTACCAAATTGCACTCCTCCGACATTCAGCCTGTTTGTTCCCTCCGCGCCCACTGCCCACTGCGATTGCGCTGTGACTCTGACGCCGCTTATCTTTACAAAGTATTCCTTTGTCAGCACACAGTTTCTGCTGTTCCGTCATTGTGCCACAGCCCGATACTCCGCTGCATATCCCAGGCTCAGGCCAGGCACAGGCCCAGCCAGATCTTGTCTCCACTCCTGCCTCGACCCATCGTCCGTGCCGACACCACACGGACGTGTACCCCCCGTTTCCACTCTACCCAGCTGGTCCCTGTGCCACGACGCGGCTCGCCTAGCCCATGGACACCGCCGCATCCACCGCCGCATCCACCGCCGCATCCACCACCGCATCCACCGCCGCTGACAACGGCCGCGTCCGCATGACCATGGACGGCATCATGATCTCCCATCCGGGCATCGCCTGGTCCCTGCCGCCCCCGCGCCTGCAGCCTCAGGAGGTGTGCTGCCAGTGCAGCGCCGTCCGCTTCCGCGCGCCCCTGCCCCAGCCGCTGGCCGTCTTCCACTGCCACTGCCGCGAGTGCCGCCGCCAGAGCAGCGCCGCCTACGGCACGTCCGCCGTGTACCCGGCGGCCGGCGTGTTTCCGCTGGACCCCGCGCTGCGGCGCACGCTGAGCGTGTACATCCGGCCGGGCCAGCGGTCGCGCACGGGGCGGGACATGGCATGCTTCTTCTGCACGCGGTGCGGTGCGCGGGTGATGCATCGGTATTTGAAGAGGCGGCGGGGGGCGGGGGACGAAGACGGTGGCGGGTGCGGCGGAGGCGGCGACCAGGTCGGCGAGAAAGACAAAGACACAATGACAACACGTCCGGACGACACCCCGGCCGAGCCGGTCGACCTCGACGACGAGGCCGTCTACGATGGCACCACGGTCACAATCAAGGGCGGCCTCGTCGCCGGCCTCGACTACACCCGCGCCGTGCACATCTACACCGAGCACGCCGTCGTGCCCATCCCCGCGGGCGCGACACAATATCCGGGAACACCGCCAGAGTCACCGTAGGCGGGCGAGGGCCTGCAGGGGTACGAGAAAACGACGAACCAGAGTAAATGAAAGAATTGTCTGAAACAGTTTTGACGTAACGAAGTGAATACAAAAGACGTCCACATCTTGCAAGGTTTGGCGACCACAGGCATGCTGCTGATCGCGATCCCCACCCCCAATGCATCGTGGTTGTTGTCGTCGTTGTGCGGTAGCGGCCACCGGCATGGTAGCGACTGACCAGCACGGCTGCCACAATCTCCCGGCACCGCAGGACCTGCCCTCCACGTCGCACTAATGAGGTCCATGGCCGCCAAAGCCCGGGCCGCCATGAGGGCCACCGGGGCCACCGGGGCCACCAGGACCGCCGGGCCCACGGAAGCCAGGGCCGCCCAGTCCACCTGGTCCGCCGTGGGGACCGCCAGGACCACCATGACCGCCAGGGCCTACCTCCACGTCGCGCTTAGGGGGTCCATGGCCACCAAAGCCCGGGCCGCCGTGGGGACCACCAGGACCACCCGGGCCGCCAGGTCCACCCGGTCCACCGTGGGGGCCGCCAGGACCACCAAATGGCGGCCGGGCGAGGGCGTGTAGGCCCTCCTCCGGGGCGAAAGGGACAGCGAGGATGCCCTGGCCGAGAGCGGCCGCGGCGAGGATGGCGGCGTAAAAGAACTTCATGCTGGACGGTTGTATGGGTCGATGTGCAAAGGTGGCGTTTTCTTGAATGACTCGCGGTATGTAGGATGGTTTGTTGCTCGTGGGAGAGAAAGAAGACGAAATCTCTTTCGACAAGACAGAGGAGGACATGCCGTCTTTTATGGACGACTTACTTCGTCGTCTCCACCGCCCACCCTCTACAGCCGTCGACGACGACGCGCGCTCTTGTGACTACGGGGCCACAACTGCGCATGTGTGCCATCGTGGACGTTTGTCCGAAGCAGCAGTGCGGCCGATAGTGGGACGCACCCCTCGTGACCCTGCTTGTATTGATCGTTGCCACAAGTGTTGATTGCATCTCTCGACGTTGCCTCTATTTTTGGTTTTCGGCGGCCACTTCCATGTGCATCCCCGGGTCCAGATGAGGGACTGTTGCTGTTGCCGGGTCTATCATGCATCGGTCATGCATCGCTCCACGAACGGACTGTGTTTGTACGTAAGAAAAACTGCAGCACGGGTCGGTTCTCGAAAATGGCGACCGTGGACTCTTAATGATTAATCTCGGTGACAACAGGAACATGTAGAGGGGTCAAGTCAACAAACATACAAAGGGACAATAGTACAATATGATCGTCATAACAGAACAAGTACATCTGTAACACACAAAGTCCGGTGTAAAGTGTTTTTGCCCACACGAATCTCCGGCCCAAAGTGACCGGCCGACGTGAGTGCGGGCGGACAAGAAGACAAGCACAGACAAAACCAGAGGGCATGGACGTGGAAGAGGGGGCCGGGTAAAAGCTGCGTTGGCCAGGCGAGGAGAGACCAGGCGGAATCGATTGGAGGAAGAACACAACACCATCGAGGTCGATGCTTCGGCTGTTGACGTCGAGGCAGTGACCAAGGAAAGAACAGGCAAAACAGCGCTGCGGACAAACAGATGGCGTCAGAAGAACAAGAAGTAGGCGAAGCGAGAGATGAGAGGCGAGATGATTGACACGCATGCAAATGTGTACATCGTACGGACAAGAGCCAAAAGGAGATTAAGAGCGGCAAGTGCAAGAAGGCTGCATTCATTCAAGTGAATTCGGCAGCTGGAGACGACCGAGGCAGGAATTGGCCGCGATTGTCATTGTGAATGTTACAAGCCGTAAGGAGTGGATTATTTTTATTTATCGTCATCTCCTTTTAATTTTTTTGTCCTTTTTAATAATTAGGAAAATGGTAAAACTGAACAAATCGTACTATTGCTACGGAAACACCAAAAGCAATTTAATACAACGAAACAGCACCCAAAAGGAAAAGAATCTGCAGGTCATCCGCAAACGACTAGCAAATAAACCAGAGATCCAGAAAATCAGAAAATCAGATGGACATACAAGATTGCCTCCGGTGGAGATGCAATCTCCTGCGACCCTCATCATGTCAGACTGTCTTTTGTCGTGACCTGGTTTCGTCTTTTTTTGTCATCATTTTTGTCATTTTTGTCACATCTCCCGATTCCGAATCTGTCCTCTCCGTCTGCACTGTCCTGGTTCTCTCCCATGTACTCAGCTGCTTCTCATTCCATTCCGCATCGTGAGGTCTGCTTTCCCTCTCGGGCCTCACTTTGCTGCACGTGACAAGGCCGCCCGCCGGAATCTCGTTGACGACCTGACGCCGTGATTCCATGCGATGGACACTCACTCGGACTTAATGGGCGGTCGCTGTCGGTGCTGTTGCATTGGAGACTTTCCTAAAGAGGGTAAGCACTAAAAGCCCAAAAAACAGTGGGCCTACCAGCGGGTAGCGCATAACCTTATTTTTATTGTGCTCCGACTTTCCAGCGCATTCAGGGCATACAGGGCTATCTGGCAGGGCCTTGCGTGGACGGGATGCCCTGTAGCCAGGACACATCGGTCCACCAGCATCGACTCCGTTAAGTCCGCTGTAAAGCCCATCCATCGCCACCAACAGCAGAAAAGTGGAGCTCAGACGACGATCATTGTCCCTTGGCCTGACGGACAACAGCAACACCGACGATTGTCTCAGCGGTGGTCTCAGCGGTGGTCTCAGCGGTGGTCTCAGCGGCTAGCATGTCCGTGACGACAAAGAGACACGCTCATTGGGTGCGATGCTGACAATCTCCAGCTTGTCGCTCCATGTCGGACTGTTGCAAAAGCCCGGCCGAAAAAGACGCAAAAGACGCAAGTGGCTCTATATAAACGAGCAGCGTCTGCTTCAAGAGAAGACGCCAGTCGCCGCAGATTCTTCTTCATCCTCGACCGTTGGACAGCAATCACAACAATCCCATCGACTGTTTCTGCTCTCAGACTTTCACTCAACTTCGACTCGACTTGGACATCCATTAATCGTCCCCCCCCCCAACACACCACCATGGTCGCGCTCAACATTGTCGAGGCCACCAACCGGGCCACGGCCACAGACAAGTCGGCTGGCCGGCCGTATGTTGCCGTGTTCGGCGGCGGCACGGCGGGCATCGGCAGCTATGCGGCGCTGGCGCTGGCGCGCGTGCACGGCGAGGTGGGCGAGGCGGCGAGCCGGGGCCTGCGGGTGTACATCCTGGGGCGGCGGGCGCCGGACGCGCTGCTGGCGGAGCTGCGGGCGGCGTGTCCGTTTGGCACGTACGAGGTGGTGCAGGCCAAGGACCTGGGGCTGCTGCGGGACGTGGACCGCGTGTGCGAGCTGCTGGTGGCGACGGAGACGGGCTACGCCGCCAGAGAAGGCCACGCGCCCAAGATTGATTTGTTGGTGGCGTCGCAGGGCATCATGAGCTTCAGCGGGCGCCAGGACACGGCCGAGGGCCTCGACTGGCCCACGGCCATTGCCTACTACGGGCGCGCGCGGCTCGTGGACCGGCTGCTGCCGCTGCTGACGCAGACGGTGGCGCCGCCGGCCGTCGGCCACGTCGCCTTTGTGCTCAACCCGGGCCTCGAGGGCGACATCGTCGCGGACGACCTGTCCCTGCGCAAGCCCAAGAACTTTACGCTGCGCAACGCCGGCTCCCACCTGTCCGTCTTTGCCACCTTCTATCTAGAAGCCCTGGCCGCCCGCCACCCCGGCACCCTCGCCCTCGTCCACTACTACCCGGCCCTCGTCAAGACGGGCATCACCAAGACCAGCAACCTGGGCTTCTTCACGCGCACCTTGGTCCGCGTCGTCACGCCGCTGTTGCGCCTCGACAGCCTGCCCGAGGCCGAGAGCGGCCAGCGCATCGCCTTTCTGGGCACCACCGCCGTCTACCCGCCGGCCCACGACGCGCCGGGCGTCACCCGCACGCTGCCGGCCGGCACGTCCGTCAGCACGGGCGCCGACGGCACCGTGGGCAGCGGCGCGTACCGCATCAACTACGACGACGAGGTCTTCAAGCACAACGACAAGCTGGCCAAGTATCGCGAGGACGGCACGGCCGAAAAGATTTACGAGCACACGCAGCGGGCGTTTTCGACCATTGCGGCGGGCAACAAGTTTACCGAGTAGATGTTGTGGGGGGGGGGGGGGGGAGTGTGTGTTGCTGGCTGTTCTATTTGATTGTGTTTCTTTTCTCTTTCATTTATAGTTTTACGTTTTTGTTTGTTTTGTTCACGTTCCTCAGAGAGGATGACTTCTGTTCCGAGAATGTCTGTCTTGCATATCGTTGTTATATTAATCTATTACTTGTCGACGTACGCCATTATATTCATACATATCGCCCCCCACGTCTCCACGCGCACGCTCTTCACCGAATAATCTCAATCACGCTCGAGCTGGTGCTCCGGCTCGAGCGGCCACTCCTCTGCCGCCGCCGCCGGCTCGCCTCCACCACGGTGAGCGCCAGAATGCCAAAGCTCGTACCGGCCAGGAGGGCCAGCAGCACCACCAAGGCCATGTCCGGGCCGACGTCGGCGTAGTTTTGTGCATGGGACCCCCGCGCCACCTCGTCGTGGACACTGCGGTTGTACGCCGCGTGCCGCGCCGTCTGGAACCCGGCCAGGATGGCACAGATGACCGACCCGACCGCGAGCACGGCCTCCGCGGCGAGGTCGGCTGCCAGCAGCGCCGCCGACCGCCGTCCGTGGCCGTGCCAGGCCAGCAGCGACAGGCGCGTGAGCTGCCACAGCAGGGCCGCGGCCGCAACGGGGACGGCCACGACCCAGCCGAGACGGTTGTCGAGGGGCGTGCTCGACGGCGGCGTCGGCGTCGGGCCCCGCCGCACCAGCACATACGTGACCGCCCCGACGGCCAGCGCGGCACTCCCGAGACACGCGGAGCACACCCGCAAAAAGCACTCGACGGGGTTGACGTAGTCGGCGCTGAGGTCGCCGTCCGCGTCCCGCCGCGAGAACCGGGAGTGCATCTGCAGACGGGAGCGGACGTGCAGGTCGTGGTCCTGGTCGTCGTGGTCGTGGTGATTCGGGACATGGCTTGGCCGGCTGTAGTTGGCCATGGCTGGGCACTCTTTGAAGACACCGACACGGCGGCTGCCTCGTGGGAGAGCTGCCGGTAGACGCTCCATGTCCTTTTCTTTTTCCTTGGCGGACATGGGCTGGTCATCGAGCCAATGCTCGACCGACTCGACCTGGCTTGGACTGAAGGACATGTGTTGTGGTTGTTATATGGAAGTGCTATAGTGTACTGTAGTGTACTGTAGTCGATGGTCAATGTCAACGGTCAATGGTCAAGGTTGGTTGTAAAGTCACGAGAGCTGTCGAGCTCAGCCTTGCAGCTGCAGCTTGGGTCGGTAGAGGGGGTGGGATAATATATACAGCTCGGCATCTACGCAGGGTGGTAGTAGGCAGGGTCATGGGTAGCAATAGCTGAGGGCGGCAGCGTGGGAACGGGTGGCAAAAGACGGCAAGGAAAATACAAAAAGGCGACCAAGGAACGACAAGGGGCATGTGAGATGCGGCCCGCTCGGGAACGACGACGTTGGACAACGGTCATTGTGACTAGAGTGTGGTCAGATAAGACGTTGAAAAACCCAAAGCATAAAAGAGCTAGCTGAGCTGTTTGACGAGCTCGGCTAGTCCAGGCCCAAGGAGGATGGGCTGTGACCATGACAGTGAATGTGAGGGATGACTTGTGGGGAGACCGGCTGTGAAGGAGAGGGCAGGGGAGACTGGAAGAATAAAAAATAGAAAAGAGTAATGCATAAATGGATATGACACGAGATCGTCTGTGGCGAGGTGGATAACGACGTAGTTTGCCTTCTACGAAGATGACGGGGAGGGTGGTAACTCTGCATCGTATTGTCGTACTGTCGTACTTCTGTACTGTCAGGAACAACGAGGGCCAGGACAGCAAGAACAGACACAACAGCAAGAGAAGAGGGTGGGCATGGAAGCGATCCGGCAGGGTCAGGTCATCCGACTTTTTCTTTTTCTTTTTTTTCTTTCTTTCTTTTTTTTTTTCCTTTCCTGCATGTGCTTGTGTACCAGTAACGGCACACAACACACGCCAAACGTGCAGCAGGCAGAATACAACAAGAGACTCCCGGCTTTTGCCAATGCGGCCATGAGAAGTGGACTTTTGGAGGCTCTCTCACGCTGTCACGGAAGAAGAGGCCACTTCTGCAGGGGTCCCGTCCCCTGGTCTGACGCAGAATCCAGGGCAACTTTCTGGGCACACTGCGTTTTGCATAAACGTCGTGGCGACTGAGACAGCTGACCGATAGGCCCATCTGGGCCGAGGGCAAAATCGAATTAGCGAGTGGGAAAGTAAATTTTGCTGCTACGGAGTCGGCTGGCGGTTTCACGACTGCGCGTAATTGGGCACCAGTCGACGTCATAATTGAGAGTTGGGAGTTGGGGGGGAAAAAGCGAGGAGGACAGCAAGCAGGCCAAGATGAAACGCAGCGCTTGGGATCACAGCGTGACAAGGGCGACAGAAGAATCGAGGGACGTCGAGGACAACGACAAGCAATAAAACGGTGTCGACAGAATGGTTGACAAAAAAACATGAGCATCTTACCAAAGTCTGTCGACATGACTCAATGTAAGCGGCGACAACCGACTGAAATTCATGCGTCCTTGCCTCGATGCCTCTTTGCGGTGCAGGTATTCTTATGCAAGGGCCTGTGGAGCTGGGCCTGGCCAGACTTGGCTTCGTCCCAGACCGGTCGAACAACCGACAGCCAGCTACCGACAGGGCTGAATAGTAGCTCGTGCGCGCAGGCGGCGAGTCCCCGTCTCGTATTTGGCTGTGGTCTTGCGACAGACGTGAGGCAGCCTGGAATGAAGTGCAATGTTGTCTTTGTGGATAGTCGACGAATTTTTGTCGTTTCTTTTTCATCGTTGTGATGATATGGAATGTCTAGACGGCGGTAGTGTGATTGGATTCGCTGTCGATGTTATATGGTATCTTCGCTCTGAATAACAACACGAGATAACTGTCAAACAGGCGATGATCGACTATCGTGGTCCACGGAAGCATACGATCGAGAAGATACTGGAAGGCGAGGGAAAAGGAGACCACACCAGAACAAGGCAGAACATGTCGACGTACATGCAGAATGGCTCATGAAACACACAAACAAGCCAGGCAGAAACACAGAAACCAAGAAGTGGCAGGTCCATGATCGACAACGCATTTATGTGAACTGTGACGGGATACAAGTCCGGGGCGAAAAGATGATGGGATATATTCACATCCATTACGTTATGGCACGGTCAATAATCAAATCACATATCATGACGATGATCGGCGGGATTCTCGTGATGGACATGATGTAGGATGTTCTTGGAGACAAATACGGCGATGCGTCGTATTGCATTGCGCGGCGCAATTGTCACAACGTAATACGAGATGCACATATCAAGGGAGGTATGGCTATGTTTAGCCTGACGTGGTGATATGTCGCTCGCCTGCGCTGCGCACGAGAAGGCTGTGCAAGCTGTTGGCCTTTGTTTCTGTCATCTATACAGGGCACGGCTTATACGACGCAAACAAGAAGCACAAGAAGAGGTAGAATGAATAGAAGGAGGAGCCAGAAGCAGAATAGAAAACTATGAAGACGGGATGGTGATGTGGCAGGCGTACCAGTCGTCATTGCAGCAAGGCTGTGTACGGTATCGCAAATGGCAAAGAACAGTATAAAAACTAAACGAAATACGGTATCTTACCGTAGGAACAATCCGTCGAGAGTGAGAACGGCCGTCCAAAGGTACGATGCAAGAAAACGACATTGTCAAGGCCGGGCTGTCAGATGCCCTGAGATGCCCTGAGATGCCCTGTCAGATGTCTACGACGCTTGTCAGCCACCTAAGATTACAGCGACCCTCGGCAGGCCACGCAACGGTCGTATTAATAGAAACAAGTGAAGTGAATCAAAGCAAAGAGGCCAGCAAAATACTATGCGAATGATGACACTCTGCGTTCTGAGAAGAGTAAATAAGCCGACCACAAAAGTACGCAAGAGGCATCCAACAGCTGTGCTTGGCTGCAATCCGCCACTATTCCCCCACTGTTCCGCCACTGTTCCAGCCCGACATGCAGCACTGCAGCCACTAAGGCCACTAAATGGAAGTCCCACACGTGCCACAGCATCCACCAACGGACGCTAGAACACATAGGCTCAGGGGCCCTGTGGCCCGAACAGGCTGCAGCGAAATGCCTTCTTTTGTCCCATTGATCTGATGACCTCTCCCTTGCACAGCCCCGCCCGGCTGGTTCCTGGTGCTGCCCTGGCGGCCTTCTAAAAAAGGACACCACTAGAGCCATGACGACGCTTTTCTGGCTTGGTGTTCTTGGAGGGCATAGTCCCTGAACCGCGAGACTGCCTAAAGAACGCCCCTGAAGTGGAGACTGGCGGAGTGGGCTGCGATGGCGGGGAACCAGCAGGCGTAACAACCAGCTGGGAGGAAAGCTGAAGGTAAGATTAGGAAATGAGGCAAACTAAGAACAATCGAGACGACAACAAAACGAGAGCTGCCGAGCTGCCTGGACGAGGCACAGGTGGCGCCAGACGACGGAGAGACGACACAGAGAATAGAGGACAGCAAACAAACAATGTGTCCAACGGACAAGGACAGAACGGACAGAAATAGACACTCCGAGCTGAAGCTGCAGCTCCACAATCTTGGCTTCGACTGCGATCCTCTGCAGAGGACGGACAACTGGAAAAAGGACCGTGGAACCCAGCTGCATAGGCAAGAGCTTTCCCTTTTGTTCTCGTCGCATCCTTGTAGTCGACACACACTCGCCATGCACCCGACGCCTGTTGCCAGACGGTGTCTCTAGCTGAGCACACTGGAATTGAGAAGTCGACATAGACGACAGACTGTCGACACACCACTCACCACATCTGTCTGCCCAATCAGCATGCACGTCCGCCTTTTGTTCTCGTTCTCGTGAACACGTCTGTCCCGCCTCCTGACCGCTACAAACGGCAGCATCGTCCGTGACCACCGCATCGTCCTACGATCTACAAGAGCGATCTACGAGAGCGATCACGATACGACACGATACGACACGACACGATTCGATACGACGCAGCCTTACACAGCCGCTACACAGTCCTACACAGCACAGCCTGCCTGCCACGCCCGGCCATGCGCGACGACCGCGTCGAGGCCGGCTCCCTCGCCGACCTCAACCTCTTGGCCGCCAACCCGCCGCGCTACCCCGTCAACCCGACCGACGAGCCGCGCGAGCCCTTGACGCTGTACATCTCCCGCGTGCCCGGCACCCGCGACGTCATCCTGTCGACGCTCAAGCCGCAGCGCAAGAATGTGACGAGCGAAGACGTGGCCAATGCACTGTACTATGTCCATCTCGATCTGCCGTCGGACGGGCTGTTGGTGGCGCCGCAGACGGTGGCAGCAGCTGCAGCTGCCGGCCCGACAGCACCGACCGTAGCACGAAAACCGGTGCCGTCTCCGGCGCCACGTCCGGCGCCGCGGCCGACACCCGCCGACATCCCTGCGGTCGTCGTCCCCCCGACCAGCACAGCGCCCCCTGAGGCGCCGCCGGCACCACCGCCACACCGCGAACTGGTGTCGCCACGAGCGCCGATGCCATGGGTGCCGCCTGGCTTTCGGCTGGACGAAGGGCACAGCTTCGACGCTGCCCCGCCTGCATCTGCCCACGATACCCTTCCATCACAGCAGCAACAACAACAGCAGCAACCGCCGCCGGCAGTGCAGCCGTTCCCGGCAACGTCCACACTGCCTATACGGTCGCGACCATTGCCGGGGCGGACTGTCCCGGGGAACAGCAGCAGCAATGGACCCCCACCCGTCGGGCCGCCGCAAGGCACACCAGGCACCTCACCGGCCATACCGCGCAAGCCAGTCGGCCCTCGACCGGACAGCTTCGACGCCAGCGGCGGTGGCGTCCCGCTACGGCCGCACGACAAGGTTCTGCCGCAGGTGCCAGCCGCCCAAGCGCAACCGCGCAGCAGCCAGCAACAACCCCCGCCCGCACCCTCCCGCATACAATCCAGCACCCCAAGTAACTTTGTGCCCTTCCAGCTCACCCTCATCCGCCGCGACCCCTCGACTAGCCACCAGTGGAACATTGGCAAGATTGCGTCCGTGCAGGCGGTGGACGCGCCGGACGACGATCCGGCGGCCGCGTCCTCCGAGTCCACCCCCACTCCCCCGCCGCCCAAGGAGCAGCCGTCCATCCGCATCCGCCTCGAGACGTCTGGGTACGCCAAGTTCCGCGGCGACGACGGCGACACGGCCTTTGCGCGCCACGTGGTCATGGCCTACACGAAGAGCTGGACCGCGGGCCTTCGCAACGCCTTGAAACGGCCGTCGCACAGCCACGCGCGGTCGTCGTCGGCCGACGGCGCGGCGGCTTTTGGAGGCGGTGTCGGTCCGACCGGATACGGCCCCGACGACCTCGAACCGCCCCGCCGCTTCTTGCGTCCGCGGAACCACTCGCTGGTCGCCACGGCCGACGCACCGGCCAACCCCCGCCGCAGCATCGACTCGGGCGGCGGCCGCCGCCACCGGTCCACGTCCCCGTCCAAGTCCGCCGCCGCCCCCGCCGCCCTCATCACGCGCCCCGGCCCCGGCCTCAAACCCAAGGGCTACTCCTTCACCAGCCCCTGGGACGGCCGCTGCGATTTCCGCACCGGCAACGGCGGCCGCAGTCTCAAGTGTCGCCACATCCTGCACCCGGCTGCCACCGACGGGACGACGGGCGGCGGCGGCGGTGGCGTTGCTGGGTACAACCCGCTGGTGATTGCCCAGAGCTTCCGCGACGGGCCGGGCCAGGGGCTGGCGGCCGTGGCGGCGGCGACGTCGAGCGTCGTCGGGGGCGGTGCGGACGGCGGCGGGCGCGCGCGCGCGTCCTCTCTGACGTCTGCCCTGACGGGCGCCGTCGCCGTCAGCGAGCTGCGGTTCAACCTGCCACGCGGCGAGCTGATGCGGCGGCCGCGGGCGGGCCGGGACGACTCGGAGGAGGGGGCGCCCGAGCGCGCGCGCGAAGGTCGGGGAGGAGACCGAAGCGGCGGCGGCGGCGCCCGCGCTGACCAGCTGTACGGCCGCTTCCAGGACCATCTGCACCACTGGCAGCAGCAGCACGCCCGGCGCCGGGGCTCGTCCACCGCCGAAGACGCTGAAGACGCCGAAGACGACGACGACGACGACGACGACGACGTTGACCTCGGCGATGGCGACCACAACGAAGACGACGAGCTGGACTTGCGCCTGGGGCGCGAAAAGGCCGGCGGCGGCAACCGCGGCAAGCGCGCCAAGCTGGGCAAGCTCATTGTCTACGACGACGGCTTCAAGATGCTGGATCTGGTCGTCGCGGCGAACATGGGTGTGTGGTGGGTGTCGTGGGAGCGGAGCTTTTAGCTTTTGATGCGCCGTCTTTCTGGCCAAGTACGTAACGTGGGCGTTACATGATAGTAAGAGTATAGAGCGCGGAAAGCGTTGGGCGTTTGCGATGTACATGGCATTTACAAGAACAACTACGAATGGATTTTGGTTACGATTGGAGACGTTCTCCTTATTCCGTACTTTGAGATCTGCACATTTGTTGCGTTGAAGCTCGTCTTGCAGTGGAGTGCGTCACAGCTTCACGTGACCAAACGTCAATGACCCACTTTCACATTATCCTCCAATCACACTCCTCTAAAAGTCATCCACGGTGCTTGTCCCTGTGTTTTGTGGGCACCTTTGGTCTCGTTGGCTGTTTGCTTCCCGCAGAAAGCGGCAAAAGCGTTTTTTTGACATCGCTCTGGAGAACCGCCTGTTTTGGTGCAGCGCCCTCGTCCGACACCGACCCCCGATGACACGACTGTCATCTGCGCACCGTTGACTTGCACTCTTTGATCGCTCCTGTGTTCTCAATTGGCTCTTACTGCACCCGTCTCCTCGATTGGCGACCCTCGACGGCCACAGGTTGAGCCATTCATCTCCATCCGATCCGACCACCTTCTCTCCTCTCATCCATCACACATATCCCTCCGTCATGCTCGCGACACAAGTTGCCCGCCGGGCCATGCCCCTGTCCGGGTCCGGCCGGTTGGCCGCTTCGCCCATTGCCGCTGCGGTCGCTGCTGCTGCTGCCGCCCAGCCCTCCGCGACCCCATTGTCCGCTCGTCTCGCCGCCGCGGCCGCGCTCACCGCGAACAACGCGTCCCGGAGGCGGGCCTACGCCACGCCGTCCAAGAGCCTCCCCAAGGGCTTCCGCATCACCCCGCGGCCCGAGTGGGACCAGGAGAAGGAGGGCACCATGGACAAGGTGGGCAAGTACTTCTTGCTGCTCGAAATGTTCCGCGGCATGTACGTGCTCATGGAGCAGTTCTTCCGGCCGCCCTACACCATTTTTTATCCCTTTGAGAAGGGCCCCATCAGCCCGCGCTTCCGCGGCGAGCACGCCCTGCGCCGCTACCCCTCGGGCGAGGAGCGCTGCATCGCCTGCAAGCTGTGCGAGGCCATCTGCCCGGCGCAGGCGATTACGATCGAGGCCGAGGAGCGTGCCGACGGGTCCCGCCGGACGAGCCGCTACGACATTGACATGACCAAGTGCATCTACTGCGGCTTCTGCCAGGAGTCGTGTCCCGTGGACGCGATTGTCGAGTCGCCGAATGCCGAGTACAGCACGGAGACGCGCGAGGAGCTGCTGTACAACAAGGGTACGTGCTTTCCGGCGGACAGTTCCGGCATTGGCTGACATGGGGCCCCATGTGAAGTGACGGACGCACATCCGTCACGTACGCTACTGTTGATCTTCATGCTGACGTGCTAGAAAAACTTCTGTCCAACGGCGACAAGTGGGAGCCCGAGCTGGCCGCGGCCATCCGTGCCGACTCTCCCTACCGGTAATGGACGAAGGTTTGATGGAGAGGTCAGCCGCAATGGGACGTGACCAACAGCCGAGACGACAGAGAGGCCGTACGGAACAGGAAACTGAGAAAACCCAACACGCTAAAGGAGCTCATAACGGAGCTCGAGTGGAGGTCCGCACCGCATAGAATGTCGACGCAGAGGGCGGGACGCTTGTATATACACATCTGCTGTCTTTTTCAATTTCGCTTGCCTTTCTTTTGTCTGCATCTACCATTCTAGCAATTCACATACATTGATCCAACCATGCTGCTGTGAATTGTTCTTTAATGGCTCTTATCCGTTGTTGCGTTGATGTCCTGCCATTTGTTATCCACCACTGATCTCCCGCAAGGCTCACTTGACCTTGTCGCGTAAAAGTTCAACTCCCAATTCCAAAACACCTCAACCTTGTCTACATATGTCTGTTTTCGCCTGCCAGCTGTCTTTCTGAATCCCGAGCTGTCTCTCCGCCTTTGTCCCCTCTCGACTTGCACGTGACCTACCATCCCACCAAAACGGCTCGGAGCTAAATACCACTGCCTCTGATTGGCCCAATGGGTCCAACTGCCCGGCCCGGGAATTGAGCGCAAAGCTGTGCTCTTTCTTGCTTTGTCTACGAAAAATTGGCAAAAGCCCCAACGCCAACACGTCGTCACCGTCACCACCACCACAACTCCCACCACCACACCCTCCACCCTCGCTCCGACTTTGTGTCTCGATCTGCTCCGACGTTGTTTTCCGGCAGACCATTTGTGAGCAGTCCCTTTTGTGTCGCGATACCAGATCGGCCATGTGTCCATGCGTGGGCTGGGCCGATGGCCGACCGATCCCTCGCCGTCCCCCGTTGGCCGACATCCGTTGCAGCACTGATGCATCTCTCGTGACCAGTGAACGTGTGAACGTGTGAACGTGGCTAACATTGTTCCCCTGACAGACATACGCGTCTTTTTGTCTTCGCCCCCGCCCTCCACCGTCTCTTTCTCTCACAATGTTCCGTGCCTCCGTTGCCCGTGCGGCCGCCGTCGCCGTCGCCGCGCCCCGTGTCGCCGTCGCTGCTGTCGGCCGCGTCGCTGTCCAGCGCACCGTTCTGTCGTCGACGCCCCTCCGGTTAGCCGCCGGCGCGCCCCGCCCGGCCGTCGCCGTCGCCGTCGCCCCCCTCCGCTTCTACTCGGCGGCCGCCGGCCTCAACAAGGAGGAGGTTGAGGGCCGCATCGTCAGCCTGCTGCAGGGCTTCGACAAGGTCAACGACGCCAGCAACATCAAGGCGACGTCGCACTTTGCCAACGACCTGGGCCTCGACTCGCTGGACACGGTGGAGGTGGTGATGGCGATCGAGGAGGAGTTTAGCATTGAGATCCCGGACAAGGACGCCGACTCGCTGCACAGCGTCGACAAGGCCGTCGAGTACATTCTGAACCAGCCGGATGCCCACTAAGGCACGCATCAAGACAGTCGTCGTGACCAACCCTCCCATCTCTCTGTCTCTCTCTGTCTGCCTTTCTCTCTCCACGACCTTTGTATCCCACCCCCGCTTATATTTTTGTACCATAGAAAACAAAGGGATTGGAGGTGCAGAAGAATATTACAAAAAAATACAAATCGCATTACAATTTACAAATCAGTCGTCAAGAACGATGTGATGGTGCACAAGAAATGAATGGAAACTGCAACCGATTGATTGGACAGCCGATGGAAGCCGGGCTTGAGACTGCAGATGTGTGTTGCTTGAGTAGAACATGGTCACATGAACGACTATGTTGTGTCGTCGGGATGAAGCCCCGTGCAGATACATAGTAACAGCACCCTAATTGCAGTGTGTTGCGTGATAATCTGATGAAACAGTACTTGACATAGTACAGTCGTTGAGGCGGCTGACATCGGTTGAAAAGTAATTACTGTGTAGCACTGCAGTGGAAATCATAATGTGGCTCAATATATAACAGCAAAACTGAACGTGAACAAGTACGCCGTAGTAGATGACAACACTATATACATGATGCAGCAATGGTGGATGCAGTTCGAAACAGGTGCAACGATGTAGATGCAGAAAACGCGGAAAATGGAGGACAGGGCCATGAACATCATCGAATCCGATACATGATACAAAACAAACACAGTCGAAACAGTTCTTTTCCAGCACACACAAGGCAATCAAACCAACCATTACCCGAATGACCCTTTTTGAACACGCATTTTAAATGACCACTCAACCGTATTTCTCGTCCACTTTGTCGGCCACGGCCGGAACGTGTGCAAGCGGCTGTCGTCTCTCCAATATATAAGCTCCCAAATGTAACCATGACCGCTACTGTATGCAAGTGAACGAGAGACGCAAAAGTACCACGCAAAAGGACGCACGGCCGCCACAACGACGAGCACGACTAGCGACTGGTCGCTTCACCGCCCTTGGCGGGGCCGCCCGTGCCCCCTTTGACAATGTTGGCGTAGCCCCAGAGGCTGTTGGTGGCGGGCGTGGCGGCGGATGGGGACGTGGGACCGCCTGTGGATGCCGCCGCGACGGCCGCCGTGCCGTTCTTCAGCTTGCTGTCGTCGGCCACCTCCATGTCAAAGAGGAACGACGGGTCTTCTTCGTCAATGGGCGCCGGGAAACGACCGCCTCCGCCGCCGCCGCCGCCGCCGCTGCTGCTGCCGATGATGCCGGCCGCCGCGGCCTGCGTCACAGCGGCCTGGCTCAGCGACGCGCTCGGGTTGCGTGCCGCCGCCGCGGGGCGCAGCCGGGACGGCGTGCTGGACGAGGACGTGGAGGAGGGGCGCGGCGGCGCGTTCTGTCCGGAGACCGCCGTCGAATCGTCATTGTTATCGCCATCGTCCTCGTCCTCGCCCTCCAGCCGCGTCCGCTGCAGCTGCTGCGACAGGACGGACATGGACGTGCGGTCGCCGCCACCAGCGCCGCTACCAAATCCAAAACCGCTACCGCCCCCGCGGCCGCCCAGCGAGCCCGACAGGCTGTGCCCAAATTCGCTGCCGCCGCCGCCGTTGATCGACGACGTGCTGCCGCCGTGCACGTCGGCGGAGTGGCGGCCGCTGCCGCTGCCGCCGCCCGCGAGGCTGTTCCGCAGCGGACTGCCCACGTGGCCAAACGCCGAGGCGGCGTGCTTCATGGACCGGCCGACGCTGCCGGGCTCAAAGTCGTCGTCCACGGGGCCCCCTGCACCACCAGCGCCGTAGGACGACGCCGGCAGGGGCAGAGGCGCGCCGCTGCTGCGCTGGCGCTGCTGCAGCCAGGGGCTCCAGCGGCTGGGGCTGCTGCCGGCCACGCCGACGCCGCCCCCGGCCGGGCTGCCAAACTTGGTGGCGCTGGCCGACGGCGTGGGTGTGTCACTGTGGTTTTGGTTGTTGTGGTTGTTGCTGCCCCCCTCCAGTGCATGCCCGCTCGGCTCCGTCAGGCGAAGGGAGCCGCGCCGGGCCTTCTCCTGCGGCGTCAGCACCTCGTTGGCCAGGTTGGCGGGCACGTAGTCCTCCTCGAGGAACCAAAACTCCGTGTCCCAGTCGCGGTCGACCTTGGGCACGCTGCTGCTCAGCAGGCGGGGCTTGGCGTAGCGCGTCGAGCTCGAGTGCAGGATGCGCTTGCCGCCAAAGTCGTCGAGCGCGGCGCCGTTGAGCAGCGACGCCGTCTTGGGGTGGTGGGCGGCCGTACCGGTACCAGGAGTACCGGTAGCGGCGGCGGCGGCGGCAAGGTGGTGCGAGCTGTGCTGGTGAGAGCCGTGCTGCTGCGCGGGCAGCAGGCTGGACGGCGAGAGGTGATCGCCAAAGGCCGACGTGTGCAGCATCTTGAGCGTCTCCGAGGTGCGCTCGTCCTTGGCGTTGTGGAGCGACGGCGTGGGCGACTCGAGCCCAAACTTGGACGGGACCGACGACGGCCAGGGCCCGTAGCGCGCCGCGTGGGAGATGCCGTTGGAGTCAAAGGACGCGGGCAGCGGGGCGTCCATGACCGACAGGACATTGGCGTTCATGGGGGACAGGCCGAGGAGGCTGCGGTGCTGCTGTTGCGGCGTCTGGCCGCCTTGCTGCGCCTGTCGCAGCGCTTGGCCGAGCGAGCTCGTGCCGTTGCCGGCGAGCGCATGCAACTCGTCAAAGCCGGCGCCCCCGGCGCCGGGCGGCGAGCCGTAGGCCGAGGTGGGGTTGGAGGCGTAGCTGGCGTCGGCGGCATGGACGTCGTAGCGGTCGTCTGACGGAGGCTGGGGCTGAGGCTGGGGCTGCGGCTGCGGCGATGCCTGGGACAGGGGCTGGCTCGACGCATTCAAGAACGAGTTGGTGAGGGCGCTGTTGGACGGCTGCATGTAGGCAGCCGGGTTGACGCGGTGGCCGAGGCCGGGCAGGTGGCTGTTCTGGCCCGGACCGTGCGCGTGGTTGACGGGCGCGGTGCCGATGATGACGCCATTTTTGCTGTAGGTGACGCGGCGGCCGTCGGGCAGCAGATGCATGTTGGCGCACTTGGGGCCGAACTTGCAGTTGCCCTTGGCAAAGTACTTGCAGACGGTCTCGATGGCGGTGCCAATGTCGTGGCTAAAGGGGCACGAGTTGCCGGCCTGGCAGGCGCCCTGGCGGAAGAACTTGCAGGGCACGTGGGAGGTGTCTGACGCGTTAGTCGAGAGGACGAGACAGATGGAGCGGAAGAGCGGGACATTCCCCATTCCCGTCGTCCCGCGCAGACTTACTCGGTGGACTCCGCGGCCCGTCAAAGCGGGCCTGTGCGCCGGGCATCGGACTGGTGGCGTCGTGCGGCCCCTGGCCTTGTCCTTGCTGCGATCCTTGCTGTCCTGGCTGTCCTGGCTGCCCTTGCTGTCCTTGCTGTTGTGGTCCGGGGTGGCCGTTCTGGGCCCCGATCGACAGGCTGCCCGACCGCGCGTGGCGGAAGTCGGGCTGCATGGCGGAGGGTAATGAATGGGGAGAGGAAGCGAGGACAGGAGAGGGAGAGAGAGGGAGGGAGAGAGCAAGGACCGCCGATTGATATCGTCTCGTCGTCAATCGATGCGAATTGGACAAAATCGCGGGGACGCGGGGTCGGCGTGGAACAACGGGCGAGGGAGGGGGCAATGCCGTATGTCGTCTGTGTGTGCCGTCGTGTAATGGACTGTGTGTGTGTGTGTCGAGTCGTGGGTGTGAGGGAGACAGAGTGTGTCGCGCAAAGGAAACTGTTGTGCGAGAGAAACAGAGGCTGAAGTCCACGGCCAGACTGGAGACCGGGCGACGAATGGATGGATGCAGGCGGTGGCCCGGTGTCTGACTGATTTCGGAGGGCGGGATTTCCCTACAGGCGTTGTTCGGCAAGGAACCACCCACTGGCAGGCCTTTCTAGTGCTCTTTGTTTCTCTGCCAGGGCCTATAGGGCATTGTTTTTGTTTGATTGTTGATTTTTTCTGCCAGTGGATGCTAGCGGAGGCTAGTGGGTTTGTCTACCAACGACTGCACTGTTACGACAGCGAGCCTAGCAATCGTCTGTAGGCGGTCAACAGCAATTGGTGCGAAGAGAGGGAACGACAGGCGGTGACGAGCGGCGGGGGAACCTTTTGTGCCGAGTCACAGTGGAGGAAAGACGTGCTCGGGCGGCTGAAAGAGGGGTTTATTAGGTGGGTATTAGGCTTGTTGCGCTAGTTCTAGGCCCAGGGCGGCCGTGCTCTAGCGTTCGCTTGTCCTCCCTTCCGGGGCACGATCGGGCGATAAGCACTGATAAGCCGCTGCCTACTGTAACCCCAGTTGTCGTGCACTAACGCCGGGGCGCTGCAGAGTGGAAATGGCACAGTGGAAGCAGCACAGCTACGACAGCAATGTCGCGCGGACGAGCCGACAGGAAACGGTTTTGTGAGAGACGCGGCGAGTCAGAGAAGATCGCCGTTTCAGTCGATATGGCGATGTGCTCTGCTCGTGGATGTGGCTGTCGCTGTTTGCTTGTAGTTGAGAGGCAGTATGACCTTGCCCACCATGTCCACGCGGATAGCTCGAATGCAGCTCTGTGTCTCGGGGCCAGCGAAGCAAGGCAAGGGAGGCGACCAAGGAGGGGAGGGCAATCCGAGCTCCAGAGAATCCAGAAACAGGATAAATATAGCTCGGGAGGTGTGGGCAGGGGGAGGCGTGCAAGTATGTCTTGCATAAAATGGCAAGTCGTCACGATAAACGAGTATGATGCGGATGGGGGGCGATGCGAGAACGGTCTATGGCGAAAACGCAGCAGGAAATGAGTCGCAAAATGGCGTACGACAAACGACAAGCAAGGAGAGATACGGGAGACGCGGGAACGGCGGCAGATGGCAGACGGCAGACGGAACGTGGGGGATGCGATAATGAACGACCGGGGGCTGGGGTAAAGGCAAAGACAAACCGGGGGCAGTTGGTATTAGTTTTCTGGTTTGGCAGAAGGCAGAGCACGCAAGGCAGCGGTTGAAAGTGGACGCGCGGACCGGGTATCAGGCACAGTATCAGTGAGAGGGGGTGAGAAAGGAGAGGGAGAAGAAGCAGGGCGGTAGAAAGGAGAACTACGTAGACGAACGGAAACAAAAAAGAGGAGGGAAGCCACTTTAAAAAGAAACGACATGCGAGATGCAAGTGTACGGCGCGGCCGACGATAAAATAGACAAAGGACTAGATGTTGAAGAAATAATAAAAAAGCCAAGAGGCCGAAGAGGCGAACGTCGAGGAGAGAGCGCCGCACGATGGTCCTCTGAGTCAGTGATGTTCAAATCGTGCCTTTTTGCACGCCGACCTTGTTTGTCCCCGACACAACCGTTGCCCGAATCCATCACGCGGCGCAAAGGAGACGGCGGCGTGCAGGGCAAACGAAGAAAGGGAGGGTGGCCACGACAACCGACACGAGGCCACAGGTCGGAGGCGACACCAGAAATACTGTGTTTGTAAAAGACAACGACATAGTGAGAGGTCCAGAGTCAGTAGATCACCAGGCCAGGAAGCCCAGGCAGGCCAGATGGCCAGTAGCCTCTCAGCATGGCATGTGAGACAAGCAGCAGGGTCAAACAAGACAAATACCGGCGAGGGTGGGGGTTGCCGGGGAAAACGAAGGGCGTAAATAAATAAAAGACACAAAGGAAAACAAAGATTAAAGAGTCCTGCGAGCCTGGTCAGAGACCGTTCGACATGTGCGGACCAAGTTTCCGGTGAGACGTGTCTTGGGAGAATTGCCTGAATAGGAAATGCAGACAAAAACCAGTCAACATGTCGTATCGCGATCAAGCCTGCGGCCAAGGACCCCAAGAGACGGGCCGACATGCTGCATCGACTTGGCACTCTGCATCGTTCTCGATCGTGCTGCAGAGAGAGCACAAAATTGTACGAGGCCGGGTAGAGTTGCCTGGATCTAGATGCGAGTCGTCCAGTTTTCGCCTCTGTGTTTGTCCGCCATTTTCACATTTTCACATTTTCACAGCGTCACACTGGCGGCTACAGTCGTGAAACAGGACGTTTGGCATTTCCGACCAGTCGACAAGGACGACCAATACGAGGCACAAAAGGACAAACAAATCTGGCCAGTCAAGGCGGACATGCTGTGCAACATGCAGCTCACCACACAATCCACAGCCTCGCCCGGATCGACCGGGCAACGGATACCTGCAGATGCAAGCAAAAGCAAAACGTACAACACGCAGACGGACATACCGTGCATGGGCGGCGAATCGACAAAACGGGATCGACATGGCAGGCTGCAGCCGCACGTCGTATCACGTCGAATCACGTCGTATCGCCGGCAGAGGCCAGAGCAACGTCGCAGCGAAATTAACCTCGTCTTGTACGGCGCAAGGCCAAGTGCCGGCGCCATGTTCCTTGTTCTGCTGCAGCGCCTGTCGCGGACCATGGAGTGCCGGAGGGCGAGTCGCTTGTTCTGCATCGCCGCGGAGAAAAGCCTGTTCGTGTCCAGGTCTGACGATCTGCAAACATGCATCAACGTGGACGGGAGTAAGACACTGGAGACGGCTTTTCGTGTGCACATACACCGTCAACCATGCTCGATCCAAGGCGCCTAATGCACCTCGATTCGTGCCCACCACCTTTGCATCCTTGCACACCCACAGGCACACCCCCAACCCACCCTCAGCCTCTCCACCCCTCCACTACGTCTCTGGCCGTTGACGTCCTTTGGACTTACAATACGAAGAAGAACAACGACAAGAATACGCAACATACCTGAATTCCGTGGTCCGCCACCCGGTTGTCTCAAATCGTTCCTTGCACGAGGAAGGTCCCGTGGCTGCGAAGACGACAAAAGGCATGACGACATCGAATCGACCGACGGGGAACACCAAAATAAAAACGACGCCGCGCCTTGCGTCCCGTTCCTTGCCTGCCCCGCCCCGTCGCGCCTCGACGGTCGTGCTCGTCTGCACGTCCGATACGCATACCGTGGAGGTGAACGAGCGATGCGCACGACAAGAACAAGACAAGAGGCGGCCGCCTGCCATTGGCAATCGGAACACATCCACTACTGCAGCCGGTCGAAAACGGCAGTTTTCAAAGTGGGTGGGTGGGGGAGAAGGGGGGGGGACAGTCATGTGGTCTGTGGTGTGCGGCAGCCTTCCGTGGGCGTGCTGCTCTACTCTGATAGGTCGCCTTCTAACGGCGTGATGGCCAACCTGGGCGAGCATATATTGACGGTTGTGTTATAGATTTCGTTAGTGAGATCAAATTGAAGTTCATAATCTAAAATTAAAAAATAAAGGAAAATAAGGTAAAATAAAGACAAATAAAGACAAACGAAATAAAACGAAATAAAACGAAATAAAATGAAATAAAATGAAATAAAACGAAATAAAATGAAATAAAATAAGCAAACTACAACAGATTAGAGGTCTATCATACATGTCAAATCGATCCCTGGTCGTGGCCTCTCCTATATTGGCGTAGACAGCCTTGTCACCAGTTGACGTGCAAACTTTCCACATTGATGTAATTGCGTTTACTTCACCAACGACGGCGAGACGCTTCAATTCTGGGCCGTCAAGTCCTCCAGCTCACCTGTGCCTGTATCGCAACTGCATTGAATACGATTGTCGAAGCAAAGCAGACGAAAGCAGACAAAAGCAGACGATAGCAGGCGACCGCACAATCTTTGGATACTGCACCGTTGACTGCACCGTTCTATTGATACTAGCGTAGTCTGTATAGACAGCGGTTGGAAAGAGGTTGGTGTAGGGAGACTGGAGAAAGGAAAAGTGACGGCATTTCCCCACTCCGGAATGTCCAATCTCAGGAGGATGTCGGTAGACACGAAAAGAGCACATGTCCCCGGCCTCGGCCTCTTCTTTACGGCGTGGTGCGTGATGCGTGGTGCGTGGCGCGACTCGTGGGAGCTGTTGCCGTCGTGCGGGCGGCGCACGAACGTTGCCTCGGGACGTGCCAGCATCTCAAATCCGTCGTTCGTCGCGGGTGTGGCCGGCGCGGCCGTGAGCGTCGGTGGGCCCGGGGAGGGGGTGCAGGCGTTCCCCCCAGGACCAAGGCGGCGCCGACGTCGTCAGGGCGGACGGGGCGGCCGGCAACCGCGGCTGCATCGGCGGCGGCAGCAGCAGCATTGCCAGCGCCGCCACCACCGCCCGCAGGAGGGCCCTCCTCTTCATCGTCGGAGGCGGCGGCGTGTCGGCCCCGGTATAGTCGCAGGTCCCAGCGGACGGTGTATAACGCACACGACAGGACAGTCAGGGCGCTGGCCACCACCGAAAACACGTAAACCCTGCCGAGAGTCTATGTTGTCTCAGTTGTTGCACACGTGCTTGTGTCCGTATCAGCCACTCTTACGAGGCCGAGAGCAACGCTCGTGGCCGACGGCCAGAAATGGTTTAGCATCTGTGTACATGTTTAGTATATGTGCGAACAAGGGATGCAGTGGCATTACGTATCAGGACTTACTGTTATTTTGATAAAACGGAGGTGCTTGTTGCGGCGGTGAAAAATTGTTGAAAAGTACTAGAGGTTGGACGACTGAACTCACCGGCACTCAACTCGATACGATCTTTCTTTTCTCTTTCGTCCCATTATTTACGACGCGTTCAACGGTACTGGCGTTACCGACAACGGCAAGAACGACGGTGCAAAGCGCGTGGCCGACGCGTTGATGGCTCTCGCCGGCAGGGTCGCTCTTTCCACTTCGGGAGGTTGTGCGAGAGCTTCAATTCTGGCACCACGCGCACATCAGCCTGGTGGTTTTTTTTGTTAGGAGCAGAAAATATATAGAATGCACAGGGTATCTGCACGATGAGCCAGCGCAATACCGCTCGCCCACAATAACAACCTGTGCTAGACGCAGGGCCCTCCCGTTCCACCACGCCGTACTTCGACGGCCAGCCATGACTGGAAAGATAACGAAGAGTGCCTGTCGCATAAAATACGAGGAGAGGATGTCTTGACGGACAAAAGGGATCGGATAAAGGGGCGATGTGGATCGATGGAAAGCATGACCCGCGCACAGCGGAGTTGAACGGAGTATTGCGCGGAAAGGAGCAATCTACACAGCCTCGACCTAGAACCGGAGTCATTTCATTTTGGATCGTGTATATCGCGTGGGCATATCACTGCGCTGTGCCTTACACTAGCGGCCGCTCCTTTATGCTTCCCACCATCTCCCGCGCTGCATCCGCGTCTCTTCCCTCCTTTGCATTTCCCGCAGCCAGGCCCGCATTCGACTCCCACTGCCCTTAACGCGCATCAATAGGACAGACGACATTGGTGACGCGGGCGTGAAAACAAAAACAAGAAAACAAAAGGTACCATCACCAGCGCGTGATTGGTGCTCCGTTCTTCCCTCCCGTCGGCACCTACATCACTTCTCCTTCGCGCCTCCAGATATGACGACAGTACCATCACTAACTGACTCGGCCGCGCCGACGACGACAGTCGCGGCGACAACAACGGCTGCGATCACGGCTACCGGCACGTTGTTACCGGTAGCGCTGATGACGCCGTTTGTGCAGCTGGGCAGCTGCAGCGACATCTTCTCGACGACGAGCTTTTTCGTCGGCGCAAGCGGTGTCGCAGACGAGTACATCACGGTGGCCGTGTCCGATGCCAACGACCCGCGGTTCACGGCGTGCATGCCTTTGGGCTGGGGCGACCTGGCAGCGACGCGTCGTTTTGAGTTTAGCCGGGCGGTGTGTCCATCCGGCTGGACGGCGTACAACCTGCAATCGACGGCGCTGACGACGGTCCTGTCCGGCACAACGTCGTATGCAGGGTTGACAACTGCCTATTGCTGTGCCAGGTGAGCCATACGCGTACAAACACCTTGCGCCCATACAATACACAGAAATGGCTCACACGTGTAGCAACTACCACCTTGGCTGGTTCGACAGTGTGAAAGACCTGCACAACGCCAGCCTCGCCAGCATGCAGAGCCCCGCGTGCATCCAGACGCTTGGCCCGGCCACAGCCACGACCGACAACGAGGGCTGGACAACGACGACCAGGACGACGACAGCACCCATCACGAGCGTGCTGGTGCAAAACGCGTGGCACATCTCGTGGCAGACGACAGACGTTCAGCACCTGACGCCGTCGCCGCCACCATGGCCATGCAGCGACAACTACGGCTATCCGACGTGGGTGCCGACGGTATCCATCACGCCGGAGCCCAGCTGCAAGGACGGCCACTATGTGGACCACTCCTTCGACGCGTTGGCACGCTTCTTGTACATTGGGCTACCGATCATCTGCGCAGCTGTGCTGTTGGGCTGTTGTGCCTGCTTCTACCGCGCCGGCCGTTTAGGCGGGGCGCCGCGCCGGCGGCGAATGCAGGCCCGGGCAGAGCGTGCGGCGCGGGCGGCGCAGGCAAGGGAGGACCAGCAGGCGCTACAGGGGGCGCGCACAGCAGATGCCACAGACGCAGGGGACAGCATCCCGCTGAAGGCAAAGCCGTAGAAGAACTCGTTGCTATGGCCGACGATTTTGTAGGATGCGCTTGCTTAGAGACACAACCCCTACAGAATCGGCAATGTGATTGGCCACATGGGCATTTGGTCATTCACACGTCCCTACAGGTCCACTACTTAATTACTATTTTACCAAATCAAAACTTCTTCATGGTACCTTTAGATAAGCTTTTTACTAGCTTAATCACCTAATATGTAACAAAGGCACTTCCCAAGGGTACGTGGCTCTGCTAGGTGATTCATCGAGGGGAGTATGTTCTACATAAGACAGCGAGAAGGTGTGACGGCTGAATCAATAATCAACACGTCTACGGGGTAGTGGTGATTGTGATACGTGACAGAGGCAAAAAAAGCGAGTGGTATGATGAACGAGACCAAGGAAGCTAGAAGGAACTAAACAGGCCAAACAGGCCAGGTCAGGGCTAAGACTAGCAATCTCTGTTGTCGGACGGCAAAGAAGCATACGGACACGGGTGAACGCAAGGTGACGGACGTGTGTTGGGCAGAAGTCATCGTCATTGCAAACGTAGTGTGTGATCCCGCGGGTATGCAAAGTGAATATGCGACGTGCACCTTTGGGAGACGACTCCGTATGTCTTTTGTTTTGTAAGGACTGCCCCACGCCACGCAAGGTTGTCCGAGGAGGCAGGCGCCCGGCCGTCGCGTCGTTTGCATTTGCTCGGGTCGTTCCTTCCACCGTGAGTTGAAAATTGTGACTCACGCGGAAGGCACGCAGAGCCGGCTGCAGTCACGGGCAAGGAAAGAACATGAAACAAGTCCTTCTCTATTCTTCCCCGCGACAGCTGAATTCCTCCTGTTGTCTTCATTCACAGGCCAATTTGTGTTGTTTTCCACCTGTAACATCCCTGATGCTGCGCAACAGTACTGTGTACTTTGTACTTATCTCGGCAGTCAATCATGTAGCGGTCCTGATTGGTAGATCTGGACCCACATAGCGTGACCCACTTATGACGCACAAGTAAGGTTCGTGCAGCCCTGTAGCTGGGTCCACTATTAATTAACGGCGGTGCCCTATTACACGTCTTCCTTTTGTCTCTCTCTCTTCCTTTCCGACAATCCAACAAACAAACCTCATCACCAGCTCGTCATCTTTCGACTTTCGACACCATCAACATCATCTCTACTTGACACAGTCTCTGCACCTCGAAGCATTTTGCTTTTATTGCCCTCGCACGAATTTGTTGAGCGCTTGTCGGAAGCAGTCTCCCAGGATTCAAACCGACATCAATCGACATCAAAAACTCGTCAACTGTCGGCTTCCTGACCTGGCCAAACTCTCGACACCATGACGCCGCGCCTCAGTAAAGACGATCCCAAGTACAGCCCCTGGACGGATGAGCAATGGGAGGAGGCCGTCCTGCGCGGGTCGCTCAACATCCCAGCCCAACCGCGATACGCGGCCATCAGCCTCGGGCCCGGAAGCGTCTTTCAAACGGCCGAGGAGGTGCAGCGGGCCCTGGACCTCACGTTTTTGCCCCACGTCATTATGGCGCCCGTCATCGACTTCGCAACCGACCCTCATCCACTCAAGACCGGCGCCGACGCCGGTCCTCGCGCGCTCGTCCGCGTCTGCATGGCCCCCCCCTTCTCGGAGACGGTCGCCAAGGAGATTTGCGAAATGACCAGCACCAGCATTGATCTCGACGGGCACGTCCGTGCCTTGTACATTCCGACGGCATTCAAGCGGGATGCCAGAGGCCACGTCAAGAGAATACAGCGCGCACAGGTGGACCGGGCACGCGACATTGCCGAGAAGCAGGGACGCGAGAAGTACGCCGACTTTCTGGCGCGCGAGAGCACGATGAGCATCGACGAACGTCTCGCGTTCTGCCGCGCGGAAGAGGCCAAAATCAGAGAGGAGGAGACCAGAGGTGCTGTTGGGGACCGCGGCAATGCAAAGGACAAGGAAAACTGGGCGTAAGACGCGGGATGGGACGCCTGGCTCGATCCGGCCAATAGGACATTGTGCTTTGCCGCGATCTTGTCAAGGACGGCGCCAGGCCCGCTGTCACGCATGGTGACGGACAGTCCCAACAAAATATTTTTGTTATTCTCACGGTTGTCTGGCCTGGGAGGTCAGGGGCAGATTTGGACGCAATTTGTAACTAGTGCACACAATACGGACGGTGCCATAATACCAAGAACCTTTTGTCTATTTGACTTGGAGAGTTTGTGACGGGTGAAGCAGACACTGAGACGATTCATGTCCGTCCGCACGGGCGTGGGGTAACGTGACGTTACAAACGAAAGCTGCGCCTGTGTGAATGTATTTGGCATATGCCCCGGGGAGCATCCGCACGAATAGGACGAGATGGCCTCACATGTTCATTATCAGAACGACATCGTCCTTGGTTTTGTATGCACCATGAATATATTGAATGTCAATAGGGATGAGCTCGCCGGCTATTCTCTTTCCATGCCTGGCAGAGAGCCGTTCAGACCTGGAGAGCGGGCAACTCAACCGGCATTGAATTGCGTTGCAAGCTGAGATGGGGCGTCATATCGTAGAGCCGTCGTGGACTACGGGGAGGCTGTATGGACTGGGCTGTTATTCGTCAATGCAAACACAATAGCCCAAAAGAAGCTATTGTGTTTGTTCCCTTCAGAGCCAAGCGCAAGGACGAGGCATGGAATTGCGTGGATGACGGAGGGACTTGCAACCGCCACGCAGACTCGCTGTTTGTCGTTTATGATATTGTCTTTGTACAAAGCCATTGATGATCTAGAGCCCAGGAGAGACTGAATAGAACTCCATCTCAATAGTCTCAGTTTGCTTCAGCTTCCCCGTATTGCTGGCCCTCACTACACATCTCAGTTTCCATCTTCTCTCGTCTCTTCTTTTTCAGTCTTTGCCAGTTTTTTTCATCAGTTGTTTGTCAGTCTTCTTCCATCCTCTTCTCTACCCCGGCCCATGATTTTCTTCTTCACTCCCCTGTCTTCTTCGCCTCCACCTCATCATCATCAGCTTCTTGTCGTCGCGTTTCCTGTCGTTCCCCCCCCCCCCCCCCTCCACCATCATCAGCTGCATCGTTTTCCTCAGAGACTACGACACGAAGCCATGGCACATGAATACAGTCAGTTGTTTCGTTTCGGGGTTGAGTTGGAACTGTTCGTGAAGCCGAAAGAGACGGCAATTGTCGCGGCATTCAAAGCTAGCGTCGGATGGCCTCAGCCCAGAGAGCCCGGAGGCGCATTCAGAGACAAGACGCAGCGGCTGGTTTGCAAAATCTTGCAAGAGAGAGGTTCCCTCCCCGTTCGCCTTGGCGAAGACGACACCTCCGAAGACAACACCTACGACATGTGGACCGTTATTGCCGACTCGTCTCTGGTGTATGGAGAGCATGACGATTTTTGTGCGTATCTTTTGTCCATTCCGCTCTCACGTCTTGCCATGTTGGCGTCTGTTATTTTGAAATTAATGTTGCACGAACACCCGCGCAGTGCTAACATGCAAACCATATTGGCAACAGACGGCGTTGAGCTCGTGTCCAGGATTCTTCATACAGGCGGCGACTGGCAGCGTGAAGTGGAAACCCTATTCAACCTACTTTACGAATATTTTGATGTGGTTGCAAACAGCCATTGTGGCACGCACGTCCATGTTTCGCCCGGCTATATGGGCAACAGGAAGCAAGACTGGACGCCAAGCCAGGTGCGGCATATTCTCAAGAGCCTCTGCCTGTTTGACTCCCAAATCACAATGATGCTCCCCATCGAGCGGCGGCGCAGCATATACTGCACGTCATTTTTGTCGGGCAGCAATGCGGCGCAGGACCTGCAGCCCTACCAGGCGCAGATCCTCCAGACGGGCCGCTACGATGGCCTCTTCGGTTTTATAGACGGCTTGGCCACGATCGAGGCTGTCGCTGCCGTCTTCGAAACCCGTTGGCACTACGCCAACTTGCAGAGCCTTGTGACAAAGAAAGGAACCATTGAGTTCCGGTGCCCGCCAGGGAGTGCCAATGCTGCCGACGCGACGCATTGGATCCTCTGGGTCCTGTCTTTTGTATACGGGGCCCTGGAGAAGGGGCGGTATGGCTACGGCGTCATGACGCGCAACCGGATGTCGTACAACACATACCTCGAGTTCATCCGAGCGGGCCACCGGGCCATGCCAGCTGTTGCGAAGCGCGGTGCCGTCCTCATCAACAGGCACCTGGCGAACCATGGAGAGGGGCCGAGCATGACCGACCGGGAAACCCGGCGTTTTACGAGAGAGGCCAAGAAGCTGTTCAGCGCGGACCGCTGACGGCTAGGGGGCGTCGGAGATTGCAGTAGAGAGAGGAAGTGAAAGACAGCCGGTGGGAGATGGCAGCGCCAGTCCAGGGACGAGGAACTGGGAAGGGCGTTTGATATGGTTTTTGCGATATTGTTTTTTTTTTTTTTTTTTTTTTTTCGGTTTTTCGCCTTTTCGGTTTTTCGGTTTTTCCTTTTCTTTTTCTGTTTTGCTTTTTTTCTGTCTTTCCTGCTTACCTCGTCGAGTTGTTTTGTTCGTCTGCTATTGTTAGTTTGCTACTGTGTTATTCAATTTATTCCCCGTTCTTCTTTTCTTGTTTTGCACGTTACTTTTCGTAGACATCCTGCCTGCAACACTCGTTGTTTTATATCATTTGCACTCTAGGTTTATCACCACTCAGTACTTTTGATACAAGAAATCTACCGTTATAGTACACGACAGCGACCGTGCAAAACGTAAAGGTCAGCAATAGACCGGACCCGAAAGTGAATAAAGGCGCGACATCGCTTACGAGGTGATACGTCGTGGTGAACACCTGTGCATTGTAAGTTACGCAGTAAAGCAATGCCTTTGGTGCATACGCATACGCATATGCGCCAAGCACACCGGAAAAACGTGTGGGTGGTCCTCCTTGCCACGGGACGTGTATCGCACTCCTCGTTCATATGCGGTCGCCCCTCTGTGGAAGCTGGCTTGGTGTCGGGGCGTGTTGAGTCAGACGCAGGTTTTGGTGGTCATGGCATCCCTGTACTGTGTATGTTTGCGTACAACTTAACAGGTTCGTGGAGTCGCTTAGCGCTGACAGCAGGCGCGCTGTCTGCCGACGAGCCGAGGAGATGCCTGCCCAATGTTCTGTGGCATCCTGGTTCGGCCTGGCGTATCCAACCTGCATGGACTGCACCCTGCACGAAGATGCTTCACGACGATGTATAGAATGCTCGTCAACGCGTCCTGGCCCTTGCGTACTAGGCCTGCTGGCTTGATCACCGCCGGCTGCGGTGTACTGTGCGTCCATGGGCGGCATTGCCAAAACAAAGCATCTACAATGTCAACTGTCTCGGTTTCAGAGGACTTGGTTCGATCTGCTTGTCTTGTACTACATAGTACATAGCAGAGACAGTAGCGAGATTGTTTATACATTTCTTTGCCGTGGAGCCGTAGTTTCGGTGTTGGAGATCGGCACGGCATATTCCTGTCTGACCAAAAGACACAATGTCAAATGTCTCAGTGTCAAAGCTTATTTAAACTGCATGTTTCTGCATGTTTCTGCATGTTTTGTTCCGACAACGCTCTCCCTTACAAAACGCGAGCTACTCCAAAAACCCCACCGACTCCTGCCTGTTCTTCTCGTACATCAACAACCTGCCAAACTCGTGAGAATCCCGGCACTTTACCTACCTTGGCAGCGTGGGCAGCTGTCGGCTTGCGTACGCGGACCTATTCTGCCAGCATCTTCCAGCCTGTCGTTTTCGACGTGCCGGGCGAGCCGGCAAAGCAGGACATGTGCGGCTGAAGCGAAGCCCCTTGTGGATCATGGCATCCATTGTGTTTTGCTATGCATCTCTTCATGCCGGCCATGTTGTTTGTTGGGCATTGTGTACCTTGTTGCCTTGATTCTGCGCACATTTTTCTCGCGCATTTTTCCTGTTTTGCATCTTTTCGTCAGCGGCAGAGGCATGCTGAACAATCGTCTGCTCGGCCTATTTGTCAATTTGTCAGGCCTAGGACCTTTGCAGCCTAGCCCTCTGTCTCGACGGAAGCTGAGAATCGTGCGTTGGTGATGAAATTGCCAAAAGGGGCCAAAGTGATCTGCATCGTCGACAACGTGTGCCGATCAGGCCTTTGTTTTTGCATCGACTCGACCCAAGCTGAGAAGTTGTGGGGATCCTGTCTCACACCGCCCATTGGCGAATGGATTACGAAGTTTGTCGTATAAACAAAACAAAAGTACGACGTAGAACAAAACAAGACGAACCGGACGGGGCGCACGGGGCGCACGGGGCGCACGTCAGAAACTGACGGCAGAAAGTCCCGTCCTGTCAGTGCCGTCCGTATAAAAAGGCCAGTCCGTCCCAAGGTCGACACAACGTTTGTCCTTTTCATCTACAGTCGTTTCCAACCATTGCCATATACACCAGCTCAATATGGTCCGCATCTCGCAAATCACGGCTTTCGCCGCCTCGCTGTCTGCGGCGTCGGCCTCCTGCCTGAGCGGCACCAAACTCGCCGCCCGTGCCGCCGACGGAACGGTCCCCATCTCCACGTTCAACTACACCGGCGCCGGCGGCCCGCTCAACTGGTACAGCCTCAACACGTCGGCCAACAGCGCGTGCTCCCGGGGCAAGTTCCAGTCGCCGATTGACATTGTCACGCAGGCCATTGGCTACGCCTCGACGGCGTCGCTCAACTTCAGCGTCCCGGCGGTCGCGAGCGCCAAGTTTGAGAACCTGGGCACGAACGTCGAGGTGGTCGTCAACGGCACGCTCGTCACCAGCAACTTGACCTACGAACTGGCCCAGCTCCACTTCCACACGCCCAGCGAACACCGCATCGACGAGGAGTACTTTCCTCTGGAGGTGCACTTTGTCTTTGAATCAGAAGGTATGTCCATGTCCCAGCGTCATCATCCAGCGTCATCATCCAGCGTCATCATGGCCCAACGTCATCCATGCTTCGACTGGATCTGTTTTTGCTCTTCTGCTGTACACCATGCTGACCGACCCAGCGAGTGACATTGCCGTCGTCGCCTTCGTATTCCAGCTGTCCCAGTTCGGCTACAGCGCCCCCCTTTTTGACAGCGTCTTTGCCCACCTGGACGACATTGCGAAGCCCGGCACCTTCACCAAGACGGGCCCGCTCGACTTTGCGGGCCTCGAGAAGCACTTCAACGACCACGGCGTGTACGCCTACAGCGGCTCGCTGACCACGCCGCCGTGCAGCGAAAACGTGGCCTGGTACATCAGCACGGAGCCCGTGCCCCTGAACGTCCAGACGTACAACGCCGTCAAGAAGGTCGTCAAGTTCAACGCGCGCTACACCCAAAACGCCCTTGGCCTTGACAACTTGCTGGAGCTGTCCGCTGCTGCGCTGCAGCATTGAGCACAGGATGTACTTTTTTTTCTTTTTCCCGGTGTACATATGGTTGCAATCGATCTGCTTGGCGTACTTTGTGGAATACGGAATACTATGAAAAGAAACCTGCAGTGCGTGGCAAGTGTGCGTGACAAGTTTCGTAGACGGGCAAAAGGACGAGTTTGACTCAAGGCGGTGGTCAGTCCTTTTGACGACTAGCATAAGGTTAGCGTAGTACGAATCGCACAGTGGAATATCGTTGAACGATGCTGCCAAAAATGGATAGCCTGAAACGACAGAGGCAGCGTGGCTGTGCACCGTATTCCATGGGGAAGTACTTTACGGGCGTGCAGCCAAAAAAAGAAAACTACCTAAAAAAATACGAAGAAAAAAAGAAAAAGACAAAAGAAGAACATAAACAAAAAACCTTGGACAGCGGCTACGCCGAGGATAACGACAATAGTACAATCCGCGACAGGTGGGATAGGACGCGAAAGTAGTTCGAGGAACGCATGCACAGCCAAGGTCTACGAAAGGCGTGGACGTTTTCGGTGCAGGGCCGCTCGTCTTGTCGTATTTACAAACGGCCCGTCAGGCGTCAGACCTTTACGCACAATCGTATTACGTTTGCCAATGTTGGTACAGTCGCCAATGTTGGTACAGTCTCGCATTTTGGCTGACGCTATTTTAGTTGATACAAGCAAACATCCACTTCTGTTTTGTCTTCCGCTGCCCTCCACCGTCCTCCGCTGCACCTCTCTCACAGCCGGCGTGGCATCGACCGTGTCGTGACGTCCCGCGTGACCTGGATCTGCTGGTGCGTCCCGCGGCTGTCGCCGAACAAGGGGACCGGGACCTGGCTCGGGGTGGCCCCAATGTCTGTGCGCACCGTCGTCCACAGGCCGAGCAGGGTGTCGCGGCGGTCGGACACGGGCGTCGTTGGCGCCGTGTCGGCGGTGTGGTCGGCGTCGATGCCGTGATGCTGGTGGAGGCCTGCGGCTGCCTCGACGTCGTGGCTCCCCTTTCCTTCGGGACCGAAGCTGCCGTGGCTGCTGCTGATGCTCAGCTCCATGTCGTCGACGCGGTACAGCTCATCCTGGCTCTCGGTCGTCATGGCCGTCGCCAGGGCGGCGGCGCCCGACCGGCTCACGCGGCGGCTGGTCCGGACGGCCTCCTGGCTGTCGGTGGTCTGCGACGCCGTGATGCTGCTGCCGCCGCCCTCGCTGTGCTTGCGGTAGCCGCGGGACGAGTGGCCGTGGACGGCGCCTGCGCTGCCGCTGCCGGGGCCGGCGTGGCCGGAGTGGCCGCTGTGGCCAGACGACTTGCCGGACGACGAGCCGCCCACGAGGTGCGGGAGCACCTGCTGGACGAGCGGCTTGAGCGTGGGCAGGCAGAGGCAGGTGACGGCCGAGGACAGCTCGCCGACGGACCAGCAGGAGGCGGCGACGTTCTGCCAGCTGAGGTCGACGGCCTGCTGGAGGTACTTGATGCGGACGACGGAGATGGCGCAGGTGAAGAAGCCGAGGCCGAAGATGGCCATGACCAGCACCTTTTGCTGGCGGCGGAGGTTGAGGCTCTTGAGGATGGGGATGGGCAGGCAGAAGATGGCCACGTCGCTGGCAATGTTGCCGGCGGCGTTGATGTACATCTGCGGGAAGAGGGCCAGGCAGCGGCCCGGCAGCGCCTGGTCCCAGAACTTGGCCACGGGCGAGCAGCCCCAGATGGTGATGAAGACCTGCGACAGGCTCCAGGCGCCCACGACAAACATGAAGCCGATGATGATGCGGCGGATGCTGGGGATGGAAAAGACGCGGTAGTACTGGGCGAGGAAGGAGAGCTTGACGACGACGAGCGTCACGTTGTACCAGACAAGGGACAGGAAAAAGTACTGCCATGCAAGCGTTAGTATGGACGTGGGGAAGGGAAGAGGGTAAAGGGAACGGCGGCTGACCCGAAAGTACTCGACGATTTCTGGAGGCGAGAGTGTCCACATGTGCTTGCCGAGGCCGTTTTTGGTGTCTGGTGATGTTAGGAGGCAGAATGGACAAAAACAAGGGACAGACAGGGAACGAAGATCAAGGAAAAAGAACAAGGAAAAAGAAACGGTGCATCTCGACGTACTCAAGCACACAAAGATGCCACACAAGAGGAGCGACACACCCGCCGCCACGGCACCGTAGTCATCGGCGCCAAACTGCTTCACAATGACCGCTCGCGTATAGACTCGCGCGCCCAGCGTCAGCATCGCCATCGTCATCGTAATCGCGGATACGGTAATCACCACCCATGCGGTGTCCTCGGCGGACAACGCCGGATCCATGGGAGGGCCGGCCATAGGAGGGCCCGCCGTGGGAGGGCCCGTCGTGGGAGGGCCCGTCGTGGGAGGGGCAGCCATTGTAGGGTGAAGAAGTGAAAGAAAACAAATAAAAGTGGACAAAGAGACAAAGGGCCGATTGTCTTGTGTCCCAGATAAAATGGTGCAACGAGAATATAGTCAACAATCGATGCCGTGGCCAGACGTACTTATATGTTCCTTGTCCTCGCCACGCCGTACATCATCCAGACATTTGCGAGCGTCAATCGCGCCAGCCTCCCGACACTGGCCACTGACCACAGAACACACAACACACAACACACAAACACGGCATCCTGGCCTGTCAACCCCAGACCGGTCAGTGATGCCAAGGCGAGACGCTGGGGCCAGCGGTTCATTAGTTCGTGTTAGCGCCCGCACGGGCATGGTGGAGCCGAACGAGACAGCGAGTGAAGGCGGACTGGGACAGCTGGGACGGCAAGGACAGCTAGGACAGCTAGGACAGCTAGTCGTAATGAAGACAAGGACGAGCGTCGACGCGACTCGATGCGCCTCGCTGCCAATTGGCTTCCCCGCAATTGGTCGACTCGGCTGGCAGCGAGCGTGTCGACGATCCATTGCTTGGACCCAGGCTCTTGGGCTCGAGCCCGCGTCCAAGAGCTTGCAGGAAGACGGGGATGGAACAGGGCGAAAGCATCTCGAATGATCTGGAATGGAGCATCTGGAATGGGACGTGGCCGTTGACATGCACAAGAAGCACACCGTGTTTGGTGTTGTTGTCGTCTCGTCGTCTCTTCGACGTACATGTACGATGTGAATTGATAATGGCCAGTGATGCCAAACGGACAACGCAAGGAGCAGTTCTGTGATGCAGCATTCAGTCACTTGTCTGGTACGTGTTCATGTACACAGTCGTTTCGCCAAACCCTGTCCCTGCGACGCAAAACACGATGCGACGTACAGACAATGACATTGACGCGCATTGTCAAAGCGGAAAGCGGGCCTCAGACGACTGGAGCAGTGTCGTCTCATTGGAAAACAGACGTGTTTGCAACAGGAAAAGTCGAAAGTCGAGCATGCGCTTGGACCTCGTCCGCACTATCGATCCACGCGATCCGTACTCTGTACGCGAGCCTGGAGAACGTCTACCCCAAAAAGGAGAACCACCTGACGACCAGCTGGCGGGACCACACAGCACTCGGTCGTCGACGTTGCATTCGTTCGTGTGCTGTGGCGCTGGACGAACCGACTAGTCTCGTTCTGCCACACGAAAAGTGCCGCGTCGTCCAAGCGAACAAGAAGAAGTCCATGCAACGCATGAAGACTGTGTGGTCGCAAAGCTTTTGCCTCAATCATTTGTGCCTCTCAACCCATACCCCATTTCCCCTTTGACTGCAAACAAGAAATCGAGAACCAGCCTCCTTTTACCACTGCGTACTTTCCATAGCGAAGCAGCCACACGGACGTCTTGTCAGATGCCGGCGATCTGTGCACTTTGGGCGGGGGAACGTACCTGGAGAGTAAGTCAATAGAAATAGAGAATAGCACGAAATACCAGGTTTGAAGATTTTGACAGGACATTTGTGTGTTAATTTTTGTCCGGTACTACTTCTGTAGATGGCGATTTTTTTTAATCTTTTTTTAATTCATTTTTTTTTTCTGTTCACAACCCCCCGTCGGCTGAACTATATTATACAGTGAATATACTATATCGAAATGTTTCAACTTGTTCTGTCACGACTTTGAAGCTGCAATGTCCATGAGTGCGTGTTGGCCGAAGCGGACCGACGCAGACCGATGTGCGGCGGATGGCTATTGCAAATGGGCGTCTGACTATTTCGTATGTTTATTGCGACAATTGTTTCCGTTCATCATGTTGTTATCGCCGTGCACTGCAAGTGATCCCTGAACTAGCCTGAACGAACAATTGAGCGACTACGGAGTAGACGCAGACCGTCCGCCTTATCGCCGTCGCCCGTCATTAGCCATTGGCTGATTGCATCATTTGCTCGACGGCTTCCACCATTGCCAATACGCGACGGCGCAACGGCTTTGTACGGGACCGGAGCGGACGACAATCTACGGCATCCATCAACTACCGCGATCCGTTAGAAGACATACTCGAACACTCAACCTACAGCACAGCCCATCCCGTCGCGCCGTATCGATCCTACCATGGCCACCGCCGGCATCGGCCCCGAGGACACGCTGCTCCTGTTCCTGCCCGACCGCACGCTTCCGGACGCCGCCTGGGTCGACCGCATCAAGGCGGCCTACCCCGGCCTGACCGTCCGGGTCGAGAGCCAGACGGACCCGGCCACCGGCCAGACGCGCGACGTCAACAGTCTGCCGGCCGATGTCTGGGACGGCGTCACGCTGCTGGTGGCACACGGCCCGCCGCGCACGACGGAGCAAAAGGTGTTTTCGTACGCCGTGGAGACGACGCTCAAGCCCACGACGACACTGCCGGGCCTGCGCTTTGTGCAGGTGCCGTCCGCCGGGGCAGACCGCTGGATTGCGCACGAGACGCTGCAGCGGCCCGACCTGACCATTTGCACCGGCAACGGGACGCACGCGTACGTCTCCCTTCCCCCACGGTATTCCGCACAATCACCGCTGCTGTTCATCACTGACTAGCCGCCCTGCGCCGTCCAGGCCTCAAATCGCAGAATGGGTGATTGGCGCGTGGCTGATGGCCCGCCACCACTTCCTGTCCATTGCCGGGCACAAGGCCACGGGCGACGCCTGGCAGCACCGGATGGACCGCATGGGCGAAGACTCGACCAACACAAGAATGTACGTTTCGTCCTCTCGAACTTGTGTATATCTCCGCTCGTCTCTGTTCGCTAATCCCAACACTCGCCCACCAGCGGCATCCTCGGCTATGGCGCCATTGGCCGGCAGGTCGCCCGGCTGGCCACGGCCCTGGGCATGGAGGTCTACGCCTACACCCGCAGCGAGCGCGCCACGCCCGCGTCGCGCGCCGACCCGGATACGTACTGCGTGCCGGGCACCGGCGACCCAGAAGGCCGTCTGCCGGCCCAGTGGTTCCACGGCACCCGCGCCGACGACGTCAGCCGCTTCCTGGCGCGCGACCTCGACCTGCTCGTCGTGGCCACGCCCCTGACGGCCGACACCGCGAAGCTGCTGGGACCCGACCAGTTTGCCGTCCTCGACGCGAGCCGGGCGGCCAAGCCCAAGACGTACCTCGTCAACATTGCCCGCGGCCAAGTCGTCGACACCGACGCCCTCCTGCACGCCCTCCGCACCAAGCAGATTGCCGGCGCCGCGCTGGACGTGACCGACCCGGAACCGCTGCCGGCAAGCCATCCGCTCTGGAAGGCCCCCGACGTATTCATCGCGCCCCATGTGAGCTGGCAGTCGCACCACATGCGCGAGCGGCTGCTGGGCGTGCTGGAGCTGAATCTGCAGCGCCTGCACGCGGGGCGGCCGCTGGTCAATGTCCTGCACAAGGCGCTGCACTATTAGAGATGTGGAGGAAAGGTAGACAGAAGACGAGTGAGGCTAGGTACATAGATGGCGCTACGTCGGGGGCCTCTGTCAATTGATCGTGACCTCCGCACGTTCAGTCTCTCTACAACAATTGCTGGTTTCGTTCACGGTCTGCTCTGCAGCTCGCGCTCGCAGGCGACAAAACGCCACAAACGCAACATCGTATTTCGCGTTGCTGGAAACAAGTGCCGCGACTGGCCTGGACGGTTTAAGCTGTCGCGTGCCAAGACCTTCTTGCGCGTCCCGTCATGGTATCCACCGTGGAACACGCAGCTCGGGGCTAAGGCAACCCCGATCGCCCGATGGGACGCACTTACTTTGCACGAATGCCGTGCATGGGGCCAGCGAATGGCGGCAACGTCGCGCACCGTTCTTTGTGCGAAGCACGCGAGTGGTCAAGATCGGGCGTCACTGTTGCGTCGATGCCGTGCTCCGCTGTTGAGCGTCACCGAGAGGCCGTTTGACGAGTGTGACAAGGCAGCCAAATTCGTTTGTTTGCCGTTCAACGAAGCAGCATGACTCGAAGAAACGCGACTCACGGATGGTTGCAACTGTCCGATATTACGTCTGTGCTGAACGAGCCGCTGTTGTGAATTGAATGCAAGTGCCGAAGTGGCCATGAATTCACCCGGGAAGACGTCGTGAATGCGAAAGAAAACCTATATATAAAAGAGACGTCCGCACGCCATAGCTACAAGCTTGATCCTTTTCATCGCCATCAGAGCATCACATCAGCATCACACCAACAATCTATCTTTACGCCAACAAAATCACCGCACCCGTCATACCAACATGGCCATTCCCGTCGTCGTCTACACCAACATGGCCCTTGCCGGCAACAACCTCACCAACTCTCTCCAGCCGGAGTACGAGGGTACGCTGCCTCTTGATCTTGTGGTGTCTCCGTACCGCTCGTCTGCCCTCACCGCCACTAACCATTCCAGTCATCAAGGTCGTCCTCGACAAGGCCGAGGCCGTGGCCGACCTGCCCGCCCTGTTTTCGTCCGGTGCCGCCAAGGCTCTCGTCGTTGCTGGTCTCTTGGCCGGCGAAGACGCCGACGCCGACGAGGTCGAGGCGGCCGTCACGGCTGCCCAGCCGGGTGTCCGTGTGGCCCGACTGTCGCGTGCCGACCTCGAAGGCGCCGGCATCCAGCTGCTCCCGCCCGGCGCGTCCACCGAGAAAGGCTTTGTGCCGGAGGGGGCCCCGCGTCCCGATCCGGCCATCTTCCCGCGGCTGTTCAAGGCGAAGCTGGTAGGGATCTGATGGCGGGTCGGAAGGTGTCCGGACGTGTCCGACACATAATGTGTGTCTTACGAATGGTTGTGGATACGTTTAACGTGACACAGTATATATCTTGACAAAAAAGTAGATAAGTATTTAAACAGATACCGGAAGTAACAGACTATAGAAAGACCGACTTTAATAGGAACTATACAACCGTTAAAATAAAATGACAGAATGTCGAAGTAAACACACACTACAAAATAAATGTAGATGGCCGTCTCGTCCACCGTATTACAAGAGTCGCTCTAGATAAGCGAGACGGTTAGAGCGTATATGTTGGTCGTGGCGTGGAACAAATCCACCTCCACGTACACCGTCGTCTACGTCTTATCGTTGAAGAGTTTGATACCCAGGTCCTCGTCGTAGTCGGCCGTCGTTGGATCATTGATATATTGGTTCGGTAGTGTAGGTTGATGTGGACTTTATTCCAGCTTTTCAGAGTGGCCGAGTCGTAAAGCAAACCAAATCAAGGCACCGATCCCTAGTAGTGCCTTGTTTCGTTTCAAGTCGCAGTCCGGTGTGGCTTGGGAGTGGAAGCAAACGGAGCATAAACACGTCGGGGACGTCGTAGTCGGCGCATTTCGCCAGCAACCACTTGGGGGAAGAAGACAAACTTAAACAACCATCAACTCACCAGCCAAGATGTTCACATTTGTGACACCCTATCATATACCTTCCATTATGTCACGGTACGACATCATCGACCGCCCCCGTCGTCCTCGCCGTCGTAAAGTTCGATTTGGCATGTCCTCCTTGTTGCAAACCAAGGAAACGCCCCCAATCACCTAGAGATATTAATTCCCTGCTTGTGGGCTGCAAGTCTTCCCAGTGATTCGTCATCCATCAACCGGGCGGAGTACCAGGCGCACAGAAAATACTAACGGTTGCGGCACAGGCCTCGTAGGATCTCGATATGGTCTCGTGGGCCGTGCCGTCTCTGTCATCCGCAAACACAAGCCACACAGGGCAACGACTACATCCGACTCCGTGGCATGGCGTAAATAAGACGGACATATGAGAGGGGCCTTCCTTTGCGAAGTCATCATATGGTCACGGGTCGCGACCTGAATCCTCCTCGGGATATATATACCGACTCCGCCTGTCGCTTGCACCCTTTTTTCTACTTCACTCAGCACCTCGCTGTCGTTCACTCCTTTTGCGTTTTGGTACCGTCACAAGATCTATTCCCAACGTCAGAAACGCGTCAATTCTCACTCCCCCATCACAAGATGCAGTCTATTGCCGTCCTCGTCGGCCTGCTCGTGGCTGCGGCTGTCGGCTCGCCGTCGGGCATAGCCGGCAAAGATTACGCTGACCGTGTCGCCCGCAAGCGCACCGCCGAGACCGTCCAGCTGATTGCCTACGGCACCAACATCTCGGGTCTCCCAATCTATGCGGGTGCTGATGGTACGTTCGAATGCGTCTGTGCAGCCGCCTCGTCCCCCCTCCGGTTTCAGGCCCTTTGCTTACGCAGAATAGACCTCGCCTACGTGGCGACGCCCGCTGCTGCCGCCCTTGCGAACCTGACCGCCCTCACCTGGACCATCGACACCACCGGCGAAGACGCCTGGACGGTGGCGCCGAGCACGAATGCGTCGACCGTGACCCCTGGCTCGTTGTTCTACATTGTCTCTTCGTCCGAGAGGGGCGACGCCTTCGACCAGGCCGGGTTCGTGCCGGACGCGTCGGACGCGCCAGCCGGCGCGACCACGACGGGCTTCATCGCCTACGGTCCGTATGTCATCGTCGCCGCGGACAAAGTGAATGGCACAACGTCGTACGTCTCCGAGTTCTGGGCCCGAACAGCGCCCGGCACCGACGGCCTCTGGGCGCTGATGTGGAACGAGGCCAACAAGGCGCATGCCAATAGCGCGCCCTTGAGCATCAAGACGACGGCACCGGTCAAGTCGACGGTGTAGGTGCTGTCCGGGCTGTGGCCGACGGTTGGTTACGTAGATACTTGGTGTTATCTGATGCGGTTGGTGACAGCGACGTATAGAGGATGGAGATTGGATCAGCATATTGCCTGTTGTCCTTGCAATGCATTTCTCTTTTTGTCTCCCTTTCCACAGCGCTCCTACGACGATGCTGAACATTTGGGTCTGTCCCTGTCGCTTCGCGTGAAACTGCCTAGGCGAGCACCACCGGCCAATATTTCGGGGCTACCGTGGACCGCCGGCTCGCCGAGACAGTGGAAGAGAGCCACCCCCTTCCAAAATGCTAAAGCCACCGATGGTACCGGTCAACAGTTTTGCGGCCCGCCTCCCCTCTCTCTATTGACGACTGTCACAGACGGGCGACTAGGTTTGTCATCCGATTTGTAGTCCAGAAAACGTGTACTGCGGCTTCTTACACTTCGTCTCCAATGCCCTAGCGGCATCAGGAGAGCGCATCCTGGACGTCCCTCGTCGCCACATATTGGCCGAGGCCATTATGTCCGGACCTGGGTTACCCCCGATAAGGCGACGTCCAAGACAGCTGACGCGCGCCAGTGACTGTATCCCTACATCGCCTTGAGCCGTTGAGCTCGCCACGCCTTTGCCAGTGGCCGCCTATGCTGCCTATTCAGCCACCCGTCCGCCCGGACAGTCAAGTCACTGTCTCGCTCGACCCGTATGAACAGCCAAAACCCCGCGGTGCTGCAGCAGGTCACGGCCCGGAACTTCGATGAGGTATGAAAGTGAAAAGCCCGTACATCAGGAACGCCCACCCGTCGCCTCACAATCCGCACCTCCAACAACTGCGGCAGGTACATCCAGTTGGACCATGTGACCAAAACAACGTCGCTCGCCCGTGCCTTGGAGCGTCCCGCCGTCGCTGCCCCTGTTTTGGCGACAGGCGGCCTGCCCATCCTGACCAAATCGCAAATTCAGCAGCGGCTGAAAACGCCAGAGGCACCATGGGGCCCCGCCCACCCCAAATTTGGGACTCCCTATCTTGACGCTTACCTGCCTACATGGATTGGGGGTGCATCGGCGTCGTGGTCTACGATAATTGGCTGCATCGTACCACACTGATTCGACAGTAGCATAGCGCTGCCTGTCGCTGAGTACAGGGTTGGGGCAAAGACGAGTTGAGGTGTTGGTCAAGAGAAATCGTCCCCCCCCCCCCGTCTCGGTATATAAGGTGGCTAAGCTCGACAGCCTACGAACTTTCGGCACGGATCCTTCCATCTCAGATTGCTAGCGGAATCCATCCCACAGTTTACACCATGTGCAAATACGCCAAGCATATGCGCAAGTTCAAGGAGTGCAAGAACACAAACAACCCTCACGTTCTGACTACGAGAGTCATCACCACCCCTTGCGAGACCAAGAAAGACCTGCAATGTGAGAGGCTCGAGCTGGACACAACGGCTATGTTTGGCTCAGTTTCTGTGACGGGTGCTTGTCCATTGTGTCCAGCAAATTGAAGCGTAAGTTTTCTCATGTAAACCATTCAAACGATGAAAACGTGTGTGGCTGACAGTAACCACGCTCGCAGTGTTGGTGCCACTTTATTCTTGATGGAGTCGCTGGATCGGGCCGGAGAGAATAGGTTCATCGCCTTGTACTGATATGTCAGTTTGGGATCGTATCAAGTGCCATGTTTCCCATCCCTTCACTCTCTCTAATACAAACTTCTGTTTGCAGTGGTTCATCGTCTGTGTTGAGATTTGCAGCACCCATCGCGACCAGTCGTGCCAGCGCCTCCGAGACCTCTTCGGCCCTATCGAATTCTTCGTCCCAGCACTTTTGTATTATGGGACCCGCCATGTTACCCTCCAGAGAAGGGAACGTTTCCCGCGCGTAACTCAATTCCACCATTTCATCTGACATTCCCTGGAAAGGCCTCTTCCACATTGTGATCTCGTAGATGGCCGACCCTAACGCAAAGAGGTCTCGTTTAATTGGCGGTCGATCCTTGAAATTTCGTCCGCGTAGTGGTAGTTCGTATTGGGTCTCTTCGCAAAAGGTCGGCTTGAATGCGTGGCCCGCGAGAAGCGACGCGCCAAAGTCGCCCAGCTTGACACGGTATCCGTCAAAGAGGAACACATTGCGACAACTCAAGTCGCAATACTGTACGCCCCGTGAATGGAGGTATGCGACGCCTTTTGCGACGTCGAGCGCCATCCCGAACCGGGTCTGTCGTGGGAGAGGCTCGTTTGCATGCTCTTCGATGAATTGCCGGACGCAGCCCAGCGGAGCTAGCTCGAGGCGGAGCGAGTGGACGCCAGGACACTGCTCTTCGAGGCCGAAGCACTCGAGTATCTGCGGGTGGCTACCGAGGTGCCGGTAGATGGTGGCCTCCCGGACAAGGTCGTCCTCGCATTCGTCTCGGCCAATGTAGTACGCCCCGTCTCGCCAGACCTGGTAGCCCTTCAAGACCGTCCTGTTGTCGGTTGTCGTGACGTAGCATGTGGCCCCAAGCCCCAGAAGTTTGTACGGCATGCTGGGACCGGCGTGTCGCGAACCAGATCGGCGATAAATGAGAGTGGGAATGTGGCGGTGTCGTTGGAGCGGCCATGGAAATCATGGAAATGGTCAAAGCCTGTGGACTGTGTTGGGCAAGGCTTATTTAGCGGAGGTGGAGATGGACAAGGTAACTAAGCTAGGCACATTGTCGCCTGTGACCCCGGAGGGATAGCGCGGTGTATTGTTTTCCCGGGCCTATTCTTCACTACACCATGTCGGTGGTGCCATTACAGGCCGTTTTTCACTTTGCACTGGCAATAACAGAGCGATGGCACGAAATGGCGCGGCAAGACATCGTACAAAGGTGTATTTACTTCAAGTACGCGGAGTAAATAAGACAAAAAAAACGGCACAAGGAAAATAGCGAGAGACCACCCGTAGCTATTATTCTTTTTGACAACTTGAGGATGTGTAGTCGCCCTACGCACGACAAGTTTGGCCCGTCCTCTGGCCAAGTCCAACAGCCAAAGAGCACAAGTCACCGAGATGAAGTAACAACGCTGCCACTAAGCACAAACAGTGACCGAACTAACCATTTTCCTTGTGCCAAAGTAGCTGGACGAGGCATGAAAAGGTAATGGGAGAACGATGTTTTTTTAAGAAGAAGAAGAAGAAGAAGAAGAAGACGGATTTCTTGTTTTGTACTTGTCCAAGGATGTAAAAGGTCGCTTCGTTCGCACGAGGTATTTACTTGTACAAACTGATTCCTCGTAGGATAACAAATGCTTGTTCAAATCTTGTCTGTCTCTTATTGGAAGAAGTCAAAATAAGTCAACAAACTCTAAGGGCAGGTTACGTCTGATAATTGAAGGCAAACCGCGAAATGTCGCCCAATTTGCCGGCGCACATGCTCGCTTTAATCTGTAAATCTGTATTGTTGTCTAAGATACGTAGTTATTTGCCTTTTTGGACTTTATTTGGAAACACGTCGTGGTTAGACAGCGGCAATGTATGTTACATGATATGTCGCGTATTGTGATAGTTCGTCGTACGCATTTTGAAAACAAAGCAATGTTTCTGTTTGTCAGAAAAATACGTGTTTGTCATTCTTCCAGCACCAACGCCGGCGATTACAGACAAGTCCGTCGACCAATTGTCCTTGCCAGTCGTCTCGCAAGATGTGTCCCTCTGTCCGCTGACATCCTCGGATCCGGACCACCACTTCTGCCTGGCGATGATTGGCGTTTGAACGTTTGGAACGCTTTCATTGATTTCACAAGTGGGTGGGTGGCATTTATCGCTCTGCGGGTGAGGGGGACGTGTGCGTTCGTGCGCACGCAGGCAGTCACACGTAAGTCGACCGTCGTACGGCGCGCAATCTGCAACCCCAACAGAGGCTGGACCATGGTTCAGGATGGTTCGTCGGTCCTTTTTGCCTGTTTTTGGCGGCTGGTGATCTGCCAACGGCGTCACCTCCCATTGGAAGGTGCCTGTCCCATTTTTTCCTGTTCTTTCTTTCCCGCGGCCGCCTTGCTGTCCTTGTTCTTTTTCATTGACAGTGTCTCATTCCGAGCGGACTTCTCCAAGAACGTCGTGTCGTAAATTTCAGGAAGATGCATTCGTACGCGGAGAGTGAAAAACCAACACTCCACAGGGCAGTCACACTGGGGCCTGGACACGGGCACACCCCCGCTAAATCTCGAGCCGCTGCACGGCCACTAAACAGGCTTAGCGGCGGCCCGTTCGGCTAGCCGTTGGCGGCTAAGATGCCTTTTTCGAGAAGCTGCCCAGCGGCCTTCTTTTTCTCTTTCCCCTCACCACTTGTCGAGTCCCTTGCTCACGTCCCTGTCCTGCCACCCGTCGCTTTCACTCTCGGCTTGCGCATCCTCTCCCTGCCCAATGGAATGACAAGCACAGATGGCCGCACAGAAGACAGTAACGACAATGGCTCTGCTTCTGACCAGAGCAAATGGCGACACGTATTGCGTGCGCTGTTGATTTGTGTTTGTATGTGCGGGTGACCTGTTGCGGCCAAAGAAAATCACTGGGAAGGGAGCGGACGACAGCCAGTGTGGCATCCCACGGGTGGCATCGAGGTGGCAGGGATGTTGCCAACGTGACAAGTTGGCAGGAAGGTCGTACAGAATGCGGTTCAACGGCGTGCAAGCCGTTAACTCATGCCTGTTAACGTGAAGAAAAGAGGAAAGACTTCTTTTCTGTCCCGAGGTGCCATTGCACTTTTATTTGTTTTTGAATGCTAGTCTGTCTGACAGTGTCCTTTTCCGCTGTCTGTGCCGAGCGTACGAAATACTCCGTAGCTTGTCAAGTATCAAGTACCCTTTCGTTTTGCTTGTATTTCTGTATCGTCATTCTTTCCTCCTCGCTTAACTCCTCCCGCCCTCACCCTCGGACGCCAACGCTGCTTGGTTGCGACGGCTCGTAGTGGCTGCCACTTGGCTTGACAAGCTCGCTTGGATCGCGAGCCGATTTCCCTTTTCTCGAGCGGTCTTCAGAGTGAACTCCACCGCCCCCGGCACCCCTGCCTCCCACGTTTTCTTTTTTTGTTCTTCGCTTCGATGTGCCTTTGGTTCCTTCACTTCTGACACCTGACGCATCACATTCCTCCACATACATCATCCTTCACTCTTCATCGTGAACAACGCGCAACCTCCGTCTCTGGGACTTGCCGCTTGTCACGACTGAGACACTGCTTTCTTTGCTGCGCCATTTCCCGTTATCGCCGACTCACCTCTGGTACTTTTCTGTCGCAAATCTTCCCCGTTTCTTCTTCCTCTTGGTTCTTACACAGATAGCCCACGTCCCCTGCCAACCGCCGATCATTGCGCTTCCTGTCGGCATTGCGAGAAGGCGACAAAAAAGAAAATACATCGGCGCCGAAAAAGAAAGTCACCAATCCGATATGTAGAAGCAGATCTGATCGGAAACGCTGTGAAACACCAAAACACTGAAAACAGCGTCGACGTCATTCATCCACCTGCACCAACAACGTCGCCGACGTCCATCACGACATACTCTCCACACATACCTCGAGCGCCGACCCCCGAGCTGTCCCTCCGACATGCATAAGTAGCTGTCAACGAGCACGGCGAACGACGACAAACCTCCGAGAAAGGTCTGCGCGACGGGCGACATGGAGCTGGATCCACAGCCAGCGGCGGCCGACGGGGCCCAGACAGATCCACCAGTGGAACCACATGCAAGCAACAAGGCTGATGCGGTGCTAGACACGTCGACAGAACATATGGACGGTGACAATGCAGCAGAAACACCAGTACAGTCTCTACCGCCGAATGCTCTGAGACCAGAAGCACCAGACGGACCGGACGCACCAAACGCGGCAGAACCGAAAGAACCAACCGAACCAGCAGAACCAGCAGAGGCGCAAGGCGCGAAAGACACAACGGTGGAGAGAGTCGCGAGGTTTCTGGCAACACCGCCAACACATTCCTCCCATCTGCCAACCGAGGGCACAATGGAGACAGGCGCAACAGCGGGGGCAGAAACGGAAGCAGAAGCAGTGGACAGGAAGAGGGAGTCGCACGCAAGCAACCCACCAGCCGCGCCAAACCCATACGAGTCGAGCAATGACATTGCCCACAACGAACGGCCACAAGTATCCTCATCTCCACAGACACAGTCGAATGAAGGCCTCATCACATCACATCTTTCGCCACAGCTTCCAGAACTGTTACCAACACAACCACTACCACCACCACCACCACCGCCACAGCAACCGACCCAACTAGACAAAAACGCATATACTGGAAAGAGCTTTTCCGACGAACATGCCGAGCCGACATTGAGTGCGGCGACACAACAGCCGCGGCTGGAAGACGAGACGACCGATACGGCGTCGTCGTTGTTCAGTACAGGACTGAGTGTGAGTGCAACGGCAGTGCCATATCAAGCCACCCCGTTTTTTCTTTTCACATGGATGCACTGACACTGCTAGATTGACTCGGATGCCGACTCTGCCCTGGGCGACGTTGATGCTCCGTAGGTCCCGCATTCTCCTGCCTCTGTTGCCTTGCATGTTGTCCACGCGCCCTAACACTGCACGGCAGATCCTCTACACAGTCGGTCCGCTCGAGCATCTACGAGTTTGTCGAAGAAAACGGGCGCACCTTTCACAAATACAAACAGGGCAGTACGTCCATTCTCTGTCCCCTCTCTCTTCTCCCTCCCCCACGGCCACAGTCCCTTCTGACCGCTTAGAATACTTTATGCCCAACGACAAGAGCGAGCAGGAGCGCCTCGACCTCCAGCACGCCATCTTTGTGCTCCTGCTCAAGGGCCAGCTGGCCCGCGCGCCCATCGAGGACCCGCAGCGCGTGCTGGACGTGGGCACGGGCACGGGCATCTGGGCGATTGAGTTTGCGCAGGCGCACCCGGCGGCGCAGGTGATTGGCACGGACCTCAGCCCGATCCAGCCGGACTTTGTGCCGCCCAACTGCCGCTTCGAGATTGACGACGCCGAGGACGACTGGACGTACGCGTCGCCCTTTGACTTTGTGCACCTGCGCCTGCTGTGGCACTCCTTCCACGACCCGCGCCGCATCCTGCAGTCGGCCTACGACCACCTGCGCCCCGGCGGCTACGTCGAGTGGCAGGACTACATGAGCCGCTTCCGCGCCGTCGACGACTCGCTGCAGGGCAGCGCGCTGACGCGCCTCGACACGCTGTACGCGGCGGCCGGCCGCCGCCTCGGCCGCGACATGCTCGTGACGCCCAAGCTCGCCGGCATGATGCGCGACGTCGGCTTCGTCGACGTCGTCGAGGAGCGCTATGCGCTGCCGGGCAACCCGTGGCCCAAGGGCCGCGCGGCCAAGACGCTGGGGCTCTGGCAGATGACCAACTTCTTGGACGGCATGCAGGCCATCACGATGACGGTCCTGACGCGCGGGCTCGGCATGACGCCGGCCGAGGTGGAGCTGCTGCTCATGGACGTGCGCAAGGACGTGCAGAACACCAACGTGCACTTTTACATTCCCGTGTACGTCATGTACGGCCGGAAGCCGTATCCGCACGAAGTGCCAAAGGCTGCGTAGCGGCGGGTAGGAGAGGGAAGTCTGGGGATTCCTTGGAGATGGATTTCTTTTCTCTCTTGGCTTATTTATGTGACGGCCTTTTTATGTGACAGCAAGCCTTGTTTTGGATACGAGTAATCGTTGTATTTTGAGTTGGAAGTTTCCGCTTGCTTTATTTAGCGGTTTTTTTATCGAGTTTTCTTGACTGTCATGAGCGAAATTCGATTCTTATGGCTGGGATAGATAGGCACATACCACAACGCAGTGAGCATTCTTCGCCAAGCAATTTGTATGCCAATTGTTCAGTGCTCTTCCGATCACGTTTGTGAATAGTAATCAACGGAGACACAATCCAAGAATTATGCACCATTCGTATCGAACGTGGGACGCCCCCCCAAAGCAATATGGGTGGCATGTCTATGGTACCTGTTCATCAAGGTACGTAAAACCTGAGCGAGCAATTGGGCTGGCTGGATATTTAATTCCCATGTCCCCAGCTCCTGGGACGTCCAATTTCACATGTACGGTTGTTTGAAGCTCCAATACTGCAGAATCTGTTACTGTAAGTTCGTTATGGTAAGTTGGTCGTTTCTGCTTCACTGACATGACGACTTTGCCAAGAGAAATCCTTGTTTTCGAGTAACGGCTAACAATCATGTTCCAGTATGAGTCCTCTGCCAGCCACAACACACAGTGTGAATGAACATGCGACTCGGTTCGATTGGCTACAGCCATTTCCTTTTCCGTTGACGTACTTTCAATCTCAAGCACGGCCGACAGGAGGAAATGCCGCAAAGACAGAATGGAAACCTGTCACAGTGCCTCATCCACCAATAAGCAATTGGTCCGCGTCCGCCACCGGGCTGTCTCACGCACTTCTTTGGTCATCTTCGTCGTGGCTGCGGCCCGGCACAATGGAGACGATCCGGACGATGGCGACATCTTGGGGAGAGTCATGGTTACGGCCAGCTCTGACAAAACGGGACAAAGCCGTGTGGAGGTTTGCTGTGTGGAGGTTTGCTGCTCACCTCGAAATTAGTACTTCCCCCGCAAACGGCACTTACACAGTAGAGTAGTAGCAAAGCAGGGGGTAAATACAGAATACAAAGCCGAATTTCCGAGCGCCGAGCAGGGCCGCCCTGTCCTCGCAGACACTTTCCACGTCCCCATGACGATCGACAACGCCGGACGACAAACGATAACGACTTACAGCGACTGGTGTTATGCACCGTTGGTCAACGTCAGTTCTCGACCTGCATAATACCGTGACCGCACCCCACGACTACCGACAAGTAATCGGATCGATGTTCATTTCCTCTTTGGGGTTGACTCGACAAACAAGTCATTTGTCACATCTGTCAGCGGTCGATCGACGCTGAGGAATTGGACCGACATGGCCTCAGTTGGTACTGCATTCTTCCGATTGTGTTCAGGGAGGGAAGCGAAAAGAAAACCGAAACAACAGGTCAGCACAGCCGGATCAGTGACGGCAAGGTAAGACTTGTAAGACATCTCCGCTTTGCAACGGTCGATTGCCGAGAATATGCATACACAGCAGTGACAGTCTTACAATCTTACCAGTATTGTGTCCCTCTACACCTTACATGCCCTGCTGCATTACGGATTGACCCTAACGGATTCCAAGGTCTACCCTGGACGCCGACCCGTAATAACGACAACATATAACGGGCCAAGACCGCCAAGAAACGATGCAGTTATGTAACGGGTAGGTATGTTGTCTAGAGTTGATTACAAGTCAACTTGAGTGAGAAGGCAGCGTTGAGAAAGGAAGCGTACTCGAGGAAGAGGCAGGAGACAGCGACCTGCCAGACACAGTCATTCCTTGTGCTGACGTGCGATCCGGGTAATGACCGCTCTGTCGCAGTGCACAGATAAGCCTGGAGCTCGGGAAGTATGGCTGACGAGATGGAGACATTTCGGTAGTTGTGTGGGCGCGTCGAGTATAAAGGTCGGCACCATCTCTGTAACTGAGCCGAATTGTGTCTGCCGTTCACGCCGACAACGCACAGAATCGAGTCAATCATCCTTCTACATCAAACAACCGAATCACCGAATCAATACCATTAGCATTACCATTACCACTGCCATTATCAACACCACCACAATGGCCGCCCCGTCGCTCCACCCGCTCATCGACAACGGCCTCACCAAGGGCGACGCGGACCTCGCCGGCGGCGTCCTGCGCTGCCACTGCGCCGACCGCCCCGTCGAGGTCACGCTGACCAGCAACGTGCTCCACAACCACGCCTGCGGCTGCTCCAAGTGCTGGAAGCCCGCGGGCGCCCTCTTCTCTGTCGTCGGCGTCGTCCCCCGGGACGCGCTGTCCGTCACGGCCAATGCGGCCAAGCTGCAGGTCCTCGACCCGGCCGCCGCCATCCAGCGCCACGCCTGCACGGCCTGCGGCGTCCACCTCTACGGCCGCATCGAAAAGGACCACCCGTTCCACGGCCTCGACTTTGTGCACGCCGAGCTGGCCGCGACGCCGGGCCGCTGGCAGGCGCCGCAGTTTGCGGCGTTTGTGTCGTCGCTGATTGAGCAGGGGTTTGCGCCGGCGGGCATGGACGCGGTGCGCGCGAAGCTGCGCGGCGTCGGCCTGGAGCCGTACGACGCGCTGTCGCCGGCGCTGATGGACGCGATGGCGACGTGGACGGCGAAGCGGTCGGGTGCGCTGCCGGAGGAGTAGGTGGGGGGAAGGAGGGGGGGGGACGAGATGATAGAACAAACGAAAAGATGAAAAGAATGCATGCATGGACTGGGCTGACTACATTACGTGACTTGATTGTTGATCTGTTGATCTGTTCATTGTATTGAATACTGGCTGTCATGCGTGATCATGTGACACTACTTGCTACCTACAAACCTCTGTCCGTTCACCCCCTCTCAGCCCTCCTCACATGCCAATGGCGTCCCGCAGAGCCCGGAACCGCTTCGTCTTGGTCGTCTTGGCCGTCTTGCCCGTGTTGGCGCCGCCAAAGCCCCATCCACCGCCGAAGCCGCCGCCGCCGCCAAAGCCGCCAAAGCCGCCGAAGAAGCCGCCGCCCTGGTTCATCTTCGCCACGGGGCCGTCCGGGTTCATGACGCCGCCCGAGGGGGTCATGAAGGCGGCCGGGCTGACGGCCAGGTTGTTGGCGGTGTTGATGCCGTAGCGGATCCAGGCGACCATGCCGTCCTCGAGCTTGTCGCCGACGAGGGCGTAGCGCACAATGGGGTCGTCGCCGTTGGCGCCCTGCTGGAACAAGAAGTCGGCCGTGTTGGCGAGGATGGCCATGGTGTTGGTCTCGTAGGGCTGGACCTTGTTGACCTGCGTCAGCAGCGGCTGGTCAAAGTAGAGCTGGCCGACGTGCGCGGCCTTGCCGCCGGTGATGGTGTTGTTGGGCTGCTTGGTGGCGCCGAGGTAGACAATGGTGTGGATGTGGGTGGCGCGGCCGGCGTAGTGGCCGGGGACGACCGAGTCAAAGGACACGACGCCGTGGTCGTCGGTCAGCTGGAGGCCGCGCAGGGCGGTGCCCTTGAGAATCGACGCGTCCTTGGGGTCGCCCATGCCCGGGTAGCCCTGCACGCCGACGTAGACGCCCGTCGAGTTGGAGCTCCAGATGTCGACGTACGCGTCCGGCACCGCCTTGCACGTCTTGTAGTCCACCACCTGGACGACGAGCGTCAGCTTGATGCCGGCCTCGCCCTCCGTGATGTCCTTGCGCACCTGCTCGCCCTTGACGTACAGCGGGCCCTGGTCCACCGACGGCATCAGGATGCACGCGCCCGCGTCGCTGAAGAGCGACACCGGGTCCGTCGCCGCCGTCACCGTCTTGTTGCTCTTGTGGTCGACCTTGGACACGGAAATGTAGTTGCGCTTGTCCAGCGGCCCGCGCTTCGCCTTCTTCAGCACCGCCGCCGCCAGGTCGGCCGGCTCCGGCGCCGCCAGCCCCAGCGCCCGCCGCAGCCGCGCGTACTCGCGGCCGTGGCTCTCGACCGTCCGCGCCACAAACGCGGGGTCGTTGAACGCCGCGTCGCAGTGGTCCAGGTTGCGCCGCTCCAGCGGCTGCGGCACATGCTCCTCGTGGCCGGCCGGATGGGCCCACGCCGACGCCGCGAGCTGGAGGAGGAGGAGAAGAGAGGAGGTCAACATGGTGATGGGTGGGTGGGAGGTTTTGTAAGACTCTCTAAGACTATGACCGATGAAGACACACCAGGGATTTTATATCAGCAAGTCCAAGCAAGCGGCCGTGGGAAGAAGGGAAGGAAAGAAAGGAGGACGGAGAGAAGAGTCAAGGAAAAGGAACCGTCCAAACCAGCATGTCCAGACGGTCTTGGCTACATATATACATCCAAGCGATCAGGACAGTCGGGAGGGCTGCCTCGCTTCGGCTTGCTGCTTCCTCTCTGCTTCCTCCCTGCTTCCGCTCAGCTTCCTCTCCTGTGCTCTGGTCTCCCTTCTTTGTCACGGCCTTCCAACACATCTGAAATCACCTTACCCCGGTTGGGCCGTGTATATTACTGCGTCTTTATTGACCAGCCAAGGCCTCATCTGAAATTGCCATCGCCAACTGCCGGCGGTCGTCGGACGACGGAACAATTGCAGTCGAAATGAGAGTCGCACTCGTTTCGCGTGTCTCGCGCCATTGTGTTCTATTTTGGCACCGTCCCATGTCTCTACAGCCGGTATCCCCGTCGAGATGTCACGTTGTCGCAGTCAAATGAGGGATGAAAATTTTCATATTCTTCATATACGCGGCAGATGCTCGTCTGTTATTGCGCAAAGCCGACAGAAACACGGGGATATAGGCACGATGTGGAGAAGCACGATCGACTTTAAACAATACAATGTGGAGAGACGGCGATGGTTCGGCCGTCGATTGGCTCGGATAAAAACAAGAGAGAAAACAGGGACAGCAAAAGACGGAGCAAAAACAAGGTTAAACACTTAAACACTCTCCTACGCGCACGTTGCCTCCCACTCTGTCGACATTGTGCGCTGTGCCAGCATTGTGTCGACATTGAATCATATACTGTCCAGTCCACCTGTTGACCTCTTCACCTCACCTTGGCACACGACGTCCTTTTATCCAAACAACCACATAGTCGAAACCACAAGACCAGTAGGGACGTCGTTTATTGCCGCAACAACCATTGGCTCGCCCCCGTTTCTGTGACAAACAGAAACACAAACATAGCCGAGCCTGCATCCGTTGCGTCTCGGTAGATTCTGTGCCATTCATCCTCCAGTCAGCTTCTTCCTTTCCACATGCACCCCAGATTCGACCGTCTTCCGTCTTCCGTCTTGGCCACACCACCACGTCGCTGTCTCTTTAGCCATCGCCCTGCCTGGGAACAAAAATAGACTGCCAAGGACAGCCGTCTCGGCTATTCTTCTCTTCATCGCAGGGACGCCACAGAAGGTGCGCAGTATAATATATATCTAGAGAAATGGAGAAATGCGAACCGATATCGCTTATTTTCTTTGTGCACGTCACGAGATATGCCGTCTGCTCACGCCATATATGTTCGGCTAGAAGCATATACATGTATAACTGCTTCCTGCCACGACGGACGTAAACAAATAAACGCTGAAAGTGGCCATGAAGGTCTGCAAATACGGCACTTACCGCTTCTTCGTATCGTGACCGACTCGTCAATCTCCCTTAGACTGCTAGAATGTCCTCATCAACAGATGCACCTTGTCCCGGTCCGCCGCGCCCAGAAACCCCTGGTCGGCCAGCATGTCCAGCGACCGCTGCGCGTAAAACTGCGCCTGGCTGCGGTCGCCCAGCGCCCAGTACAGCCGCCCAATGTTGGCGTACTGCTCGCCGTAGGCCGTAAACACCTCTTCCTCGTGCAGCCGCGGGAACAGGTCGCGGATCGTCTCGAGGGCGGCCAGCTTGGCGGCGCGCGGGCTGCTGTGCCGCCGCGCCACGGCCTGCTCGACGCTGGCCCGCTGCTCGTCGATGCGGATGCGGCGGGCGTCGGAGGCGTCCACGTCGGCGGGGGCGGCCGCGCAGAGCGGGCATTGGCAGACAAAGTTCCAGCGGAGCAGCGCCTGTTGGCGGGCCGCCCGGGTCTGGCCGAGGGGGATGTCTGCAGGCGTTAGTTGTCTTCCTTTGGTGGTTGTCGTCCTTGGCTCTCTACGATACACGACGGGCGACCTACAGCTGACGGTGATTTCCTCGCCCGGGGCAATGTCGCGCGCCGCGGCCACGGTGACGGCCAGGCTGTGCGGCAAGAAACGGGCAAAGGCACTGGTCAGTCAGCAACAAGTATGTGTACAGGTATGTGTACAAGTATGAGTACACCCCCGACCTACTTGGGCATGCATGCATGGTTGATCCGCGCCAGGTCCGGGTACAGCGCCATGTGGTCGTCGGCGTCGGCGCCCAGCGCCGTGTGGAACGCATTCGACCGCAGCACGTTCTCGACCGGGTGGCGCGCGACCGTGCTGGTCTGCGCCAGCCCAAGCACCCGCGCCGGGTCGCTGACCTGGCCCGTCGCCGTGCCCAGCAGCCGGTAGCCCTCGTCGCGCGGCACGGCCCCGCCGGCCACCCGCAGGTCCACGGCCAGCGCCGCATAGTCGACCATGAACGCCTCGTACTGCCGGATGCGCCGCGTGGCCACGACGCCCTTGCCGCGGCCCGGCACGTCGACCATGGCGTAGGCCCGCGACGCGTTCCGCGCCAGTTCCGGCGGCGCCGGCAGCGCCTCGTCCCAGACGGCCATGCTCGCCGCCGCCGTCTCGGGTGTCGTCACGATACTGAGGCCGCCGATGCCGTGCCGGTGGTTGGTGTAGACACAGAATTGGGTGGGTGCGCCGTCGTCGCCATCATCCCCTTCTTCGTCGTCGTCGTCGTCATCGTCATCGTCATCGTCCCCCTCCTCGTCGTCCCCCTCCTGGCTGGCTCGCGCGCACACGGGCAGGTGCGTCCACGGCGACCAGGACGACGGCCCACGTGCTCTCGCTGTCGCTTCGTCCAGGGCCGATGGGCAGAGAAACCGCCCGTAGCGCTGCAGCGGCGCCGGGATCCGCGGTGCACAGGTTCGAATGTCCACGTTGTCGGGCGACACGGCGGCTGCGCCGGCCCATGCCAGCAGGGGCAAGACGGCCAATCGTGAGGACATGCAGGACATGGTGGACATGGAGGATATGGCGGAGACGTAAAATGAATTCTACGTTGTGAGAAGTGAATGGTTTAACCCATCTTGCATTCACTTTGGCAGATTACTCTCCATCTTGATTTTTTGCAGAGGCCACCATAATGGACACATCATCGCGCGGCTGAATCGCGGCTTGGGCATGTCGCATGACGTCTTGGTGCCTTGGTCGTTTCTTGGATGTTTTGGTTGTTGATCCACAAATATCACAGCCAGATAAATTAACACCTATGCTATGAATTTGGCCTTCCTTGACATTGCATCGGTGCGGAGTGGTATGCGACTGCATTGTATTGGACAAAACTCGTTCGGGTTTTGACCTTCCCCTTTACCTTCGAAAAGACGCAGAATGATATTGATTTATGGAAATTGTAATATTGAATGGTAGTTTTCGTGGAAATTTCGTACGTCGAGACGCGTTAATTCATACACATTAAAGCGAGACAGTGCTGTTTGGCCGCAACGTTTTGCTGGCGTGCGCCGGTGCTTTGGCGTTCTTTGCAGTGAGGGATTTTGTCCTACTGACTTTGTACGTATCATTGTAATCCTGTCCCGTCGTTATCGCGGCGCATTCTGTTAATGCTGACGTTCTCATTGCGAGTTGGACGGAATCGGAGTAGGTTTTTATTTTTGGTGGTGTTCTGGGTTTATTAATCGTTGTTGTTGGCCTCGTTATATCATCTTATTCAGTCTTTCATCACGTTTTTGACGTGTTCGCTCCGGGCAGAAGTCCTACAAGGAGCTTACAAGGTGTAGCGTCTCGCACATATCCATGGTTCAGAAGAAATTACGTGGAAGCCTGCAGCAGACCACAACAACTTTTGTGAAAAACTCGTCTATGAAGCCTATGTTTTACTTATCCTTCCAGTTCGTACTGTACTCGCTCTCCGGGCACCGTACCATGCATCATTGTGTAACGCATTTCATGCGGCCCAGGACTCGTGTACAGTTCCTGCGGTAGTGCATTCCCGTCCAGCCCCGTCTTTTTGTAGGCAATGAAGCTGCCGTGGTCCGCAGCGGCATGCTCTGCTTGCGGCACGCCGAGCCCTGGACGGTCTTGACGGTCTTGCTCCGCACCACGGGTGGGTGTCGTCGCCTGCAGCCGTCGCCGCCGCCGCAACCACCACACCAGGAGACCAACGACAATGCCAATGACGGCCACGGCGGCGACTGCGCTGCCGACAATGACGCCCGTGGGCGGCGAGGCATGCCCAGGGCCGGGAGCACCGCCGCTTCCCGCTGTGGTGTTTGTTCCCGCCGAGGACGCGCAAAAGTCTGTGATCTCCGCGCCCGTGGTGTCCACGGCGACCAGGTCCTCCGCAGCCGTCGGATTCGCCGCCCAGAGCGTGAACTCGCGCGCGTCCTGGTTGACGAGCAGGTACGCCGACGAGAAGAACTGCCAGCCGAGTTGTGCGAGTTTCGTCGCCTGCACATTCTGCAGCGAGTCAATCACGAGGTCCGGCGCCGTCGTGTTGACGAGGATGTTCCCGGTGGTCTGGTCGATGGCGGTATGGGGACGCACGAGCTGGTCGTTGGGGATACGGACGGAGAGGCCGGACTGGAGCGTGATGGTGAGGTCGCCGTCGTATCTGTAGGTCATGGTTGGTCATGCTATCGCCTTAAAAAACAGAGAGGGAACAAAACCCACGGATCAAACCCCGACGGTTCGTAACGCATGTTCCAGTAGTAAATGCCGACCGACCGGCCCATGGCGTAGATGCTGTTGTTCGTCAAGTCGAGCATGGTATTAAAGTAGGAGTCGAGCGGCAGCCACATCAGCGTGGGCAGCGCCGGCGTGAGGCAGGCCGTCATCGCGGCCGAGCTCGAGGCCGGGAAGAGGCTGGCCTCGCTGCCGTTGGCAAAGTTGAGCACAATGTCCGTAATGGTCACGAGGAGCTGTGAAGGGCAGTTGGGCTCGGTCGTCGTCATGGACTGCGTGTACTTGGCCCCAGTCACCTTGGCCCGGTCGTAGCCGCCAAAGACGACGCTGCCGCCCAGTTGTTCGGACGTGCCGGACGCGCCGCCTGGAACGGTGGTGCGGCCCCAGAAATAGGACCAGCTCCGGGAGGCAATCTGGCCCGACGACGCGAGCAGATTCAGGAGGGTCGAATTCGTGCCGAGGCCGATGCCCATCATCGGCGTATACGCCTGCTCGCCCCAGTCGCTCAGGGCAATGCTCATCGGGAAGCCGTCCAGGGTGACGTTGCTGTTGAGCCGCAGCGTGTCGGCCACGTGCGTGAACTTGGGATATGTCGAGCCTCCGAGCACCGTATCGTTGGCGCCGTCATACAGGTACGCATTCGCGCTCACTGTGGTCTGGGAGTCGGATGCCAGGGAGTCGTATGCGCCACCGCGGAACGTCGTACAGCCCGCATTGGCCCACGGACCGGCGCCTGGACTGCCCGCGAGACAGTATCCGTCTGTGCCGTACAGAAGTGTGTTGTTCAGCGGCCTAGAGAGCACACATATCTCGTCAGTATTCTGGCAGCAAGGTTTCCTTGGTCATTCTGACGTACACGAGCGGCATGAAGGCGAGTGGTTGCGGTGGTGATCCGATGGACATGTTCATGCCGCGAGCGACCATGTGGTTGGAGTGTCACATTTCCCAGCCGGACGGCAGCGGGATACGGTGCACAACCCATTCCGTGTAACGACCCTGAAGATTGGTCAACGTCGAGACGATATGGTGGTGATGGAGGAGAGTGCTGCCCGGTTAAGAAAAAGAAAAAGAAAAAGAAGAAAAAGAAGAAAAAGAAGAAAAAAAGAAAAAAAGAAAAAAAGAAAAAAAGAAAAAAAGAAAAAAAGAAAAAAAGAAAACCAGAAGCCGGGAAGATAAAGGAAACGAGAATATATCAATTGAGAAAAATCACATTGAGAAAAGGTCACAAGACCTTAACAGGTAGAAACAGTGGGAAAAAGGAGACGAACATAGTAAGCAGCCAGTTTGGCAGAGGGAGTAGAGACCAGAACTTAGACCACCCCCGTCTTGCGGCTAATAGGCGAAGAAGACGAACCATCACCACCCCATGTTTATTCACAGACATCACGTCTCGGCCGAGTGAGGAAATACGCCCAGGGGCAGGCTTGTTTTGGAAATAAGGGGTCTGCATTCAACGTGCATGTACGAATGTACGATGTACTCCGTAGGCGTCGCCGTCCACACGGTTGCGGGCCGCCGGATTTCCTTTCGCGTCCACTCCTCCGGGGCAGGGATCCCGGGGAGAGCCAACCCCCGTCGCCGTATTTTGTGGATCTGATGTCCGGTTTAGCGCTAGCGCACGCAAACCTCCCTCACAAACCGCCTCCAGCCGCCGGCCCCCACAATCACACCCAGACGCATACTGTCGTACACGGCGCGTCGTAAAACCGTCTTCCTTTCATGGCTGCCTGTCGTTTTTCATTCTTTGTGTTCATTGACTGGAACTATAGTCGGGTAGTGTATGGGCCTGGGTTGAAATGCACTACCCCTAACACGTATTTATATGTCGTACAAAGTGGTGTAACGGCGCCCGTAAACAAAGAAGGAAAGGCCCCTTCAGCGGGCCTGCCTTTACAAAGCCCGACGTCCAGCCTCTCACAGTGTAATTTCACCCTGTCATTCGTTTGAACCTTCTTTTAACGCCCGTCCCCTTGAGTATTCATTCTCGCCTCTCCTGCCTGATGTCGTTGACTCTCTCCTTTGTTTTCTCCATGTCTGTCGTTTCTACGCCTCTCCAATATCCTCGTTTCCAGTGGGCTTTCCACAGTCATCCGCCATGATGCTGTTGCTGCGGCGATGCTCTCCACCTGTGCCCCTGCGACGGCGGGCCGTCTACGTCCCCCTCGCTCTCCTCCTGACGCTGGCCGTCTTCACATTCTGGGACCCGGCACGCGGGCCGTGCTGTTCCGGCCTTCCCGGCCTTCCCGCGTGGTTGCCGTCGCCGGCGCTGTCTGCCGCGGTGCCAAAGGACGCGCTGTCCATCCCCGAACTCGACGAGCCCTCCATCTTCCCACCGCCACAACACGATGGGTTCTGCACCAAGCGGTTTACCACCGCCTACCTCGAAGACCTCCGCGACCACTCCATCCAGTACTGCGACCCAGTCGGCAGCACACTGCCACGATCCCGCCTCACGTGCTTCCATGCGCACGTCCGAGATGACAAGGGCGTCGACTCCTTTTGCCTCGGCGCCGGCGCGACGTGGGATGCGGGCCAGAAGACGTTCCGGCTGGACTGCCCCGTCCGCCGCCGGCCCGACGCCAACGAGACCGCGCGCGGCCTGATCCCCTTTGAGAGCATCGCCGCATCCTGGTTCGACACGGGACCGCGGCGGGTGTTTGACAAGTTTGTGTCGTTGTCAAACGACGAGGCGTCGCAGGGGCAGCTGGTCTTGGGGACGAGCACACCCCGCGAGAAAAACTCGTTTGTGCTTCTGGTCAAGCGCGAAGGCAACAACAATCTATGGCACAGCCTGATGGAAATATGGTCCATGATGATGTCAGTCGATGTGCTGCGCATAGCACGGCAGCAAGACGATGGCAATGGCCGTGCAGGCGGTGCTGCCGCTGCTGCGCCGTACTTTCGGTTTCCCGACGACCTCGACAACACCCACGTCGTCATGTTGGACGAGTACGCCGAGGAGTCCACGTTTGACCTCTGGCGGTTCTTTTCCCGCCACCCCATCGTCAAGCTGGCGGACATGATCCGCGATCCGTCGCGCGTGCCCCGCCCCCTGCAACCGGCCAGTGGCGGCGCCAACATCATCGTCCCGCTGTCCGGCGGCAGCAACCCGCTGTGGCAGAACGACTGGGTCGTGCGGGACTGCCGCGCGGCGCCGCTACTCCAGCTCTTTGTGCGGCGCGTTTTTGAGCACTATCAGGTCCCGCGACAAGCCGGGCCGCGGCCGGCGTCGGCCGGGGACGAGAAAGACATTGTCGTCACGTTCATTGACCGGCGCGGGAGCCGCCAGCTGCTGGGCCATGCGGCCCTGTTTCAAACGCTGCGGGAACGGTACCCGAATGTTGTCGTACAGTCGGTGGATTTCGCGACGCTGTCGCTGCCGGACCAGTTGCGCCTCGTCCAGGAGACCGACGTGCTCGTCGGCGTCCACGGCGCGGGCCTCACGCATACCATGTTCATGCGCGAGAACGCGGGCGCGGTCGTCGAGATCCAGCCCGCGAACTTGGGCCACAAGGGGTTCCGGAACTTGGCGGCGCTGACGGGGCACAACTACTTCAGTGCCCAGGCCGAGATGGTGGTTCCCGCGGAGGACGAAGAGAAAGGGGACAAGAAGGAGAACGGCGAGACTAAAACGTCCGTCGCCCGGCGAGGCGACCCAGAAAAACCATGGCAGTCGTCCCATGTGCGCATCGAGGAGGACCGCTTTCTGGCGCTGATGGATGTGGCGATCAAGTCACTGTACAACGAGGGGCTTCGAAATCACCATGTAATATAGGATGTAGACAGATACGACAAGTGAACGTAACCAAGAAAAAACAAAGTCAAAATTGGAAGCAACGATGAAAATGCTTTCTTTTCCCATGGAGCGATAAAGAGAACGGAGGATGGGGCACGCCATAACAATGGCACAGATCCACCATCTTCAGCCTACTATCATAAATGCCATAATAAACAACGAAATAGAAAGGAAGGATGTACTTTTCTGTTAAGAACTGTTCTCTTTTGTATCTGTGTTATTCATAGTTACTTTTTTCGGCTACATTATTTAATTTTTGTGTAAACCACAACGCGTCCAAACTACAACGTAAAAGTTACCTCTACTCGATGGAGGACCAGCTCCAATTTCCTAACTGACGAGGCTGTCACTTTCTGCGGCCGCAACAGCGTCTTCTCCTTTACAACATGGAAGCGGGCCAAACGCCCGTTGTCGTCCATCCCAGCGGAAGTAAGCTGAAAAATAGCTTACGACAAAAACGACAAATTACAACTCGTAAGATTCATAGGGAAAAAAAAGGGAACGAGAAAGAGAGGCACGCGTCGCGTGGATAAGAAAAAGGACAAAAACAGGAGACATGAGCGCAGGTGGCAGCGTTGACACAGGCCAAGAAATGCGGTCCACTTTTCGGGCCCCTGTGGCTGCGCCTTCTAGCAGTGCCGGCCCCTGTAAACGAGACAAACGGGGAGCAGTAGAGAGTGTAGGGAGGACATTCTGATTTTTGATTGGATTTCTGTTTTCTTGTTCCATTGACGAGACGATTATACCTTTACCTCTTGTCCAGTTCATGTCGCGAACAAAGGGAAAACCTGCACTGCTTCCGTTTGCAGCTCATCGCGTTCATCCCAACGTCTGTTCTCTTCCGTTTTCATCGCTTTTTCTGTTGCAATCTCTAGCCAGCTGAGCATTTCCAAGATTCGCTTTTGTTTTATTTCTATTCATTTATTTTATTTTTTCTTTACCTCGTCTCTCTTCATGTCGAACTAGATAATTAATACAGAAAAACAACTTCAATGCAGTCTCCCAGTCCGTCCTTCTCACCGCATCCTCCTGTTCTCACGACAGCCTCCGATTCAGTAGTTGTTTTAACAGTTCGTTTGTTTGCAACGACCAAACTGCGACCTGAACATCCCACTTCTTCGCTGCGCCACCTCCCCTCTGAGACTCTCTCTCGCCGTCTGTTACGATGGCAGGACCACGGCCAGACGAACCTGGTGACGATAACGCCAACAATGACGATAATAAGGACTCCGACAGTAACAACTGGCCACGCGTTGAAGCCGACTTGCCTCCTCTGAAGAAGACGAACAAAGTCGAGTCTGCACAGAGGATACAGGCAACAAAGATGAGACAAAGCCAGGAAGAAGACCATGAGGCATGGGTGAACTGGATCTATCCTCCTGAATTTTTCGATAGGCTCTCTACGGTCCATTTGACACACGAGGCCCTTGCGGAGCTCAATCGCCGCAACAGTCTTGTCCAGTATCAGAAGCAGCAAAAACATTGTCGACCGCAAGAAACCGCTTCTCTGCTTGTGCGCACGATGCCCAATAAGACAGACCTTGTCCGGTTTGCGCGACGCGGCGGTCCCGATTTAACGGATGTTCGTAATGTAAGACGATCATTTTCCGTTCCTTTACACTCTCCCCTTTCTTCGTTAAACCCAAGTGTTAACCAAGGGAAGTGTTCACCCCCGGTACCGGCACCAAAAATTACACCAGGCAGTTACGAGCCGTCTCCCTTTAACACAACCACGACGACCGAGCCTAAAACGGAGAAATCTACGCCGTACAACCGCGACTTCAACCAGCACTTGACAGACCACGACGTGCACGCCACCTACGACTCGCAGAAGCCGGCCAACTGGGCTGCTATCCGAGCCGCTTTGCTCCAGCGGCGGCCGTCGCTCTTGTCGTCGCGGTTCTCCGAGTGTGCATTTGACACGTTCCAAGAGAGTAACGACCGCGCCAAGAACGAAGACGCCGTGATGGTAAATGTTATGCCGGCCATACTAGGTACAGGCGCCCGTCCGGGCCACCAGACTTTAGAGTATAACACGCTCTTTAGTAACCTCGCACCGCTCACAGACGGCACCATTGTGCCGCCCAAGCCCGACATCTATTATGGCGCTCATCCTAAAGAGTTGTCCCATCCCGTGCGTGACGCGCTCAGCGACTACATTATACCGTCGACTCTACGGGACAAGCCTCTAGTACCCAACTTCTTTACCGAAGTGAAAGGCCCGAATGGCAACATAGGTGTGGGCAAACTACAAGCTTGTTACGATGGAGCTGTTGGGTCCCGTGCCATACATCGTCTACAAAACTACGGAAGAGAGAAACCGCAATACGACGGCCACGCCTATACGTTTAGTTCCATATATCACGGCGGCCAGCTTCAGTTATACGCCCACCACGCCACGGCACCAACGACTCAAGGAGGACGACCTGAGTACCATGTATCCCAGGTCAAGGCGTATGCTATGACCAGCGATCGCGAAACGTTTGTTCAAGGAGTCACCGCGTTCAGAAATGCCAGGGACTTGGCCCAGGAACACCGAGACCGCTTCATTCGGGATGCAAACGAGGCAGTAAGACAGGAAGCTTCCCAGTCCTCTCGGGTCCTTGTTACCGAGTCACACGAAGAGGGAGGCGAACGTGAAGAAGACAACACGGCCGAAGAAAGAAAGAATGGAACAACGCCCGGCGGCGACCCATTCCCTGTGCTCACACCGCCTGTTACGTCGACCGCGGGCAGCGCCACGAAGAAGCAGACGAAGCGACGGTACCCAGGATCGCCGTCGGAGGTGTCGGTCCATCGAACGCGAGCTGGAAAGAGACTTTGCCGCTCTTCTATTTGAACGTGGCCGGAAAACGATCAAGTTGAGTGTTACTTCCGCGGATGCCAAAGTGCAAGTTGTTGGCTTCTTTGTTTTTATGAGCCATGTATACAATCAGACGACATCCGTGTACAACCTCGGAGCACTTGGCACACTTCATTTGTTACGGCCTAGGCAGCGTTCATGGGAAGTAAATAGTAAATATTTACGGCGGTTGCCGACGGACAGAATGATCATAGAGTCCATCGGCAGTTTGCTAGCCACGTAGCGAGTTAGCAGACGCCTCTTCGTCTGCAGAAATAGGAAAAGGAAGCAAGATGTGCCAACAACCAGGGACGAGGCCCGGTTCTCTGCTACATCCTGGGACCAGATTGAGCCCTACAGTCTACAGTACTCTGCATACTGGACGTTTGGGAGCACCAATTAACAAACAAGGACGTGTTCCTAGTAAAGTAGGAATCGGAGCAGCTGGTAAACGATATTGTGTGGAAACTGCTGTGTGAGACGTACGCTTTGGCAACAATGAAGAAGACGGGATGCCGGAGCCGGACACCAACGTTGTTATTTCGTAACCGGTGTATAACGTAGGTGCGAAAATGTAAATACAGAGTAATGTAGGCTAGGAAAACAGCAGAGTCCCGCCCTGAACCAAATATAGTAGATTCGATCACCGCCAACTGGTCTATTTGTGTTATTTCCAGCATAAACTAGACAAATGTGACTGTCGAGGATGGAGACCTGAATGGGGAGAGGCAAGAAGAGGTCACAGACAGTGGACTGGTCACTGGAAATGGTGTCATATTATCTTGCAAGGACAGCTGCCCCTGTTGCGTCGCTAGTAGAATTACAATTCAACTCATTGTCCAGTATATCTGTATGGTCCCTTGGGCCATGATATGCCATTATATTCACATAGCTGCCTCAGGACAACCACGTCACCAATGCTCGCCGAGACAGAGAGTTTTTCCGTCTCCCTTTCCGCTTCAGTCGCTCACATAAGCAGGTCGACTTCGGTTACTTTTGAAGCCATTTTATTCACATCTTTAACAAATTTGTCACCAACGGTACAAAATACGGCATCCATAAGCACCGGCTACCGTCGATGCGCCGCCGACAAAATGTGAACTGCCTTAGCCATGACCAGCCGTGTAAGTCTGTAAAAGTGGCTGGCACTAGGCTCAATTGGGCAATCTCGGGCTCCTTTGCAACAAAGTCCGGATCGCGATTTCAATAGTAAACTCCGGATGCGTTTCCGCTTTGGGCACGTGCAGGGCATGGGAGCACGCTCGACGACGCTGGACATTGCTGAACATGACTGGACTGTCGTCGACAATGCCTGCAAAACAGGCAACACCGTGGTAAAATCCTCGAAAAATCATGTCCTGCAAAGGATCCGAGTGCTATTTGCAATGCTACGCCTCGAGCGTTGGTCGTTTGTTCCAACTATAAAAAGGGCGTCTACATCCACGTCTCTGCACGTCTCCGTGTCGGTTTGTCTACCATAGAATCTACATTGTCACCTATACTACCTCATTCTCATCCCAGATAACTGTCATACAGATACTCCGTACGTTATAAAATCGTTTCATCTCATCTCTATACTTCCCACACCCCATCATGTCCAAGATCGTCGTCATCACGGGTGCCAACACCGGCCTCGGCTACGAAGTCGTCAAGGCTCTTCTCCAAAACGACAAAGCCGCGCCGTACCGCATCTTCCTCGGCTGCCGCTCCCTCGACAAAGGCAAGGCCGCACGTGACCAAGTGCTGGCCGAAGTGCCCGAGACCCAGAGCACCATTGACCTGCTGCAGGTCGACGTGGCCAGCGACGCGTCCATCGAGGCCGCCTTCACGGCCGTCGCCAAGGACGTCGACCACATCGACGCCCTTGTCAACAACGCCGGCCATGCCGTCGACCCCCAGCTGGCCGCCGGCGCTGTGAGCCGGCGCCAGGTCTGGACGCAGGACTTTGACGTCAACGTGTCGGGCGCCGACATTATGACGTACACGTTCGCGCCGCTGCTCATCAAGTCGCGCGAGCCGCGTCTGCTGTTCCTGACGAGCGGCCTGGCGTCCCAGCAGAACATGGCCGCCGCCTACTACGCCGGCCCGGCCCCCGCCGCCACGGGCTGGCCCAAGACGTACTTTGGCAGCCCCTTTATGTACCGCGCCACCAAGTGCGCGCTCAACATGCTGATGCTCAACTGGCACCACGTCTTGCTGCCGGACGGCGTCAAGACCTTTTCCATTTCGCCCGGCATGCTGGTCACCAACCTGGGCAACATCAAAGAGCGCCTCATAGCGATGGGCGCGGGCCACCCGTCTGTGGGCGGCCAGCTGATCCAGCAGGTCGTGGCGGGCGAGCGCGACGCCGATGCCGGCAAAATTGTCAACAGCACGGGCGTGATGCCGTTCTAGGGCAAGACATGAGAATGTTTACTTTTCCACTGCCCACTGCACTAGAGTGAGGATAACTACCATACTAAATACAACACGCTCCTTCACGCAACGCAACCCTATCGCCCACAGTTCTTGTTCGTGCACACCGTCAGCTCGTGAATGTAGCGGATCTTGCCGCCCTCGATCCGGTAGAGGTTGGTGCTCGGCGTCCCGTCGGGCTTGGCCGTGTCGATAAAGGGGAAATTGTTGAAAATGTCCACCGCCCCGTACACGGGGTCGATGATGTAGCGCCGCTTGGCAATCGTGAGGGGCGACGGGAACGGCTGCATCTTGCACGTGTTGCCCGTCTGGCCCGTCGTCGTGCCGCCCTCGATGCGCGAGCACGTCGTGCCAAACGGCGGCGCCAACGTCGTGTTGCCCCACGAGTCCAGGTACGCGTCGGCCGCCGCCTTCAGGACCGCCCGCGTGTCCTGCTGGCCCGCGGGGATCGCCGGCCACGCCTCCTTCTTGTCCGCCGCCAGCTGCGTCGCCGCGTTGAACGCCCAGTCGCCCGGCTTCGTCACGACCGACGCGATGCGGGTGATTTGCGGTGTGGGATCGCCGCCGCTGCTGCTGTTGCCGCCGCTGCCCGGCGCCACATAGACGCGCGCAATCACGACGTACGGCGGCGTGTTGGACGCCGCGTTGTACTCGATAAAGGCGCCGCACGCCTCCGTGTCCAGAAACGTGCGGTTGAAATCAATCGAGATGGGCCGGGCCAGGATGCCCTGGCCAATGTCGAGCGGCACGTCGTTTTCCTCGTACGTAAAATTGGTCGGCGCCACGTTGGCGGGCGGCTTGCCGGCCGCGGCGCCCGCCAGGTACGCCGAGGCCGCGGCCGCCAGCACGTCGCGCGTGCAGTTGGCGGCGACGGCGCCCTGGACGGCAAGGCCCGTCAGGGCGAGAAGAGACAGCGTGAAGGCCATGATGAGCACACTTTTGCACGCAAACGTAAGCGGCAATGCAAACAAGAGTACCGTTGGGGAATGCAAGCCGCGTGAGCTGTTGTGGGACGGAACAAGGTTTTGATTTTTGGATATGACAGGGGGACATCGCGTTAGAAAATTAAGGTGCCATTGACTCCCTTGGACTTTCTCACAGTGTTTTATAAAAGTAGCACGAAGCGGGGGACGGATTCTACAACGGCTGCGTACGACGTCCGCTTTTTGCCGTTGTTCTTTTGATTGATGCCGATAGGCGGGACACAATATCCCGTTATTTGATTGCAATTGTCGATAAGACCGATCCTGTGCGTGTAAAACGTGGTCGAGATTCCCGATGACGCCCAGCACTACAACTTTATCCGCCGGCTCGTGGACTCTGTCGGGAGGACCTGACTTTTCCCGTTGTTTTTATTAATTATCGTTGATTTTTGTTCCTTTGTAGATATTTTTGTTTACATTTTCCGGGCTGTTAGACTTGTTGAAGTAAAAAAAAGAAGAAAAGAAAGAAAAAAACAGGACAGGACAGGAAAAACGTAAATATAATGTAATAGGTTTTTATTTCCTACTTGAAATCAAACAGAATTAAACGTTTACAAAATTACTTTTTCGTAGTTTTATTATTTTCATAATCAATTATGTTCTCAACCAGCCCTACTATTGGCAGCATCAATCGGAAGGCAAGCTGCTTATTTCGAAGTCGCCCAAGGAGCACACCGTGTTGGATGGAAACGTATGAGTCTGGGATTTAGTAGATGCTACAAGTAAATGGCACAGCTTGAGGCCCAAATAGGACTAGCGCCATGTCGTTTTGGCGATGTCAACAACACAACGCGGTTTTGCTGCACGAATTGAATACATCGTCAACCTACATTCGTACTGTATTTGCTTCACCGAACGCTGTCATCTGCACAAACACAGTGGAGACATTGAATCCAAACAACGAACCAATGATGCAGCGCATCAGCCAGGTGTCCGACAGGGTTGCATACCTGGTCCTCATGGCCCTCTGCGAAAAGGACAAGACCTTGCGGCACCAAGCCAGCCAACTGCTCGACAAGTTCCAAGCATCCCATGCTGCAGTCGCCCAAGCCTGTGGCACGATGCGAGAGGCCGACATCTGTGGAGAGGCCAATCTGATGGTGTGCGTTGACTGCGAGGGTGTCTTTACCGAGCAGACAAAGAGCGGCCCGTCCGTGTGCCGTTTCCATGACTGTATGTCCCTTGTTGGTCCCTCACATCGACCTCTCTTCACAAGCAATATCTGACGATGTCCCTTTCTAGCCTACTTGACACCTGACTTCGAAGGCGACTTCTGGGCTGACCACGACGAGGACTGCCACGGCATCATTGACTCCGACTTTATGCGCGCCGAGTTCCCCGAAGGCTTCTACTGGGAGTGCTGCGAGCGCGCCAACGGCACGCCGGGCTGCCAGACACGAGACCACCACGTGCCCTTGGAGGCCACTCGCAAGCGGGCCAAGCTGGACCTGCTCGGCCAGACCGTGGCACCCCCGATGCCGACTGCACCCGTGCTGATTGAGATTCCCAGCGATACCGAAGACGAAGACGAAGACGACGACGAGTCAGACAGCTTCCGCGAAACGAACCCAACCGAGGAGCAGAGCACAGACGACGAGGACGATTTGACAGAGTGACGACGTGAAGGGGAATGATGCAGACATATTCCCAGGGCCCAGGGCCCATGGCAACGTAGGAAGGATCGTGGCGCAAAGGCGGAAAAGAAGCAATGCGCACAAGGTGAACAAGGAGAGTACTGAGATACCCACGACATGCAAGTCCAAGAGACAGCGCGAGGCTCAACATTACATGCGAATGAGCTATCACGCCAATGTCCAAAACCAACAGACGGCACACCCTCGGCAAGGTGCCTACAAGGTGGCCTAGACTGGACACGGGACCAGAGCATAGGCACAGTGAATGGCTCCGGCGATGCTGTCTGTATGGATGACATGGTGGAGTGCGTAAGAGCGGTGCGTGGCCCGACGACACTCTACCTCAAATCCCCAATACCGCCCAGAACCGAATTGACCATCTCCGGCTTTTCCTGGACGTGTTGCATCAGGCACAAGCACTCATTGGCAACCAAAGCAATTTCTGTTGGGTGCGTAATGTCCGTGTTTCGGGGGAAGGTCTTTGGTGTTGTCCAATGAGACATGGTTCGAAGCACTGTATGTCGTACGGCGTGCGGCGACATGGTCGTTTGCAGGAACGCTGCAACAAACAGAGAGATGAGAAAGAATAACAACAGCGGTCAGACGATGTCTTGCTCGATGGATATGTGTTGCACTTTGGATACAATGCGGTGAGACGGACAGGAGGAAGGTGCAAACGAACCTGGCGTGCTTTCCATCACATGTAAGTGGGTCCAAGGGGCTCTGTTTACATCGCTCCTTCTCTTTTTAAAACGTTGACGACCGCAAGTCAGAAAAGGAAAGAGCGATGCACGACCAGCTCCAATCAGATACTCGTGCCGTCGAAATTGGTCAAAAATTTTATTTTGACGCTGTGATGCCAACTTGTTGCATTTTTCAGACTCGTTCTTCTCAAGAAAGACAGCAATAGTTGCTGCAGACTTAGCAACAGCTACAGGAACATCACCTCGACACCCGAATCGCTCTCCTGTGATCCTTTCAACCCTGCCAAAACACCCTCCAAAACCTACGTCCAGCCAGGAGACATGTACCATGGCCTTCCCATCGACGTTTGCGTCTTTGGAAAAGGTCTTCAATCACGTTGTCTTGCCTCCGCAGTTGCCGGCTGGTCAAGATGGCGGCCTCGACAAGATCGCAGTCGACATCATGCACTGCATTCGGCGCGCTTGCGAGGCGCTGAAAACGACAACACCAGACGAGTTCTGTGGTGCCTGGACGGCGGTCGAGAATTGCATTTTGACGTTCAGCAGCACCGACGGAGAGCACCGGACAGTTGCATCGCTGCTCGAGGCGTTTCAGAGGTTGACGCAAGATGACAAAGTCATCGCATTGTACATTGAGGAACAAAATGCTGCTCTGCTCATGTACTCCAGCAAAGGGTTTGTCGCTTCTCCTCTCCAAGACGGCAATGTGCTGCCGACACCGTGTCGTCCGAAAGCTAACGGTCACAGCCACGTAGTCTTTGAGGCCTTCGAGGCGGCGTCGCCGTCTCAAGATGTTCTGGCGTGCCAAGATGCCCTTTGCTGGACTTTCCCATCGCGTGCCGTGCAAATCTCCAAAGATGACTTTGCCGACGAACATTTCCAATCGACCCTGGCTTTGTTTCTCGAAAAGGCCAGCTCCGAATACATAGCTCTTTTCGCCGCCAAGGCCAAGAAGGCAGGCAAAGAAGTCGCCGAATTTCGCAATGCTGGAACCCCAGACCTCATCACGCATATGCTTCTTTCCGTGCTACAGGCAATGGGAGGTCCGGCAACCGTCTCGCCAATCAAGAAACGCGTCCGTGACGACGTCAGCTTTGGCAAAGGGCACACGCCGTGGCGAAGACTTCCTACGTGGCTCATTCTTCGGGTGGCAATGCAGCGACAATTGCACCTCACACTGGGACAAGACACTGGTTATGCTGCTTACAAGATTCTGTCCTGCACTATATTGTCCCAATTGCTCGACGACTGTGTCCACCAAGGCATGCTTCCGGCACTCACTAGCCTGCTACAGAAGAAACTGGGAAGGAAGCTTGCCAAACTGGAGCGACACCATTTCTGGGAATGCTGCACCGAGCATGACAAGATGACCTCGGAAGCCCTGATCCACAGCATCGCTTCGAAGCTCAAAACATCCCTTGACGTGGCTCAACAGTACTTGAAAAAGAGACTGGCACAGTTCAAAAAGGACACCATGCGACAGATACCAGCATTGCCACTAGAAGCTCCTGAAGATCACCGAACGCTGTCTCTACCTTCGAGCAGGCGGTACTTGGACAGGCTTGTGTTTTCGGCTGGAAACAAGGTCGATGGGAACTCAAATACAACGCCATTTTCCGAGGACGGCAGCCCTGACTCAAATCTGACTCTAAATCCGGCCGTCAAAAACACGCAGGCCTTCTCTAGATCCGTCTTGGACACGCTGAACGTAATTGCGGACGCCCGGTCCAAGTCCTCGTCGCTGTGGAGCCAAGCCGCGGCCAAAATGACAGAGGACGCAGCAAAGGCAGCGTGCGATCAAATCTCCGCCACAGTTTCCGTCCTGGTGAACTGTATATCCAAAGCAGACCTGAGCACCGTCGAGATGAGAAGCCGCATCCTCTTGGAAATATTTGACCAGTGGGCGATTCTTGATACCATTTGCGGCTCCCTTTATCCAACGGTCGATGACCATCCGCCCATGTTCCCACACAACCTCCTCGACGTTCTCCAGTTACCTGATGTGGACTCCATGTCTCGCCTTCGTCGAGTTCAGAAGCACCTACGGCATCGATTTCAAATCGCACGTTACGACGAGACGGTACTTTCCAATGAATTTGGATCCCGGTTTGCATATGAATCGGACGACCTCACACATCTGTACGACAGAATTGCTCAAACCGAAAACGACCGTCGCCAGAACAAAACCAAGGAGTGGGAAGAAGCCTGCAACAAATACGATCATCTTTCTAACTCAATTGGGTCATTGACTTGTAAATGTACAGTCAAGGACGGTGTTTGGGTCAAAAATGGATGTAAGAAATGCCTCCACAAGAACCAGAGGAAGAAAATGAAGATTGAACCTGTCGAGAATCTACTCCCGGAAGATGAAACGGCCGCTCTGGCCGTTGTTTTCGAACTGAAAACACCTCAGTGCATTACCACATACCGGGCTACCACCTGGACGATCGCAGCGCATGTTGCTTGCTCGAAACCCCCTACCATATCGAAAGATGCGAAAGGGCTGCCAGAAACGCTAATCCACAAATTTGCAACGTCCTTGCCCTCTGGAACGATCTCCCTGTCTTCTTCGCAAAAGTCTTTCAAGCAAACGCATTACAAGCAAGTGAAAATGAAATGCAAGCTTTCGGACGTTCTCCTACCTCTTGGATCCAACTTTCGCCTCTTCGACAATGCCATGAGCGCGTGGATTCATGATCTACCGACACCGCTCACACTCGCACATTTATGTCCCCTACATGTGCCGAGTGGTCTCGGTACAATGGCAATGCCGACCAGTACACCAACACCCACCTGTCCCCAAGGCCCATCTTCGTACGAGATTGTGGCTAGTCGACGGAAGTGCCCTTCTGATGTCTCTGTTCACGAGTTCGAGGCCCTTCAACGTCTCCAGTCGGGAACATCGCGCAGGTGGCTGACAATGGCAGTGGAGCTCGGCTGTTCCAACCTCAACTTTGGCCAAGAAGATGTGTCGACGTTATTCATTGGCCTCGCACATCAAGCAGGACCGCTGCTGCCGACGTCTGGGGAGCTCACCACAGCACCTGTGTCGCATAAGGAGGCTCTGGGTGTTGTGCATGGTTTTTTTCTAGACGACAATTTTCGCAACCGTGTCCTGTGCGAGATTGAGACGCGCCTCGCGAGTATTGCGAACAACTGGCGAGAAGTGACAATGATGGAGATGCTCGTTACGCTGCTTCTACGGATTCGGGCTCTGACAGAGCGCCAGGTGTCGGACTTGGCAAAAGTGGACTCGTTGTTGACCTGCATCCGGTCGACAACGCTTGACTGGATGGACTCCTTGCGAGGCGAGGCGATGAACGCACATGACGGGGATTCGTCTGGGCGTGCCTCTATGTACGCCTTCAAAGCCGCGCTTGTGTGCCGCTGCACGTTTGTCTGTTTCAAACCGACGCATCTTTCTGCCGACGACCTCTTCGACTTCACACGGGCGTCGATTACGCTGCAGCAAAGCTTGACTACAGATATCCGACGTCTCCCCCTGTACGAACTTGGTCTGGCTACGCGCGACACAGTGATGGCCGATACGCTACAGGTCGAGATAGAATACGCAGCGAAACGTTTCCCCGAAAGTATCAACAAAGCCATCCACCACTGCATCGGTTCTGGTTCCGCCGTCGATGGGCAAGGACAGGTGCATCCTACTAGATTGAAACCGTGGTCATTTCATAGTGGGCACAGCAAAGGATGGATCTCCTCTAGTATGATCATTCCACATGCGAAACCATCTTCGGACAACACGCCCCAGCACATCGCCTTGCACCTGACCCACGGCCATCTTTTGGTCAACGGCCAGACGATCGGAAAACTCCCCGACAATATTCGAAACGCTGACGATGTGAGCGAGGTTCTTGGGACCAAGCATCTACTCACATACCCATCTGCAATGCCAGGGATGAGCCATCGCCTTGTCACAGCATATGAGGACCACATGATTCATTTTGGCCAGCGCAGCAGCGGTGTCGTGATCCTTGCCATAAAGCGGTCCGGCGAACTTTTTGAGTATGTTCCCAGGCGTGTGTTCATTGATCGTAACAACGTGTATGATCTTCCACGTGGCCTCGTTGATGACTGCTTTCACTGGCTCAACAGGCAGACCGGGAAACTCGAGATACGCCGCCGCGAAACAAAATGGGAGGCAAAGCGAAGCGACTGGGTGTTGGACGTCCGGCTGCGGAATGCCGTCAGAGGAAACGATGAACTGGTCGACCCAACGTCCGAGACAGCTAGGCTCGCCGGCCTTATCTTCGATGGCTTCGAAGACACCCAGCGCTTGACAATCTTTCAGCCAGCGACTGGTCAAGGCGCACTGTCCATGGAACTCCGACATCTTGAGCTATCTTTTTTTGTCAACACGAAGGGATATCTTGAATGTCACGAACTTGGAGCGGAGGTGGATGTGGACCAAGACGCCGGTACCCTCTACGGCTACCACAGCATGATTGTTCTGCGGGATACGGCCGACCCAACTCAGCGAAGCATCATTGCACCATTGGGAGACCTGAAATGGAAACGTTCTGGTGCGCACATATGCCTCCAAACGGCAATCGATCTCACAGCGGTGTCTTCTGGGTCTGGTGGTCCCGGTCGCTCCAACCGAGGAAAGGCATATGCCCGCTTTGAAATTGATACCGTCCTGGGACGCTTGACGTGCCCCCCCGAACCACGTCTTCTTTTCACAAAGACCCAGCTACATGCATTCACATCGTACCCCCTACCAGATCCACTCACTCGTCGAACCGGTGAGGACGAGGCCATTCACCTGTTGCTCTCGGGCCGCCTCCAGCCTTGGGTACCTTTGCCCCAGGTGTGTCTCTGGATTCTACGGCAGATGCATATGCTTGTTCCGGTTCGTGATTACTATCCAAAAGACAAGCGCGTTTTGCAAAAGGTAGTCTGGGACAAAAATCTTCCAATCGGTCTCCAAAATGACCGCTATGGCCGCATAATTCAAGCCATCGTGGCCAAAGCGACGCGACTCCGCATGTTCGAAGAGACGGGAGAAAACAAAGCCATAGACGAGGCATACCGGTACTGGTCTGATATCAACACGTCCCACCTTGAAACCCGCGGGGAAATTCAGCGCATGCGGTTCGAGTGTCCCAGAGAAGACAGTGAGCCGGCGTGTCCAGTTCAACTTCTCGATGGAGTGTACACATCGCTGGGGCACGTTGATTGTCTCAACAACGAAGTTCAAGACGCTTGCCACTGTAGGGCCTCCACTGCATTTCAGATTGCCAAAATTGTCCGTGACAAACCAAGCAATGTCTTCATGACACGAGAGATTTCGGATCTTCTCGAAACATGGACACAATTTGGCGGATTCAGCACCACCATAGATCCTGACGTCGTGTCGATAAGCTCCCTATTGAGCGGCGCCGTTATGACAGAACAATGGGGAAGTCTAGTTGAGATGTGTCGCTGTGCCTCGAGCACTGATGCCCCGAAAATCATGTTGACTTTGGCGTGTATGGCACTTGCTCCAGATGTCGACATGGACGGTCTGCGACTTCTCGCCGCATATTCCTACCAGGCGGAACTGAAACTGTACAAGCCGCCACTGCGCCCTTCATATCACGACTTTGTGTACAACGAAAATCTGACTTACATGAAGCTGATCAGCATCGTCCAGACCGAGTTGGAGGAGTATGTGGCCACCGACATTCAGGCTACCGGACGGAAGGCCGTCGAGCTCGCCATCGACATGGGCCGAAACCAGCACACAAACCTGTGTCACCATCATAGTTCGCTACTGGCAACTGAGCTGATGAAACAATGGCCAGATGCAGTGTGCCCAAATGCTGGCACGTTTGAAAGCCAATACATCAAGATTGCGGCCGCTATGGAAAAGATTCGTCTTTTGTGGCAGAATTTACAGCAAAATCGGGAGCTTTCTCGATACGTTATGAAAGCTCAACTCGCCCTATCGAGCACGAGGGCGTGCCCACGTCATCTCAGACCAACGGAGGTGGTCGACGTGGTGACCCACGTCCTGCCAGTCCCTTGCGCAAAACAACATCAGCTGCCTTCCCTCTCGAACCATCTGGCGAAGCGGCCGTTTCTGCCAGCGCTTCCTTCCGCCCCCGAGATGACAACACCACGGCACGGCCAACCGGTTCGCAAAAAGGCCACACAGTACACAACGCCAAAAGAATACAGTGAGCTAGCGAAAATCATCGAACCATTTCAGCAATCTGTCGAGCCCATGCGCCAAAGCTACGGAGAAGATCTCGCAGCGTCCCTAGCAACTCTGGAACGGGCGACGAGAGACGCACATACCCAAGGAGACACGGCCAAATACAGACTGCCGTCGGTCCAACAGGCCTCCCAGAACCTATTGGTCGCGAAGACGTGCGCTGAAACGGCGCTTGGCATGATTCAAGACACATTTTGTGACGCCGGATACGCCGATGCATCCAAATTCGGCCACCAGAGTGCACGAGACTGGCTGCAACGATCCGGCCTGTGGCCCCGACTCACTCCAATGACCATACTGGAACTTCTCCGTTCGAGTTCGAAAGTCCAGTTTGGGGATCGAATGGATAAAGCGTTACTCCGGTATGGAGAAATTTTGAGTGAATGGCAGCGATTGCGGCGCATTTTGCGTGCTCTGCTAAAGGGTGATCAGCGAAAGCTTCACGACGAGATGGCCAACCCGGGACACACAAACTGGAGCCCCGAGGCGTATCCGGACTGGCTTCTCCTGGAGATTGACTCCAATATGCTGATCCGTGAAGAGCAAGTCACTGTTGCCCTGGCCATGATTTGTCCCGAATCTGGCTCGAATGCCGTCGTTCAGCTCAACATGGGCAAAGGAAAGACGTCCATGATCCTCCCTATGGTTCTCTCTGTCCTCGCTGATGGCACACAGCTGGCCAGGTTGCTGGCGCCCAAAGCACTTCTGCTTCCAACAGCGCAAGTTCTGCAGTTGCGCCTCGGTGGACTCGTCGGCCGCGAGATTTGCCATGTCCCATTTTCCCGGCGGCTTCTGTCCCGTGACAACTGCCGGGACACGGTAGCCGTGTACAAGGATCATCACAGAGACTTGAAGCGCAAGAAAGGCGTTCTCATCGTCGCGCCGGAGCACGTTCTCGCATTCACGTTGAGTGGCCAGCAGTATTACCTGGATGGCAAGAACCTAGACCTGGCAGCGGACATGATGGCGTTTGATGCCGACATGCGACAGTCCTTCTGTCGTGACGTGCTTGACGAGTCGGATTTCAGTCTCGCAGTCCGCACACAGCTTGTGTATCCCAGCGGAAACTTGACTGCTATCGACGGTGCACCTTTCCGATGGAAACTGGTGCAGGCACTTCTGTCGCTCCTGGAAGGACATGCCCTGGACCTTGCCAATAAAGATCCGCACAGACTCAACGTCATCAAGCGTCCCGGTGGAGGCTTTCCCAAAGTGTACATCCTCCATTCCTCCATCGACGAAGAGCTTCGGGAACGTTTGTCTGCGGATATCACGAACGGCCGAGTTTCGTTCTTTCGCCCTACACCGCCAAGGGATACGACAACCCCAACACGATCGTCTGGGGCACATGCAACGAATTCCGAGATCCGATATCGTCTTGGTCGGGCACTCGCTAGCGACTCCAGCGATGCTGCCATCACGAAAGCGGCACAGTTGTTCTCGGATACAGACACTGCAGCCGCAGCTCTGTATCTTGTGCGCGGACTGTTGAAGCACGACATCCTCAGCACCTGTCTGAAGAAGCGGTGGAATGTGCACTACGGCCTGCACCACAATCGCTGGCCTATTGCCGTCCCATATGAAGCCAGAGGCGTACCGTCCGAGCGCTCTGAGTTTGGCCATCCTGATGTCGCCATCGTCTTTACGTGTCTCGCATTTTATTACGCTGGCATCAGCCTTCCGCAGTTCCGCGACGGTCTCAATCACGTCCTGCACCACGTCGACGATCCCGCCACAGAATACGAGAGATGGGCATCGGGAGATGGTTTGGTCATACTCCCGGACGAATTGCAGCACTGGAGCTCGATCAATGTGGACGACGACGGCCAAGTGGAAAAGCTGTGGACATGGTTGCGACACACACGCTCTGTCATCAACCACTATCTCAATACGTTCGTCTTTCCAGTGCACAGCAGGCAATTTTCGGTCAAACTACAGGCCTCTGCGTGGGACCTGCCGCTGTTCACTGTCAAAACATCCTCGAGCACGAAGAAGAGGCCCGATGGTGCAAGGACCACTGGGTTCAGCGGGACCAACGACAACAAGGCCATGCTGCCGCTCTCGATCAAGCAGCACGATCTGCCGGGACTACAACAGACCAACGCCGAGGTCCTCTCGTATCTGCTTCAGATTCGCAACCGCAGCTACATATGTGCCGGGGGACAGAACAAGCGGTGGTCCGAGCAAGAGCTTGTCGCCAGTCTCGTCAAGTACCAAATCCAAATCTTTATTGACGCCGGCGCATACATTATTGAAAAGACAAACGAGAACCTAGCCCGGTCGTGGCTGTGCCTTGCCGAAGCGACTGTCAAGGCAGCTGTGTATTTTGACGAACAGGACAATCGAGCGTGGGTTGTGTTCCGCGACGCCACGGCTGAAAAAGTGCCCTTGGTCTCGACTCCTTTTGCCGAGAGACTCGACGATTGCATCGTGTACTTTGATGAGGCACACACCCGCGGCGTTGATCTCCTCCTTCCTCCGAGTGCGAGAGGTGCTCTCACTTTGGCATTGGGTCAAACGAAGGACCATACAGTGCAAGGTATGTACCCCCCAAACTTTAGAGCTCTCTTTTGTGTTGTTCCTGTTTGAAGTATCTGTATTGACCGCCGTAGCCGCCATGCGACTCCGGCAACTCGGAACGACCCAGTCTGTTGTGTTCTTTGCGCCACCCGAGGTTGACCAAAGCATTCGTGATACTTGTGGCTTGGAAACGTCCGACAAAGCGGACAAAAAGGTGTTTGTCAACTCGTCTCATGTTGTTACCTGGCTTCTCGAGCAAACATGCAAGGCCAATGAGCAGCTTCGGCCTCTGTATGCATCGCATGGTCTGGACTTTTGCCGCCGGATGGAGGCTCTCACGATACACAAGAAGACCCTACAAAGTGCATCATCCAGGAACTCTTTACTCGGCGTCCTGGAGCAACCAGAGCGTCAGACTTTGAAAACTATGTACGGCAACGATTCTGTTGACGCGGGATCGGTCCTGAAGACGGACGGCTTTTCCTATCCACGGCTCCAACGCTTTGCGGAGCAGCTGCGCACAGATCGGTCGACGACAGGCCATGGCACGGCTGCTCTACAAGGTGCCTTTGAAGAAGTAGAGCAAGAGCGAGAGGTGGAGGTCCAAGTTGAGCAACAACGTCGTGCCCAGCACAATATCGAGTTCAAAGCATTGCGCTTCAAAGGAACCGTTGCTAAGTCGATCCGCCATTTTGTGGAAACTGGGGAATTGATCGGCAACAAAGGATACGAGGGCGTGTTCTCGTTTCTAGCCTTGACAAGTATCGGAAAACGATACGGTATTGTCCACGGTACCCCGAGTCGTCTGTATGTGACGGCAGAGTTCAGGAGAACAATCGATGTGCCGCGGGCTGGGCAGCAGTTCCACGACGACTTCTTGGTATATACATGTTCCTTTTCTTCGGTTGAACATTTTCACTTGCTAATATTCCTGGTTATTGCAGCGCCCAGTAGAGTGGCTCCTGTGGTGCCCAGCTTCGCAGACGGGCATCGTTATCATCCCCGAAGAACTGGAGCTTCTCATTCCCAGCATATGTGCATCCAAATACACACAGCTGGTGGCCTACGCAGCACCCGTAACACGGTCCATGCTGGACTTTAGCAGCCTCCGGTTCTACGCATTTCCAGAATTCCCAAACAAGCGGCACATGATGCCGGAATGGCTACCCATTGAACTCGGTATCCTTGCGGGCCGTCTGTACATGACGTACGACGAGTCCGTGGCCATGGCAAAGTACCTGGGATTGCCCGCCAATGCCAACGAGGACTGCGTCCACAATGCAATGTCCTTCTGCCCGAATCCAACGAGCTTCTTGCTTGAATGGCTAGCCCTCCGCCGTGCGACCCAGGATGTTCTTCACACCCCGGCAGCCTATGTCTGCCAAGGCCGTCAACTTCAGCCAGACCATTCTTTCTTCTTGAAGTCTAACAAACGACTCATCCATGGCGAAGACGAGCAAGGTACGAATTACGACGAACTGGAGCAACGAGAGCAGATCATGGAAGACGAAGAAGAAGATGAGGAGGAGGAGGAGGAGGAGGAGGAGGAGGAAGAGTATGATGAAGAAGGTGATGGGCTTCTGAAAATTCGACTGGGAAACCTGCTCCTGTTGGATGGCAACATGAAAGTCCAAGCACAGGATGAACAAAAGCGGGACGGGGAGAAAGTGCCGCTGTAGGACGGCAGGCCCAGGAAATGGATGCGAACAGACGAGAAAAACGAGGTGTCCAAATGGACGGCCCACGTTTTCGAAGGGTTGGAAAGGAAAGGGCGTGACGGACGTCTGTAGCAATCTGCTTTGCATATTTAAAGAGGAGGGCAATGTTTCAGACAAGAATTGGGTCGAATTCGACGAGTGAAATTTTGTCTCATTCCGTTATCTTTTTAATTTGTAATGGGACGGATAAAATCAATACACGAAATTCAAAACTGTCGACAAAAAAATGTTGAAAATAGGATAAAATTAACAAAAAGACGTTAAACTGCAAACAAATAAGGTTACTTTTATTTTTGATCGTATTTTCTTGTCCTGATATCACCTCATGGAAGGGTCATCCCTGTTTGCACGTCACCGACACAGACTAACACAGTCGTATGACCTGACTTTGCATATCAAACGACTAGACGTGACCGGTTCACCGCAGTGTATTGGGCAAGAAGAAGGCCGAAAATGCCCGTTGTACGTTGTGCAACCCCAAGACGGATCAAAAGGGTGTACGACAACAAAGAAAGACGCACTGACTATGGGCAAAACGTCTGTTGGGGCTGGACGCAGGGTGGCATGGCACTCGCAAGCTGAAAAATAAAATAAAATAAAATAAAAAATCAAATACTTCAAAAGGTCAAGGCAGTCATGGTGTCGTCTCCGTACGACGGCTGTTACCCGAAACACGGCTGTCAATAGTCCAGCCCTGTTGATATTGTGCGTGAGGGTGTGAATGTGCATTTTGGGATGATTTTGTGTATCCATCCACGATCCTATCAGCCCATCTTTCCTCAAACTACTTTATTCGACTCAAATTTCTCCGCCATCTTGTCTTTATTCCACATCTTGGCTGGCTCCTACCGACAGCAATTCCGCCAACTAGGAACCAGGGCCGATTGGTACGCCAAGGCGCCGGAAATCCACAAAAGAAGAAGATGGGGAAAAAAGTTGACGACATGCAGGGTCGTACTGGACGGTTGGCGGCGTTGCCACTGTACTCTGAATGTCACACTGTAGCTTGCATCGACGTGTCGACGGATGCTATTGGTTGTTCGCGGTTATTTGGCATCGAAAACAACGACGTGCAGCCAACAGACGACACTATTTAAAGCAAAACTGCACGAAATACCCCAATCAACACTGCCCAAGCAGCGTAAAACCAACATCAACCAACAGACAAGAAGCACATACGAACTGCGAGGCCTAGTAAAGTCTGGAACAAAAAGGAAATACGAAATGCGAGTGGTCGGAGAGAAGCCGAATGGAAATCGACATCCGTTTCTGAGGGAATTAGGGGTTCTGCATCCAATGGAGATGTCCCGAATAAACATAGCAACTAAATCAAATACGGTCCTTTCTTTTCGTTGTAAGAGTATTGTCAGAGAGAAGACGCAACCAACAAGATTCAAAGTGAAAACAGTTGGATATGAGGCTGTTATCAGCTGCCTTGCCGTCCTTCAGATGTATCTGCAGCACGATACAGGAGTCTCATTGGCTTGCTCCTCCCAAGTCGTCTAAACTTGCCATATTTCTGTTGTCAACCGGTCCATGACTGACGTTTAATCACTCATGGAGGGCCGGCGAAAGAGTTGTTTTTCCAGGCGCATTCTATAAATGGCATTTTGTCCGGCACCCGATTCACCTGATTTATATGGCATTGCACATGCTGGATTCGACCTGAAAAAGTGCACTTTTGTCAAACCAATGAGACGGTCCCATGCTGAACCACGCCTGCATGCACAGAGATGCAGCATGCACGCCCATATGCATGTTGTGAACAGACATCCGTCGGATGCTGTACGGTGTTTTGGTCGAGTATCCAAAATCCTGCACGTCAAGTCCGCAGTCGACAAGTACGACCTGCGATCGTCCTTGCATCGATTATCGAGTTTGCGTCGCTCATCCGAATTTATGAGGCCCTGTGTGACCTTGCCATCGCCCCGACGGCTAATGGCATTAGCGAACCAGCGATTTGACGTGGTATTTGGATGGCAGGAAACAAAAACATGAAAGAACGGAAGGAATAGGCGATCAATGGTATCACCGGGACGATTGCCGATGTTGCACTCTCCACAAGAGAACCGAAGACGTACAAGAAGAAATGTGACAGAAAGAGTAGTTCGAAAGGAAACGAGATAGAACACAGAATAAGGTGCAGCATACCCGTACAAGATAGTACATGTACCTCAGACAGAGTACTTTTGCCATGTCAAATGGGTAGATGTGGAGTGGAACACCGGGGGGACGTAGGCATGAGAATTAAACAAAGCAGAACCCCGGAATACAGGCGCCGGCTGTGTCCTCTCGATGTGTTGGTGCGATGGGCGTGAAAGACATGGGCGGAGGGTGAACGGGATATGAAAAATGTCTCTCCTGTTGACAGTTGGTGCACACACAATCCAAAGTCGTTATCTATTGCGACGATGATCTTGGCGTTGTCAAATAGGTCGACGGGTTCAGCTCTTGTCCGGAGCACAGAGTCCTTCATCGCCGTTCAATGTGGCCTTTTTTTTCTTTTTCGACTCAAACGAAGTCCATAACAGGAAGTATCTCCGGCAGGAAAGACGGCAGATACACCCATCGTCCCATTGGGGGCGACAACAAGCTAGGTTTCTTTGACAACTTACGTGGGGGAAAACAAAAGTGGTATACGAGGCACATCGCAACAAGTTAGAAAGACTGAAATCGCCAAGGCTGGCTGGCTGAAACTGAATTCTCAGAATGTGTGTCTGCTGTATATGCTTTCGTTGATGTATCTCTCCTTGCGGTGAGATCCAACAGTCACAACCGAGACAGGGGCTGAGCGTCGAGGTTTTTGTCTGTTGGCATGGAAGCGAGGACGTACGCAGATGCTCTGGACTGGCATTGGAAGATTGCAGACCTGCTGTCGTCACCTTCGTCAACGACAAGGACAACATGCACGTAAGGAACAAGCCAACGCAGACATGAAAGTCGAAAGATGCAACCCTTCTCGGACGAGGAGCCGATGCCGACGTGTGTATGGCGCAGGGAGCATGTCGTATGTCGCGATGCCGATGCTCGTATCCACATATCAGAGGCTGTCACTGCGTCGCTGCTGTCAGCGATAGCTGAAGTTGATCGACAAGGGTCAATACAAGAAAGAGAAGAAAAAGAGGAGATCTCTAGACAGAATAGGGAGTTGACGATGTCTTCCCTTTTTTAAAGAAAGTAATAATGAAAAAAGATGAAAAATTGTACAGAAAGAGAACCGCCTAACCATCGCGAGGGCCATTGGCCATGCGCCGTCCTATCCCATGACCCCCTGTTGGCAAGATGAATCGACAGAGACGGAGAAGGATGTGACGAAGACGAGCAGCCAAGGAGGGAAAAGGGCAAAAACAGGCGAGGAGATAATGGCAGTCGGTGTGGCCCAAATGCCCAAATGCCCAAAATGACCACAGTGACGTCCATGTCGTTCGAAGCCCTTTTAGGAAGCCGCGATCCGCGGTCCTTCTTCTTTCCATCGTTGTCTTCCGTCCCATCGCTTCTTTGCTCTTTCCTCTTAAACCGGTTGACAGAAACATTGTGCTCCTTCCAAATTTGCAAGAACAAATTCTACCGTAAATTTGACAACTCCTGATTCTCCTTTCTCATCTGATTCTCATTTCTCATTTCTCATTTCCACCTTCTCCTTTCTCCTTTGACCATGGCCACCATCACGACGGTTCCCTTGCACATCTTGACCGACATTCTTTGGCACTCCGCGCTCTACGGAGGCCTTGCCTTTGGCCTCGCGGGCCTTGCCCGTTTTTTGTACCTCGCCTTCATCTATCCCAACTTTGTGTCTCCTCTGCGCGACCTTCCGGGTCCAAAGGTAGTCTCCCGGTCGTCCATCTCTGCACGCTCCCTCTGACACCATCGCTGACCGACTGTAGGACCACCACTTCTTCTTGGGTCAGCTCCTCAACCAGTTCCGCTCCGGCGACCCCGAGCAGCCCTACACGGACTGGATGCAGCAGTGGCCCGATGCGCCGCTGATCCGCTACCGGGAGACCGGCGTGGCGGCCGAGGGCCTGCTGATCAACAGCGCCGCTGCGTACCGCGACGTCATGCAGTCGCAGACGTGCTACGCGTACGAGCGCTCGGTGCCGTTCCGCCGCCTGATTGGCGACATTATCGGCGTCGGCCTCGTGTTTGCCGAGGGCAGCGAGCACCGCGCCCAGCGAAAGGCGCTGGGCGGCCTGTTCACCGTCGGCAACATCAAGGCGTATCTGCCGACGCTGCAGGCCAAGGCCGGGCGTCTTGTGGCCGAGATGGACCGCGCCATTGATGGCGCTGCGGCGGGGACGGACGGCACCAGCGGCCGCGTCGACTGCAAGCAGCTGTATGCCAAGATCACGCTCGACGTGATTGGCATTTTTGCGCTGGGCATCGACTTTGACAACTTTGCGACGCGCACGCCCTTCCAGTCCAGCTACGAGGCCATGTTCGACCTGTCGACGGCCGGCATGCTGCTGGCCGCCATCAACCTGGTGGTGCCGATCCGCTGGCTGCCCCTCAAGGCGAACCGGGAGTTTATGGACGCCAGCACCGAGCTGCGCGGCATTCTGACGGGCATCACCGAGGCCCGCATTCGCTCCGTGGGCGAGGCGGCGGCGGCCGACAGCAAGGAAACAAAGACAGCCAAGACTGCTGCAACGACGTCGGCGGCCAGTCCCACCAAAGACGTCAAAGACCTCCTCACGTACATGGTCGAGACCAAGTACCGCGCGGTCGACCCGGCCAGCCGCTGGTCCAAGGAGGAGCTCATCGAGCAGGTCCTCAACTTCATGGCCACGGGCCACGAGACCACGGCGGGCGCGCTGACGTTTGCCACGCACGAGCTGGGGCGGCACCCCGACGTGGTGGCCAAGCTGCGCCGCGAGGCCCTGACGCTGCCCGCGGCACCCTCCTTTGCCGAGATTGACCGCCTCCCCTACCTCGACGCCGTGCTGCGCGAGTGCCTCCGCGTCCAGACGCCCGTGGCCGGCATCCCCCGCGTCGCCCAGCACGACGTCGTCGTCGCCGGCCGCTTTGTCCCCAAGGGCACCACCCTCATGCCCATCCCCGCCGTGCTGCACCGCAACACGCTGCTCTGGGGCGACGACGCCGCCGTCTTCAACCCGGACCGCTGGCTCGCGGACCCCGGCACCGGCGGCGCCGTCGACCGCGACACGTACGCCTGGGTGGCGTTCGGCCACGGCCCGCGCGCCTGCATCGGCCGCGCCCTGGCGTCGCTCAATGTCAAGGTCGTGCTGCTGGCCCTGGTGCGGCACTTTACGTGGGAGTCGGTGCACAAGGGCAAGCTGCCGGTGGTCAACCCGTCGGGCCAGCTGCGGCCGAGCGGGGAGGTGTGGTTGAAGGTGGCGCGTGTTGACGATGGCGTGGTCGCTGAGGCCACGTAGACAATTGGGCGACCACTGTGGTGACGATTTTTCAGGAAGCGAAAGAACAAAAAAAACCATAAAAAAAATGCTTTAATTTAGTTTATTTGGATGGGTGATGGTTTTGGTAGGGTCGGGATGAACGTAATGGTTTCTGTTATGATCTGATTCTCAACTGGATTCAATGTTTGGTTACTCGAATTAGGGGCAAATTGACAGGGGTAAAATCGAGTGATAAATTACAATGACATGCGATAAATTCAATACATAACATAGCAGCACTATCAAAGAAATGCGACAGTGTGATGAATAGTAAATCAAATAAAATAATAACCAAGTTCTTTCATCAGACTAACGGACAATAAATTGTAAAAATCAAAAAATCAAAAATCCAGTGATCGACAGTGTACGGCAGACGTCAACAAATATGCCTCAAGACGGCAATCTGGTCAGGATGGTCATCACACGCCACTGCACACCACACACCACCAACACCACAGCTGAATCGTCGTCACACCCCCATCGGCACCAGTTCCACCCGCCGCGTTGCCTGCACCGCGCCCCCGTTGGCCCCAAAGTACCGCACGCTCTCGAAGCTCCACTGGTCGTTGGCGCGCACCCAGTTGCCCAGGCCGTCCGCGTAGAGGAGGAGGGGGGTGGCCACCATCCCGGGGAGGGCCTGGGGCGCCCCTGCGAGGACGGTGACGGCCTCGTACAGGCCCAGGAATCGCGCCAGGAGCGTCTGGTGGTAGGCCGCCACCCAGTCGACGCTGTCCTGGACCGTCTCGATGCGCGGGGGCGCATGGGGGACGTCCTTGTCGGGCGGGTTTTTGAGGACGACGGTGACAATGTTGTGGACGGCGCCCGAGGCACGTTCGCGGTCGTACGAGACGAGGTCCTCGGTCATTAGCGGGACGATTTAGCTTTTACCTTTACCTGTATGATGAGGACGTACATTGCCAATCAAAATCATGTCGGTGGCCACGCTGGCCAGCTCGCGGACGAGGGGGTGGTCGGCGGCCGCCGTGATGGACTCGTCGTCCACGTGCGCGGGGAGGCCCAGCTCCAGCAGGACAAAGGACGGCAGGGCGCCGACAGTGCGCCGGCGCACGTGCAGGAAACTGTCGAGCGTGTACACGGGTGGACCGCGCAGACGCTCTTTGGCCCGGTCGGCCGCCTCCGTGGCGACCGCCTGCAGATAGCCCTCAAAGTGGCGCAGGAAACGCGCCGCCGTCGCCGGCCGCACGCCCGGCGTCGAGGTCGCCCGGTGCCAGAACGCGCGGGCGATCTCGACACCGCCCCATTCACCCTCCGGCCGGGCGACCGTCGGGTTCCGGAGGGCCTCCGTCACCAGACGGACACGCTTGGTTGTCTCTGCGGGGGATTCGTCGTCGGTGCCGTCCTCGATGACAAAAAAGACATTCATCAAGTCACAGCCGATACGGATGTGCTCTGACGGAATGGGAAGGGATGTCAGTTTGCATGTTAAGTTTGCAATGGGTCTGCATCGTCTCGTCCTCTCACTACGGACATACCTCTGCTGAGTTTTGGATACGCCATGGAAGCCAGTAATCCTCTGCATGTTAGATTCACAACAGTGCCAGTAGATGAGCATGTAATGGGCCTTCTCACCATAATTGCACCGGTCAAACGCCAACTGGGCCTTGGCCGGGAAGAAGTTGTACGAATGGAGCCACTGCAGCGACTCGGCAGCCACGGTTTCGTAGTGCGGATTGACACTGCGTGGCCACGGCCACGACGCGAGCGTGTCCGGTAGGTAGAGGTGACCCGTGGCGTGTCTGTCCGGTCCTTTTGGATTCTGGGTTGTGGGCGGCCACCACCAAGATAGGAGGAGGGAAAGCATAATGTGGACGTATTCGGTGTGCTAGGTGTTGCGGTAATGTGTGGTGATGATATCTGTGATATCCAATATATCTAATCAATCTGTTGGGAGTGTGTACTGGGAACGAGAGTGGAACGGCACTTGGTAGAGAAGTAAAATAGAAAACGGAAAAGACAAGAGTACGAAGAAGTGCAGAGACCAGAGGAGACGAAAAGGTGCTTTAAATATGCAAGGAGGGTGGCAGCTGGGGGCCAACAATCGTATGGAGTGCACTACTTTGCCTACTGCATGCCTTGTTCACCATGGGACCGACCATGCTGGCCTTTTTGGCGACGATTTCTTATCAACGTAATTTTATTTTTTGTTTTTAGTGTCTCTTTTTCTTTTTCTTTTCTTGACAAGCGTAAACTCGTGTTTGTCTTGTGGTCGTCATAAGAGCCGAATTGCATATCGTTGGATGAAGTGGTCGTGTAATGGTCTATATATGGTTATATGGTCGTAATGGTTGATAATGATCCTGTTTAGACATACAGGATATTGTGATATCTCTTCTCAAATTGGTACAGTAGACACAGTAGACTTGGGAACTGCATCCAAGACTGGTATTTATTCAGATTAAAAACACAAGAAAGGCAGGAAAGGAAAGGCAAGGAAAGAAAGAAAGAATGATATAGAGAGTGTTACGACGGGCCGTCGAGGGCTCAAGAGACGGTCAGACTGGGGGATGCAAACATCCTTTGTTCACAAGACAAACATAAAGTCAAGTCTCGCCAAATAAACAAAAAATTGTAATTGCAACTCACCTTTGCATGTTCAAACAATTGACCATGTTCTTCATCCTTGCACTCCCTCACCGATGACAAGCGGCAGTGGTTGCTCCTAGGATTCGGACGCGCAACCACCCGTTCGGACATGGCGTACGGCCACCGCGTATTCCAGTGCCCCGGAAAAGTCCATTACAGCGACGTCCTGTCATCGTAAAAGGCCAGCGTGAACTATGCATGCCAGTGGTCTGCTTTGGACTCGTGTCTGGTCGTCATCTTACCAGCTATTTTCCTCGTCCTGCACTGTTTTCCTGCTGTGGCATGGTCTCCCTAGCTGTCGAGACGATTCACGGCTGCTACGAATGTCAGAGGAATCATCATGAATATTCATAGCTAGGCACATAAAACGCAGGCTTGCTTCGCGTATCCTGAACAGAATCGCAGTGGCTGCCACGACCTGGAATGAACTGACATCAACTTGGATCTTTTTGGACTGAACACATCCTACAGACAAGACGAAAGATTAAATACATGCATACACGCATACACGCATACACGCACACCGACGCTGCTTTTGAATCTTGGTACGGACTAGTCTTCTTGGTACGACTACCAGGAAAGGCTTCCGTGGGCCGCCCTACGGAATCTGGTTGACACGCCGCTGGGGCCCAAAGCCGCGCTCCAGGTCCGGCCGCCGCTCGCCGTGCGCGCTGCGCTGGCGCTGGCTCTCGTGGTCGTGGTCGTAGTGGACGAGGACGTCCGTCGTGCGCACGATGCCGTTGTAGGTCATGATCTCCTCTTCGCTGGCGGTGGGCGAGCTGTTGAGGGTGGTGTGCGTCTTGGAGCCGGCCTTTAGGTCGCGCAGCGCAAACGCACCCCCGCCGTCCTTGGCCAGCGGGATCGAGCGGCGGTTGCTGCTGTTGTAGTTGTCGTCGTCGACGGAGCCTTGCTCCTTGCGCCGGCCGCTGCCGTTTGTGGCCGCGCTGCCGCCGGCGCCGGCGCCGTACGCGTAGGGGTTGTTGTTCGTGCCGCGCCGGGGCGTGCCGTCGCTGTTGCGGTCGTCGTAGTTGTAGCCCTTGTCCCTGGTCGAGAAGAAGCGCGGGAACCAGGAGCGAAACAGGCCGCGCAGGGCCGGGGCGGAGGCGCAGATGATGGCCATGTTGATCTCGATGGCCGACGTGCAAAAGGCCAGCGAGTAGAAGGGATCGGGGCCGGGCGGAAGGAAGAAGCCTTTGTAGAAGTAGACGAGGCGCACGACGCCGATGATGGTGACGCTGTACAAGAGGGAAAACAAACGTTAATAAAATGTACAGATGCAGTAGCGACACAGCCAAGTGGGATACGTACATGCCACCGAGGACAAAGACAAACAGCAGGGCAATCTTGACGCGCAGGTGCATCTTGAGGCCGAGAAAGACCCAAAAGGGCAGGGCCAGGCACAGGACGTCGGTGAAGATGGTGAGGGCGGAGGTGGCGATGAGGAAGTTGGGCTGGTTGATGCAGTGGCCGCCGGGGATGGTCTTGTCCCAGCTGTAGGCGACGGGGATGCACTCGAAGATGACGACGACAAAGATGGCGACCATGAGCATGAGGTTGAGGGCGTTGAGGGCGTGGATGCACCAGCGCACGCCGGGCTTCTGGCTGCCGAGCTTGAGCAGGAAGAGCAGCATGGACGTCTTGACGAGGGCCAGGATGGGGTTGTAGAGCACCTGCACGGCAAAGTTCCAGACGGCGGCCGTCTCCATGTCGTACGCGGGCGGCACGTCCCAGACGTGGATGCCGATGAAGTTGGTCTTCATGCACATGTACATGGTGGCCGTCTCGGCGACGGAAAAGACCATGGCCACGACGATGAGCGCGTCGTCGGCGCCAAACTGCTTCGTCTTGGCGCGGCTGAAGACGCGCAGGCCGACGACCAGAGCGGCCAGCAGCGGGAAGAAGAGGATGATGGCGAAGCCAAACTGCTGCAGCGGCGACGTCGGGTACACGGCCGGGCCGGGCGGGCCCACGGACGGGTCGCCGGGGGGGCCGCCGCCTTGGACTTCGGCCGCGAGGATGTCGGCCCAGCGGTGAAGAAGGGCCATTTTTGAGGAGTGTGCGGGCGTCTGAGCGTCTGCGAGAGTTAATGATCCATGCCTAGCAGTGCCGATCGCGTTCATCGTCGCCTTTGGGCAATGCGACATACTCACGTTGGTGTTGCTTTTTGGATGTCGATCACTCTGACAGTGTGACTTGTCAGAAAGGTGACGGTGAATGACGATGAAGACGATGAAGACGATGAAGACGATGAAGACGATGAAGACGATGAAGACGATGAAGACGATGAAGACGATGAAGACGATGAAGACGATGAAGACGATGAAGACGATGAAGACGATGAAGACGATGAATGACGATGAATGACGATGAATGACGATGATTGACGATGACGGGACTAGTAAAACAGGGGAGGCCAAAGAAAAGGAAGGGAAGACAAAAGAGAAGAAGAGAAGTCGAGAAATAAGACAAGGAAAAGAAAGGAAAAGAAAGAAAAAGTCCTGTTGTTAAAGTCACATCGTCATCTTTTGAACCATCTATGCACAACTCCTTTTATGGATGTGGACAGCCGCGAGGTTCAGCCAGACAACAAGACAACAAGACGAGGAGACGAGGAGACGAGGAGACGAGGAGACGAGGAGACGTTCTTGGTTGCCGGCATGGCAAGGAGCATGGGTCAGACCCCTTTTCTTCGTCGCCTTTTGACTATTTTCAAAGCCATTCCTTTTCTGCTCGCTGTCCTTGCATCCATCGCAACCCGGAATCGGCACGAAATACGCCGCACATGTACGACATACAATGTCCATGTTGCAGTTGGTAATCAACGCGGCTGGGGTAGGGTCGTGACGCTGTGAGCCGGCCGCGACTTGCATTTGTCTTTTTTTTTCTGTCTTTTTTTTTCTGTTCTTTTTTTTTTTTTTTTTTGTTTGCTTTGACCTCCTTTCGGGTCTGACACTCATTGATCACTAGCTTTGAGCTTGTCTGCCGAAGACGAAGACAGTGCCAATGCCAAGCCAGCTTGAAGGCGGCGGGCGGGGAAGAGAGTCAGCAAATACGATGAAGAAAGTGAGGGGGCAGACGGGCGAGAAAAGAAAGCTTCGACGTGTACGCACGGGCTTGATAAAAAAAGAAAAAAAAAGAAAAAAAAAAAAGAAAAAAAGGTTGGAAGGAAGCCAAGGACAGCAAACTGACAATGTCAATGCACCGGACAACAGAACGGAGACATTAACGAATGTGGGCAGCGCCGAAACGGGACGGCGCGGAGAGCGAGGAGAAGCGAGTCGCGTAATGAATGTGTTGAACGCCACACAGAGAGGCTCGCGAAACTTGCCCAAGAACAAAGGGTAATTGTCAACCGTCAGTCACATGCCATGGCGGTCCACAGTCACTCTCTGCTCCTCTGCTGTTCTTCAGCCGCCAACCTCTCATTCATGCCGAGTTCGCATACGTCGCATGGCGCATTCAGACAAATTTAAGAAAAGTGGCCTGGCTCAGCCTTGGTTCAAGGTCTTCTTACTTTTTCAGAGGTCCGAGCGCATGGACAGGGAGACAGGGTGGAGGAGTCTCTCACGAACTGGTGGCCAGGCCGGATCGCCGTCTGGGGAGGGTGCCATTCTAGGGATTCTGATTCTGATTCTGATTCTGGTTCTGGCTCTGGTTCTGGCTCTGGTTCTGGGGTCTGCTCAGCCGAACAGGGCGGGCCGCCAAGGGCGTGGCTAGACCATATTGGACGAGCACCGGTCAAGACGGACGCGCACGGATCGCTTGGGCGCGTCGATTCGGTCCTGCTGGGGCGCCTACAACGTCTCAAAGTACTCCGTACAGAAGCGTCTTTGTGAGCTCATGTCGTATTCTCACTACGGCGGACGTCGAAAGGTCATCGCCATCGACGACGTCGGGAGTCTTTACGGGAGCAACAAAACCATCTCAGTCTACTGACAGTTCATGACCAGCAGCTCACGGAGAGGGGCCTTCCACTGCGATCCATGCTCGTCGTACGTGCCTGTCGTACTTTGTCGTCCTGGCTCAGTCTTTGTTGATGTGGTCTTTTGACCTATTCAGGTATTACATTCATCGTACCCCAACCACCGTGGTCCCTGGCAGGACAATGTCGTTCATTTGTTCTTTTCTGACAAAGCATTTCGTACATTTGCACAGTTTGGCCATGGACGGGAACACGTCCGTGCGCAACCAACTGTTCGAGTCATCGCCCAGACGCACCAAGGCCAGACACTGGCAGGGGGCAAGATAGGCCATGAAGACGGACATTCATGGATATGCAGCAATACATTAAAAGAATATAAACTTCTCTGTACAGAGCTAGTTGGACTTGTTCCGCCAGGCATCCACCCCTTTTATATGTTATTGTCATGAATTATCTCCATCGCCTTCCCCATATTGATCGTGTTGATCGTTGTTGTTCGTGGATCGTCTTGATCGCGTGTCGCATTACTGGCCGTCTGGTCGGGGCCACAAGGTGTTCCAGTCGCCCGGAAACGCAGCAGCAGCATCGGCAAGGGCCTGCGTGCTTTTGCCGTCGTCCAGCGGCGTGAGCAGACTGCTGGTAATGCCCGCGCTCGTGGTCGGGAAGTGGAGAGGCATGGTCGGCAGAAGGCCAGGGAGGCCAGGGAGGCCAGTCAATCCAGAGAGGCTAGGCAGGCCAGAGAGGCCAGAGAGGCCAGGGAGCCCAGACAGTCCAGAGAGCCCAGACAGTCCAGACAGTTCAGAGAGTCCAGACACTCCAGACACTCCAGACACTCCAGACACTCCAGACACTCCAGACACTCCAGACACACCCGACAGGCTCGACTGCATGGACAGGCCGTAGTTGATGGGGCTGGGCATAGCCATGTCGACAAAGACAGGCAAGAGTCCACTTGATTGACCGGACTGGCCGGATTGACCTGCTTGTGCCTGTCCTGCCTGTCCTGCCTGTCCTCTCTGGCTCATCTGTCCCGACCACGACTGCGTGGGCGATGTCAGCTGCGGGAAACCAATGCCCTGTTGCTGCTGCTGCTGCTGCTGTTGTTCAAGTTGCCCTTGCCCTTCGTCCTGCCGCTGAACCGCGCTGCCCCCTCCATAGCGCGGCGTGGTGCTGCCACTGGTGCCACTGCTGTCCGCTGCGGCGGCCTCGGTGGTTGGCGGCGGTGCGGCCACTGCGGGCGCCGCGTCCTGCCAAGTGCGGGCCGGCGTCGACGACGCCGGCCATGTGGCCATGGTGGACATGCTCGCGTGGCCTGGCAGGGCTGTCGTCGCCGTGTTGATGGCCGCCTCGTCGTCATCGACATCACCGTCATCATTGGAATCATAGTCGTCGTCGTCGTCGTCGTCGTCCGCGTCCGCCAGCACCCTTGTCAGCACATGGTACGCTCGTGCTGCCTCGCTCGACGTGCCTTGCAGGGCGGCCCAGATGCTGCGCGAGGTGCGCAGCAGGCCCAGCAGCTGCGGCAGCGACACGGACGACGCCGCGCCACTGTCTGGACCTGTCGTCGATGCCGACGATTCCAATGGCCCACCGGACGACCCATCAGACGGCCCACCGGCTGGCACGCCCGCGGGCCGCCGCGTGGCGTACGCCGCCTCGAGGCACAGCACCGTGTCGGCGAGCAAAAAGGCGTGCGTCACGGCGCTGTCCGACAGCAACAGCGAGCGGTGTGCCGCGAGGCGGTGGCCCGCCCCCGACCCGTTGTCCTGCACCGCCACATACGCGTCGTACTGGTGCCGCAGCAGCCGCACGGCCGCGTCGATGCACGCCCACCGCGCATAGGCATACCGCGGCGACGCCCGCTCTGTGCCCTGGAACCGGCGGTGGAGCACCAGGCGCGCGTGCTGGTACAGGATCTCGAGCAGCACGCGCTCGACGCACAGGTCGGGGGGGTCGCGGGGGTCGAACGGATCACGGTCGCGGTCGGCAGAGGCGCCGCCTGCTGTGGCAGTCGCAGTCTCTGGCTCGCCTCGCAGTCGCAAGCACGCGGGCAGGGCGCGGTAGGCGGCCGCGAGGCGGCGGTCGAGCTGCATGACGCGGGCGTCGTAGGCCGAGCCGCTGTTGGTGGCGCTGGTGGTGGTGGAGGCGGAGGGCGCGGGCGTGTTGGCCGACGTGGGCGGTGTCGGCAGGGGGTCCAAGTTGGCGCCGGCCGGGTCGGCGGAGACACGCTCTTTGGAGTCGACCGTGGGGCCGGGGGTCAAGGTCGACGTCGAGGTGGAGGCCCGCACCGGCCGCAGCTGGAGAACGTCGGCCACGACGGCCAAGACCGCGGCACGCGCCGTGGCGTACAGCACGCCGGTTCGTTCGGTGGGTGGCCGTGCCGGGGGCAGCGCCGGCATGTCCTCGTAGAGGTCGCTGTCGTGCAGGTTGCGCGGCAGGGCCGTGTCGCTGTCGGTGGCGGTGGTCCGGGCCGACGACGAGCTCCACCCGTGGCGCACAGTCACATTGCTCGGCAGCCGGAGCTCCGCGCTCGCGGTGCGGTCGAGGTTGACGAGCACGAGCCAGACGCGGCGGCGCATCTCACCCTCAAAGGGACGCAGGCGGCCGCCGGCGTGGCGCGGGTCGCGGTGGTAGCCCATGTGCATGGCCAGCCGCACGGCCAGCGCGAGCACCATGGCCGTCGAGGCGAGCGCGGCGGCGTCGCTGCCGGCGCTGCCGGCGCTGCCGGCACCGGAACCCCCTGCAGCGGACGCCGAGCCCTGCACGCGCCGCCGCTGCCACTGGTACTCGACGCCATAGTACAGCACGAGGGCCTCAATCTTGTGCCGCCCGGGTCGCGCATAGTCGCCGAGAATCAGGCACTGCGCGGCGCGGTGGCGGCAGGCGTCCACCACGGCCAGCGGGTCGCTGCCGAGGACGGCGCGCGCGGGGGACGACGAGGTGCTGGCCGGAACAGACGCGCTGTCGCTGTCGCCGCCCACAAAGGCCAGGGCGGCGTGCGCCAGGACCAGAAACAGGAGCGCCAGGTACGACGGGGACGCCCGCTGCGGGTCGCTCCAAAAGACGTCGTACTGGCGCCGGAACGCGGCGGCGTGGAAGAGGAGCCGCAGCGCGTGGACGCCGCCGAAGCCCTCCACCCGGCAGAGACTCGCAAAGAAGCGGTCCACCAGCACGTCGACGACCGGCCGCGGCGGCAGGAACCGCAGCATGTCGGTGGGCCCGGGCGGCAGGCCGCTGTAGCCGGCAAACAAGGCGAGCGTGTTGTTGTTGTGGTTGTTGTGGTGGTGGTTGTCGTTGCTGCTGTTGGTGATGGCAATTTGCCCAGACGACCCCGGGCCAAAGTCCCATCCGCCGGGGAGGTGCTGCTGCAGCAGCGTCGTGTCGTCCGCCAGCACCAGGTCCCGCGTCAGCCCGACAATGTCGTCCAGCACGCCGTCCCAGTTGGACGGGTCGGCGTACCGGAACTCGGCCACGTTGATTGCGCCGCCGGGGCCTGCCACGCTGGCAACACCTGCACTGGCCGCACTTGCACTTGTACTGTCGATGCTCTCGACGCTCTCGACGCTCTCGGCCGTGCTCTTGGCGTCGTCGCCGTACTCGGAGCCGTCGCTGCTGTCGACGGCCGGGGCGGGCCCCAGCGAGGCAGGACTCTGTTGGTCTCGGTTCCGTGCTGCCAGGAACAGGACGAGCCGTTCGAGGTACTTGAGCCGCTCGGGCACAGATTGGCTTTTGGTGTCGTGGAGAAGCGGCGGTGGAAGTGGTAAAAAGGGCCAGGTCGGCGGTTGTGGCTGTGGCTGTGGATGTGGCTGTGGATGTGGATGTGGATGTGGATGTGGATGGGAGCGAGGAATCGGCTGGTGTCGACGGTGGTCTTGTTGATGTGGATGTTGGTGATGCGGAAATAAAGTGCCTGCTGGCGGATACAATGGTGCCGGGAACAGTGGCTGCTGCTGCTGCTCGTCGACCGATCCGCGACGGCTCGTTCCTCCTGTCGACATGGCCTCGTACTCGTATTCTTGCATCTCGTATGGGCTTTCCGTCATGGCGTGGTTTCGTTTCAGTGATGGCCGCCGGGCATGGGCATCGGCATGGACATGGCCGCCTGCACTCTCGCCTGCACTCTCGCCTACACTCTCGCCGTACGCCGTGTACAGCATGTACTGACACATCGACCCCAGGCTCCGCTTCACACACTGGTCGCACGGCAGCACCCGGTTGCACTTGAGCTTCTTGTCGCGGCAGTGGCTGCACGAGAACCGAACGCGGTTGCGGCGCGTGCGGCGGGTGCGGCCGGGCGGTGGACCACCACCCATCGTGAGGTCGTCCATGTTGTGTTCGCTGGGTGCGCCTCATGTACAGTCGATGAGAAATGCTGGTCGTTCCCACCGGCCGACACGTGTGGTGGTCATGGATGCAGTCGGTTCGTTGAACGCTGTGATGAATGGGATGAGGAACGGTGTGATGAAGTTGTGATGAAGTTGTGATGAAGTTGTGATGAACAGTGTCAAATGTTGACGAATAGATCGATATCGGTCAAACGTTTGGATGTCAAGAATATGGCATATGCGAGGTATGATGAGCAGGACCCGATCAAATAGACACGACAGCAAGGAGAAAAGACTGGCCGACTGGCCAAGAGAATATGCTCTTCCCGTTATGCACTGTATGCCGGTGCTGTTGGGGACCGTTTGTGACTGGATACGGGCGACGGCACAAAACAGGCAACAGAGCAACAGAGCAACAGAGCAACAGCCACAGACAGGCATGCCTCGAGCATCGCCACCGGCTTCTCGATGTTGGCATAGACAAGTTGGACAGACGAGGTCAAGCGCGGTGTCTGTGCTCGTTCAAGATGCTAGTGCCAACGGGACGGCAAGCGAACGAGACAGACGGCAGACAAGCGATAGGCGCTGTCTTTCTTTATTCTACGTCGACAAACAATACTGTAGCTGTTGACTGTATGACTTTGACTGGTCTAACTGGCGCCATCGCAGCGCACGTACTCTTACGTGCTTGAGAAAAGAGAATGTGCAAGCACAACTACTAAAAGATGTACGTCGTACGTCGTATCAGCAACTCTATTTATGAACACGGCGTACGCGATGGGTTGCACTGCATAGCAATGCATCAATGCATGGTGACGCGTGGTGACGCGTGGTGACGCTTGGAAAGCATGGCAATATGTACAGGGCAGAATTGCAGAATGTGCCACAAGGACTTGGTGCTCGTCCTGTTGGATCCGTACCCGACAACCAGAAACGGCTGCTTGCAGAGATGGCCAGGCCCAAGCATGGCAGAGACATGGCCATGGAACGGTGGACCGGTGGACGATGCAATCTGACATAGTTGGGTCTCGGCTGTGTAAATTGTTCGTAACAAAAAAAAAAAAAAAAAAAAAAAAAAAAAAACAAGCAACAATCAAGATGGACCACAAGAATGGCCGGCACCAAGAACGTCGGATAAGAGACAGCTACAGCAGCCTGGCACGCCCAAATGTATTGGCTGGACGTCATTGGTGGTTGGGCAAGCCACCAACAGACAAATACACAAAAGGGAAGTGATGTGCGCGGGGGTTGACGGCGGCGAGCAAATTGGCAAGGAAAAGTCAGTGTCACTTCAGGTGGGATGTGTGATGGGCTGTCCAATGCATTTCATTGCAATGTGCGTACAGCATTGCCAAAGTCATTTCATTCTTTTGATGTTGTCAAGTTGCTGCGAGCCAGTTGTGTCTGTATGTTGAATAAGTGAATATGTTGAGCATGTTGAACAAGTTAATATGTTGAACAAGTTAATATGTTGAATATTGTCCTCTGTGACATCTGCCCACTCTTGCATTCGTCGGTCTCACCGCGGCCACAACTGCTGCTGTCACTGTCACTGCAACCCAACGTGTGGCTCTGCTGCTTTCTTTTTTGTCGTTTCTGTGGGTGACATATTTTGTGACAGCCATGTCTTGGATTGCCGTCTCGGCTTTTTTCTTTTCATGCCTCTCAGTTTCTGTCGCCCGCCTCGTCCCTCGCCTGTAGCTCACCTGCCTCACCTCTCCTCACCTCGAGTCAAGCCTTAGCTCCAACAGCTCAGCCTTCACAGCAGTACGCGAGCCAGCGTCGATCAGGACGCCATCCTTGCCGTCACTCCCGCATGTCTTCTTGGCCCTGGTTGCTCGGCAAAGTCGGCGCATTAGTCGTCGTCTGTCGATGCCTTGACTCTCGTCGGTCGTAAATTGCCCTTTTTGTCTCAAGCCTCCGCCCTCTGCCCTTTGCCCTTTGCCCTCTGCCTTTGTTCGTCCTCCCTCGGATCGCAAAAAAGACCAAGACGACTTGCCAACGATCGACGCCAAACCCCATCGGCTGCCACTGCTAGTGCCTCCGACCCAATTCGATTTGCCTACCCGTTGGCGCCGGCTCTTGGTGCCCGCAATCCTCGGCGACCACTCTCTTCACCGTCTTGTACGAGCTGTGCCCCATCATCCCCATCATCCCCATCATCTCCATCATCTCCATCCCCCTCCATGTCTTATTTTTAGCTTCGTGCTTGCCGCTGTGTCGTGTTCTCGTCGTCGTTTACTCTTTTCATGGTGATGCCATACCGTCGTTCTCCGGCCAATCGCATGCCTCCAATGCGAGCCAACAGTTGATTGCCCAAGCCGCCGCGAGACGACACAGCAAAGCAATGTCTACCGAAACTCGCAGCAGGACACGGCCCAGCAGATGCAGTATCCGATGAACCATGAACGGCCAACAGAGGCAGTACAACGACCATAGCCGACCAACATCACAGCCAATATGGCACAAAGACAGGGCAGACGACAGCTAGGCGGACGGCAGCTGGACGGACGACAGCAGGACTGCCGGTCTATGGACAATGAAAACCGGCTTGTTGTCGTTGATGTGCCCTACTTTTTAATCGTTGACTCGGCTCCGAGAGCACAGCACTGCCGTAACAGACGACCATCCCGGCCAAGATCAGCAAAGAGCTTGTTTTCGACCTGACGTCAAAACCATGTCAAAGAAAGCTTAACTTAACGTTGAAAAGTGGAAAATAGTTTGTCGGCAGGTGTTAATTCGTACGAAGCTCGCACAATATGCCCTACTTTCAGCCGTTTCCCTAACGGGACATCCCCTCCCTGTCTCCTCTCCCCTTTCTCCCTGTCCCCCCAAGGGATACCTACGGCGACCAATGATTCACGCATGACCTCTGTACACTAAACCGAAACGCGACAGGCCCTCGACCGGCCCTCGACCTAAACGCTCACACTGCTGCGCCACGGGCCTACCATCACCGGAAAGTTTTTTGCTTCGCAGCAACGGCCCAGCCCTGACCGGCTTTTCATCAACGTCTCTTGCTTATCTGGTTAGTCGTTTGGCTAGTCGTCTGGTAGTCTGCTAGTCCTCTGGTAGTTGTCTGGTAGCTTGTCCCCTAGTGTGCCCGTTGGCTGTGTCAGTTTTGCCGTTTTGCCTAGCAATGCGTTATAAGTGCATCCACGTCAACAGCACCACCGCCAACAACACGACAACACAACAACACGACCGTACGTTGACGGTGCACAATCCCTGATCGACGCAAAACCTGCCAATCTACTGGTCGTCGGGCACTTCGATCAAGGGAGACCAAGGATCTTCTGACATGGACGGGGCGTCGACGATTGGTCCTGTCGGCAACGAGGTCGTAGCCAACGTCGAAGCACAAAATACAACATAAAAAGTACAATGCAGGTGCTCTGCAAAACTCCATCCCTGGTACGATGGCCAACAACGATCGACTGTGGTCCAATAGTCGTGCAGAGTCGTGCAGAGTCGTACTGTATGTACTGTATCGTGCTGTGTCGTTCCATGTCGGTCCCGTGTTGGTTCCATGCGGAGCAAATGGAGCACTCGGAGCCGACAGTCGACAGTCGACGGATGAAAACAAAGAACACAGAGACAAAGAAAGCCAGAGAAACGCGTTGCGCAGGCCCAGTTCCGTCACTCGTTCCAACATCCAAATGGCTGAGCGCGAGACTTGCAAGCTGCGTCTGCAACACGCCCATGCACTCACCTCGCAGGACTCCGCGTCTCCCCAGCCCGGTGGTGGTGCAGGACCTGCGCACGATCGCCCAGTGGCGTGCCGACATGCAGTTCTCGTTGTTGGCTTGTTGGGTTGGTCTCGACCTTTTTTTGGAATTTCCCGGTACCTTTGTTCAGGGATGGACGCCACACCAAACGAACGCTCTCCCTTTTCCAATCCACTCTGGCGAGTCGGTGGTTTGTGGTTTTAGAAAAGCCTCTCTGTGTTTCTGTGTCTGTGTCTGTATTCTGTATGTGTCTCTGTTTTCCTTTTATTTTTTATTCTTTATTCTTTATTCTTTATTCTTTTCTTCTTTTGGCCGTCTTTCCCGTCACCTTCTCCCATCCCCTCCTCGTGGTAGCCGGTCCACGCTTCTTACCATTGTTCGCGCAACGACAATAGCAAGACGCAGGGCCGGCATGGCCATGCACCCTCCCTCCCAACATCCACGCAGCCCAGCAATCGTCGGGTCCTCCACGTGGGCCAAGGGGTGGGGGAGAGGAAAGGGAAAAAAAAATACAAAAAAAGAGAAAAAGAAAGAATGGGTGCCATGGCCCATCGATCAACATGCCAAGAGTGCACGATCGGGTCGCATGGCCTCGGGCCTGGGCCTGGGCATGGGCCCTGGGATCGCCAATGGAAGCCGGCAGAAGCACAATGACAATCGTAGAACAATCCATTGACAACGGCTGCCCGTCGCGCACAAGAGTCTGGCCGCCGGAAACAGCTTAGGAGACGACACAATGGAGGCGAGGGCACGCACAACAAAACGTGGCGCTCCCATCACAACAGCCGGCCATGGAGACCGTGACTTGTAGCAAAAGACGATGGAAAAGTACGTCGGCTCTTGTTCGTTTTACGTGTTTTCTACGGTGACATTCTGTCACAAGCGCCATGCAGCTTACGGTAGAGGTAAATGTTCAATTCAGAACGCAAATTCAGGCCCACAGCCAATGCACATGGTATCTAGCCTCTTGTATATCACTGCTCGCAGCCTTGCAGCCGCCTGCAGAGGGCTATGTTTTTTCTTGTCTTGGATCCAACAGTCGTCAACATGTTTCGTACCTTTGCAGTTTCCTTGTTCTCTGCCCACTTGAGCAGGTCAGGTCGTATTGGGCCGCGCAGACGCGATGAAAAACAAAACAAAACAAAAATCACAATGGCCAGCGGTGACACACGCGCTGCCGTGCCTTGTCGGCTGGTCCTCTCAAACCCGCATGGCCAACTGCGTCACTGCAACCGCAGCTCGCCCCCGCTTCTACTGCCGGTCCTTGCGCCCAAA